GTCAATGCCGGGACTTTCTTGTAATATCCAACTTTTACGATTATCATAGTAGTAGTAGTACTTCGTAGGTATGTATGTACAAGGCTAGTTTTATTAATGTGAACCCCTCTTCATCTTTTTTTGTTTTCCACCCATCGGAAAATGTTTAAAACTAATTTTATAAAATTCAATTTTCTTACAGGTTTCAATCAATATCTCTTCAAATACAGCGTGTCTCATTTCGAACGCCCCCCCCTCTATATCTCAGCTATCAGTCGTGCGATCTTTGCGTGCGAAATTTGTATCATCATAATATGATCAGTTCTTCAAAGACAAACATCATTTTAGACAGTGCCGTGCGTTTTTATTGAAATGAATAGGGGTTGGTTTTTTAATAAATCATATTAGGCACTTTTTCACAGAAAAACTTACCTTATAATACTGTTCTTCATGGTTTCAAACCCACATATGTGGATTTTCATAAGATGCCTATGAAGGGTTTCATAAAAACAGACATCTAAACATGCGAACGTAATAATTATTTACTCGGAAACGGTGAGTACAACATAAAAAAGTATAACTCGTTTTTCCTTCTAAATCGTGATTTTTCACCTACCGGAGCCATTGAACGTTCCAAAATTCGTAGTTGATTTGAAGTCACTATTTATTCGAGACTGAAAATGAAAAAAACGAAGCCACTCCTGTTAATTCGGAATTAGGTGATTTTTTGCATATGGAAGTTCGAAAGAATGAGGAACAATAATATGAGGTTAGATTTCCTGTAAAAAGATGCCTAATATGATTTTATGAAAAATTTACCCCTTTTTAGTTCAATAAAAACGCACTATCCAAAATAATGTGCATCTCTGTAAAACTGATCAAATTGATGGTTATTCATACCACACCAAATTTGGTTGGAATAGTATGACTAATAACTGAGATATAGAGGGGAGGGGGGCGTTTAAAGTGACACACGCTGTATACAGGGTATACAGAAATATATATTTTTTATATGGAATTCGCTGTATATTTTGATAGATATGAATCCCTCATATCATATATTTGAAATCAGGATGAATTGGGAAACTTAAATCCATCAAACTATACGCCGCATTCCATATGGAAAAAATTTTTTTTTCTGTATACCCTGTATATTTGAAGAGATATTGCATAATTGTCAATATGAGTGAAATCTGTATAAATTTTTTTTATAAAATCAGCTTTAGATATTTTTGAATGAGTGAAAAACAAAAAATTGATAAGGGGGTTCACATTAATAAAACTAGCCTTGTACATCGACCTCACGAGGGGACCTTCGATCAGCCCATGTGTGTTCTGTGTAGGCTCTATTTCTAACTCTATATGCCACTTCAGGAGCAACACTGTTAATTGGAACGCAAAAGCGAATCGTGCGGAACCATTTCTCCGGCCGAGACTACGAAAATTAGAATTTATAACTCGTTTTATTGATAAAAATGCTCTGAATACTGTCTGTAGGTTAATCGAGGAGGTGGTACATCCATTATTCCAGATTTTTTGGGATTTTCTCTCCTCGTTTCTATAAAATAAAAATATGAATATTATTTCAATATACGTGTAGTAAGGACAAATCAGATGATTTGCCCCAAAATGTCACTGCGTTTGAAGAATTTTCCTATCAGAAAGCCTAAAAGAAAAATTCACTAGCTTGTCAGTGACAATTTGTATTGAAAAAGGTTTGGAGAAGAGAAATAAAGGTATATAGAAAAAATATCAACTCAGCTTTGGACGTTTCGGGACCGAATCTGCTCCCGTTTTCAACATAAAAAATGGTTGTTTGAATAGCAAATTCGTATCGTAAACTTTTCAGTTCTCAGTGCCAATTGGTGACGTTGGCATTCAAATGAGTTACAGGATGTTTTGATCAATTAATCTTGAATTTACCTATTCATTTTCAGATTTCAGTAGTGAATTCCATGTTCTGTCTATATCAACTGAACAAGAAGTAATGCTATTGTCTCCGTTCAGAAGAATGCAAGCAGATTCCTTGATTTTTCTCTTCTGGTTGTTATCTTCTTTTCCAATGATTTTAATATTACTCCACTCTGCCATATGTTGTCCGTCTTCATCAAGCATATGTTCAGCTAGTTTCGATTTATCGATGTGTCATCTTTATATTGTACTTATGTTCCTTCGTCCTTACTGAAAGAGTTGGTTTCACCTGTATAAAACTTTCCACAAACACAAGGTATGCTGTAAATACAATTTTTTTTTACGATTGTTCTTCATTTTTCGGCTTTGATTGAGTTAGAATTGATCTCAATGTATTTTCAGTTCTGAACATAGTTTTCACTTGGAATTTATCACCAACACGTTTTATTTTTTCAGATATGCCGGGAATGTATGGTATTATATTTGTCGTTATTGATGGTTGATTTTGTTGTGGTTGACCCTGCTTGCATTCTTCTGAACGGAGACAATAGCATTGCTTCTTGTTCAGTTAATATCACTACTGAAATCTGAAAATGAAAATGGTATATTCAAGATTGATTAATTAATGAAAACATCCTGTAACTCATTTGATTGCCAACGTCACCAATTGTCACTGAGAACTGAAAAGTTTCAAGACAGATACGAATTTGCTATTCAAATAACCATGTTGAAAACGGGAGCAGATTCGGTCCCGAAACGTCCAAAGCTAAGTGAAAATTTGATATTTTCTATATATACATTTATTTCTCTTCTCCAAACCTATTTCAATACAAATTGTCACTGACAAGCTAGTGAATTTTTCTTTTAGGCTCTCAGATAGGAAAATTCTTTAAACGCAGTGACATTTTGGAGCAAATCATCTGATTTGTCGTTACTACACGTATATTTAGATAATATTCATATTCTTATTTTATAGAAACGAGGAGAGAGCATCCCAAAGAATCTGGAATAATGAAAAATACTCTGCTCTGCCGGGGAATCGAACCTAAAATCAACATATTTTTCAGGGTTGCATCAACGTTGGAGTTAATGGCCAAGGCCAAGGTCAAGGCCAGGGTCAAGGTCGAGGAGGCGGCAGCGGAGGCGGTGAGGCTGGTGCCGGAGGTGGCGCAAGTGGGGGCATAGGAGGAGGTTTCGGAATGCAAGGAGGAGCAGGCATGGGAGGACAAGGCGCTGGTAGAGATAGTGGAGGAGGACAGGGAGGCAACTGATTCTTCATTTTGTTGAGAATGATATTAGACCGAATATTTGAAAATTTATATGAAATTTAGTTTGAATAGATACATTAGTATAGATTCTACAGACTGTTTTACTATACACATTCTAACAAAAAAAATGGCCACCGGATTTGTCAGATTTTGGTGAAATTCCAACCAAATCGTAGACTGACGTTTTGAAATGTTCACCTGAATTCAAGTTCCCAAAGAAGCTGATGACTCGATCATTACACAGGAAAAAACTAAACTTACTATTTCACTCTCAATTTTTCAACGTGAATCATGAACCATTAATTAATTAATTGAAACAATATCAAATTCGACAAATGACAGATGTCATCAGATCTGCTTGAAAACGTTTGTTGGCGTAATTGGCATTATTTACAGATTCCACTCGAGTATTGTTCTGGTAGTGCCATCTGTCAGCAGATTGGTTCACTTACATGTGGTACTATGCCTATTATTCGCGAGATTCACGAAGTGGGCGACATCTATGTTACATAATACAAACTTCAAATTGGGGGAAAACAAACTGTTGTCTATGGACTACATTGCATACATCTTGCTGTAGCTGTAGTTGTCAAACATGTCAATGACAATGAGTGTTATCACTCTTATAAGTACATAGTACACAAGCTAATGGCACTAATGGGATTGAGTGAGGATTGAGTTTGTTTTCCCCCAGTTTTGACGTGGCTTTGACATGGAACGATGAAAACCGAGCGCCACCTGGTAACATTGGTGGTACAAGTTTCATGCAGTTGTCAGATAAAAATTATGTATTTGTACCTATGAATTCACTTACCGTTCGCTGAAGAATGCAAAATAGTCAGAGAGTACAAAAATGTTCACAGGCATTTTCTCGTGAACGTAAGTCTTATAAACTGAGGAAACTGGCATCGAAATAGTTGGTTGCAATATACAGGGTATGTCACGACGAGCTTACAATAGCTCTATATCGAGAATCAGTCGGGAGAAATCCATGAAAATATGCATGCTTATATTTTAAAATACGCTCTTTTCCTTTAAAATATTTTCAGCAATGCAGTGTTGCTGCTTTTTATTGCATTATTCTCTGTCGGTAATGATTACAGATATATAGGGTGTTCAAAATCGAGATTTTTCAACTTCAAGATTTGTCTGTGTTGAAACTATTCATCATGGGTCAAAACGGCTCACATGTCCCTATCTTTACTTTTGATTAACTATTTACTGATATTTATCCGGAAAAAATAGAGGGTGGTTCAAGATGCAGAATTCTGAATGAATAGTTTCGACACAAAAAATCCTAAATCTCGATTTTGAACACCCTATATCTCTGGAATCATTTTCGATAGACCCCAAGTGTGAAATATCGATGAAATCAGCTCTTCACGGAAAATCTAAAAATGCGTTAAATTACAGGGTGTTCCATTTGAAATATGAAATGTTGCTACTACTTTCTAGTAGAAGCGGCAACACTGCATTGTCGAAAATATTTTAAATGAAGAGAGTGTATTCTAAAATATAGGCATGCACATTTTCATGGATTTCTCTGGACTCATTCTCGATATAAAGATAGTGTAAGCTTGTCGTGTCATATCCTGTAGAATAGGAAAGTAATATATACGAGGTTCTCCATGTTGGGAAATATGGAGTCACATGAATTTGAGAGATATTGGACTACTTATTCAAAATCAAAAATGCAGCAAAAATTCACCTGAAATTGAAGTGATAAATTGATATTTATTTTGAATTGTTGAAATATATGATATATTCAGAAATATATCAGTATCACTATATATATTTATATAGCAGATCTTAGTAGGGTAAGAACCACAGTGAAATATTGTTAATATGTATATACATTTAATAAAAATCATTTCCATAATCAAATCAATACAACAGATTCAGCCATAACAATAAACAGATATTTTGTTACATGATCACAAATTCCATCAAACTCTTCAACATTTGGTCTGAGGAGCATCAACTTTTCAACTTACAAATAAAGCCAACGTTATAGAAAATACAACAATCAATATTTCGATGAATAATAAACTGATAACACATTATCCTCACTTTTGACATGTATAAAATGTATATTGATAATCTCTAGTCGAAGCCGAACAGAATATCATAATGACTTAAAAGAATATTTTCGGTGATTAAAAAATACACGATAGATAATCAGTCATTTTACGTGGTGGAATTGTGGCGTCCCTCACCTTCTGTATACGATCTACCTGGATCGTCAAACTCCACCCTAGTAGTTTCTTTTTGGTCCACTATTGCCTGAATAAAAATTCGAGAATACAACCACAATTAAAGGCTTAATCATTTGCAAATTCTGTTAAAAGAGGTGCAAATATTGATATACAAAAATCAAGAATCTGAATGAAATTAAGTAGTCCTGCTAAAATTTGATGAGATGATGAAAATTACACAAGTAGTGGTGAATTTTTGACAATTTTAACTATATGCACGAATCTTAAGCTACAAGTGCTTAACTGCAACGCGAGAAATGCCCATTTATTTACAACTATATATTATGTAATGTTGTCATTACTAATGTCATTGAAGGTTGGGAAGTGTCACATTACACACCTCTACTTCCCGCCCCTCACTTCCCGCCCTCACTTATGTAATATTTCAGGTATGTTCAGATCGAAACAGAGATTTATTAATTTTGATCAAAATATGATGGTTGTAACTAGAATATATAAATAATATACTATTCCCTGTTTGTGTTTGCGTTGTGGAACATTGACAGAACGTCATGAAAAAAAGGTTCGGTTTATTGTTTGATTCATATTAGGGAACTGATTTATGAAATTATATTCAACAGTCTCTAGAAGAAACAACATTATATGTATTATGTATATGATTTGAAAATGATTATCTGATTATCTTATTTTTGTTTTTTTAGTTGCTCTTTCATAATTTTCCGCTGCTATAAACATATATGTTTCTTGGGAATAATAAAGATAATAAATAATATTTGCTCTAGACAATTTTGATTACAGAGTTCTGATCGAGACTAATTTCAATTTATATTAGTCAAGCAGGTATTACAAAAATACAATACCAGATAGGATGAAGGAGAGTTGAAAAGAGCTGACAGAGATTGAGAATATACAGGGTGCTTCAAAATTCGATGTGAATATTTCAAGGACATATGGTTGGGATCAGAATGAGCCTTTTTTTTTCATATAAACCTCCAACTCCCCCAAAACGGGGTTAAAATTATTTTTGAAGCAAAAGAGAAGAAGAGTGCATAAAAAACAGGGGCATGCCAATTTTCAGACGATTTGATCCGTTATTATGATCACAAATTTCAGCTAGGTAATCTTTTCATTTTCACAAATTCCTTCTGTACCTTCACTGCTGGGAATAAAAAGCAACTGAATTCAATCTGGAAGTTGAGAGAATATCTTTCAATTATACACTGTAAAATGCAGAAAACTTCCATGAATAACATGTGAAACCAAGCAATAACGATCAAAGATATTCTACTGAAGAATTCAAACTCGAAAAATATCATAATGACTACTAAACTTTCGATAAAATGCATGGATGTTTGAATGTAAAGAATGTACTTTCCATTGGTTACTTGAATATCCACAAGAGGGCGTATCGCTTCTTGTACATTATTCGATCTTCTTGGCTAACTGGGTACAACTCAGTTAGAACAATACGCAAATTTGCACGAGAAGGATGTGATAAAAGTAGTTTCATTTGAGAACAGAACAAATTTTCACATGCTGGTGCGAACAAATCTGAACTGATGTGAAGAAAATATTGATTTTGATTCGCAATCAAGGATTCAGCAGGAGCACTAAACTACAACAGATTGAGCGAAATTCTTCGCAAACAGAATCGAGACCGAACACAGAATTCGTTGTAAGAGTGTTGCGAGTATGGACAACAAAATCAAAAATATCAATACGTTTACCATAATTATGGAATGACCATTATCTGAAGGATGGACTATTTGAAGAGTATCTCAAATGCAGTAATAAATTTGCGCCTTCAAAGTGCCCACCTGGTGTAAGGTTTAGATATTCGATAATATCATTCAATCATCTAGATATTCTGATACTTTCGAGTCCCAAAAGATGGATCCTAATAGTTATATCCAAGGTACTGACGTATACAGGGTGATTCAAAAGTAAGCGGCATCCTTTCAGAGGCGTATTCCTTGCATGAAAATAAGGCAAAAAGTTCCTATTGATAAGGATCCGAAAATGCTTCCTAAGGGAGCTACGGCCCTTTGAATAGGACACCTCAAAGACGGTTTTTTCTCTATAACTTTAAAATCCTTCACAACAAATTTTTAAAAATTGGTGTACGGCATAAACATTCGATGGTAAATAGGACTCCGTATTCGAAATAATTTCCAAACGAAATCACAGTAACCTGAATATCCGGAGAAGAAGGGATATTTTTACACTTACCCTCTCCCGCATGTGACGCCCCTGAATGAAATTCTGAAATTTCGAATACGGAGTCCTATTTACCATCGAATGTTTATGCCGTACACCAATTTTTAAAAATTTGTTGTGAAGGATTTTAAAGTTATAGAGAAAAAACCGTCTTTGAGGTGTCCTATTCAAAGGGCCGTAGCTCCCTTAGGAAGCATTTTCGGATCCTTATCAATAGGAACTTTTTGCCTTATTTTCAAGCAAGGAATACGCCTCTGAAAGGATGCCGCTTACTTTTGAATCACCCTGTAGAGTTTCATATCTGATTGTTGTATATTATGTGTCCAAAGAGCAAAAAACAGAGACAAAGCAATGGCAAAGTGAAATAGGATGCGTAGAACTGAATGGAGAAAACTAAACAGGTGGATGCACCTCCATATTAGATGCCCCTGACAAATCAAAAAGTGTACCACCATTGTCGTCACTCTAGCCTGTGCTAGAGTTCCTAAATGTACTTGACACTGCTTTTTGGCGTATTTTGTATATAAGAGTACGAACACTATGACAATCACTGATAATCAGACATAACCACAAATAAATTGATGGAAAAAGCGGGATCTGACCGTACACGGACGTACATGACATAAATTTCAAAGGTTTGACAAATTGAGAGAGTTAGGAGAAAGATGCAAGTTTGTGCAGTTTCCAACTGAGAGAACACGTTGAATCAATTCACTTTATTCAAATTTCCATCGGATAACGTGATTCTACAAAAATGGAAACAGAATATGATGCGGCCGGCATAGAAATATGTTCAGGCCACAAAATTTGCAAGAGGGATTCAAATTTCTTGGTAGGATATGGAACATTTTTCAACGCATTTTTATCAGGTACACTTCAGAACGGAAGATTTCATGTTGAAGAATAGGATCGTATTGAGAAAAAGAGCCGAACTTTGAAAAACTTTTGCATTTAAAAAACCAACAATCCCCTTTAGCAATGTGAACGGCGATCTATAGTGAGTCGAGCGCTGAAGTCCATTTATACCTACTTTCGTATGTCTTGGAGAACCTTTATTATTTACAACTGAAATCAGCTGTTATTGTTACCATATCATTTGCTCATTTATGTATTACTCATTACCTACCACTCTTGTACAAGTAAAATTGTTCCATACGAAATAAAAGTATGTTTCATCAGTTGATATTAAGCAGTTTTTATCCCATTCTGAACTTTTGTGATATAAAAAAATTTAACTGAACGTATATATTATATACCTACATATAAGAGACTTATTTCATAGGAATAGTATATGTATTTCGATGGTAACTATGTACATACCAACTTGAAATCGACCTCCATTGAGGTCCTTCAGTCTTATCATTCAATATTTCGAGAAGAAATAATTTTCTTATCAGTTCATCGTACCCTTTTACCCACTCGAGCAGACGCTATGCACTCTCATACAAAAATCAAAGTCAGAGAAAGATAGATGGATGTACTACTCTTCCCAGGACTTGTGGAGGAAGGAATATGCGAGGATCCTTTATCCAAGCGAAAAACATATTCTTGTCCTTGTCTGGCAAAACATATGATTTGCTTCAAAATCGTGTGTGGTTATGTTTAATTGTCACTAAATAAATAATAATAAATAAATTTATTAAATCCTTCATGATCAAAAAAATGATATAGGATACGTCAGACAACAGATACACAAACATTTGAACATAAATTAGTAACATTACAGTTATACACCAAAAGTAGATATAAAATGAATATAAATAAAATAAAGAAATTGGTCCTAATAACTAAGATATTCATCAGTACTACAGAAACAACCTTCAATCAAAAATTCTTTCAGTTCTGCCTTGAAAATATTTTGACTACTTCGGTTTTTTATATCATCCGGTAGATGATTGAACAGTTTTGCTCCCACATATGACGGACAGTTCTCATAGAGACGAGTTGAATGTTTTTGGAGCCGTATCAGTTCATCATGCCTTGTAGGATATGCATGAAAATCACAATTTCGGTTGTAGTCATGGATATTTATTTTGCTTGTCTAGTGTCCGTACTCTCGACAAAAAACGTCAAAAACAGCAGTGTCAAGCACATTTTGGAACTCTAGCCCGCGCTAGCCACCGTTAAACGAGCAAAGCAGTGGTTCAAGGTCAGCAGAAATACACTTACTCGAATGGATGAACTGCGAATACAAGTGACGCTGCTTTTTAATCCTCATATGTCGCCATCGCACATACCTGCAAATTCTTCACCTCCCTCTCGTGAAACGCGCTGCTGCCCTCCGACGAGGCCAGCGAGGCCGACAGCGGTGACGAATGCGGGCTAAGACCCGCCGTCGTCGTGACGTTCACCTCGTGGCAGCTGCTGGTGTCCGGCGAATGTGCCGGTCGCTTGCCCCGCTCCGCTTCGAGCCGCTGCCACAGGTCCAGGAGCTTCTCTTCGAGCCCTCGGTTGATGGTCAGTTGCGTCTGGTATTTGCTTTCCACCGCCTGGAACGATCGAGAGATGCATTTCATTTTTATGTTCTTGTCTAACTTGGTTCTCTTCTTGTCTTTTTAGCCTTGATCACCCAATAGGCCGGGAGCCCACGTGTTTTTTGTGTCTCATTCGTTCACACTCAGCAGTAGGCAGTATAAGAACCCCTCAAATTCCACATTCCACTACATGTGTGCAGGGTGCGCCTCTTGAAATGGAACCCCCCTTAACTCTGTTGTTTTCAGAGATATGAAAAAATGTTAAATGAAGAAGTTTTTTGAAACGATCCAAACTTTCATTTCGTGAAATTGTTTATTATACAGGGTCATTAGTTTTTCTGGAAACGACATGAACTTTGATTTTTTCAATAGAACACCCTGTATATTTTCCGACATGTCTATAGAGCCTGTTTTTCTAATCTCAAAAATATACGAGTTGCATATTTGGATGAGAAGTAGTTGAGTTATTGATGATCAAAGTTTTATGAACCTTCACTTCATATCATAAAATAATGTGAAATGAATATAGTGGGCTCATAAATAATGTTTATATATTGTTAAGGCTCATGATATTGTTTATTATGGAATTGAAATCTTTCAATCTCAATTCAATGCGGTATTTTGGTAAACTTTGATCAGCAATAACTCAATTATTTTCCAGTCAAATATACAATTCATATATATTTTTTAAATCAGAAAAAGAAGCTCTATCGACATGTTAGAAAATATATTTTTTTATATTTGTTTACAACGGATTAAAATAGTTTCTCATTTTGACATAGGAGTCGTGTTTCTTGGGCTAGTTATTTATTCAAGCATGCCATCACATTGTGCCGAACGTTTAGGGAGGATACGATACGATATAGGGATTTCCTTTCATGCGCTCCAAGAGATTAAAAAAACATCTAATTTTCTCTCAAGTAATGCTCTATTCTTTCTTGAGAGATGACATTTATTGAAAAATAATAACACAATGTCAAACAAGCGAAAGAAATTGAAGAATTCTTTTGTCGAGGTGGTCGATATCTTCTATGGACATCATATGGGTCTAATCCCCCATTTGATAATGTGCGAGTCCCCCAACTCCAGGGGTATTCCCACTAAACACTCCACCCCGTTTGTAGGCTAGTATGACCGATGTCTCCGACGACACTTAGGCCTTGTGGCCCATTATATCTTACCTACGAGGTGTCCCAGAACAACGTAACATACATTCTGAAAATGCGCCATTGAGCCGTGAGAGGGCGATGAAGAATAATTTTATTTACAAATTTTCCTGAATATTTCAAAATCCTTGAAAGTTACTGCTCTAAAATTCGTATCGCAATTTACCAACATGAAAACCATGTCATACCAATTTAATCCATATACAGGGAGATAGATAGGCCAAACGTCGTCCTTCTCCTACGAGTGGCGAGGGAAGGGGTCGGTCCAGCCCGGTGTTTCCCCCTGCACAGGGCTAAGGCTGTTTACTCTGAGATGTCACCCTGTTTCCCAGAGGCTCCGTTAGCGACATCAAACCTCGATACCATTCATCCATCGCCACGGGTTCCAACAGCTTGGATTGGGTTGCCATAGCCTTGTTGACCAGTCCTTGGCCACCAAGACAGATACCTACAAATCGCCTTATCCTTGCCACAGATGTCCACAAATTAAGCCATCTAGCCCGGATATAGCAAAGATCTTCCCAAAATGCTTCATATGTCGAGCGGCCGCGGTCTGTCTTCCCCACACCACTTAATGGGAGGTTGGGCTTGGAGGGAAAGAGGAAAAGAAAAGTTGGCCAAGGAAGGCCAATAGGACAGATTGAAAAAGGAAGAAAGGGAGGATATCACCCAAGACACGATGAAGTTTGGTGTATATCCGGCTAGGGTACCTCGGGTTCACCATTCCTGTACCATTTACAAGTTGTGAGCCCCTGACGGGAATTGAAGACACAATGCACCTCATTGATTTATCGAAAACAGCAATTTTGTGTTATAGCCGTAGAAAAAACACATTGTGGGCTCCCGGTCTACAAGGTCAAATAAACTCTTATAAGGTTGCCTCTTATTTCTTTGGTCTGACGTCACTGTATTCCCTCTCGTCTTCTGTCGAGCGGAGAAATGGCGGTGCAGGTGGCAATGTTTTAGGTTAGGGTTACAGTTTTGCAAATTGCAATATTCGAACAGAAAATTGTATTCTATTCATTCAAGATTCAACATTTTTTCGTTCGAATTGATAAATTGGGCGTCCATTAGAATCAGCTATATTTAAAGGTAAGTTCCTATAGATGGCATATAACATATACCAATGTAACTACTTCAACTTGTGCATTGTAAATTGAAATAGCAAACCAAAATATTGAGAAAGAGGTATTGGAGATAGATTTTTTTACCAAGTTTTAAAGGAAACTGAAGGCAGTTTAAAATAATTGTACTTGTACATTTGCGATAATTGCTATTATGAGCTTAAAAAAATGTATGTGAATATTTAAAAACAAAAAACTTCAGATGTGTGATACCTAGCTTTAAATGAAAAAGGATGAACATAGAAATGAATTTCTACTGAATTATACATGGTATTCTATCTGAAATAACCAACTTATGACCATTCGAAAAAGTCAACATTGGCCATTATGAATCACTCTCTGTGATATAACTTTTCAATTATGATTTCATTGAAGGGATAATCAAAGTATCATCGGAATTCATGCATAATTTTTTAGGAAAAATTTGAAAACTAAGGCATATTAATTGCAATCAACATTGATTGACTGATTGATTGTATTTATTACGCCAAATAAACATATCTGTTTATGTCTATTTATATGTCTATTTATAACTATTTATATGTCGTGTCAAAAAAATTTAAATAATAATAAAATGTTAACCAAAACTAATGAATTATTTCATCTGAATGTTGCTGCTCTATGTGAATATAATAAATTACCCAATAATATGAAAAATTGCAGGAATATAAAGAAATTCATAAATCAACTAAAAAGTTATACAGGTATCCAAAAATGATCATTACAGATTGGACCTACCTCGAGTTTAACAAATCGTTGCTCATTTATCAGAGCTAGTGATTGTTTTTGTGTTAAAATCAGATCCTCCTTTGATATCAATGTATGCTCCAATTCCACAACCCTATTTCTATAGGCCTCCAGATTCCCTAATTTGGCCTCCAGCTGCTGATTCAGCCCTGAAAATGAAATAAAATCAAATCATCAGCATTGTCGTTGAGTTCAGCTACCTTTGAGCTCCTCTTCATATGTGCTTTTCAATTCCTCCAACTCTTTATCACTCCTCTTGTTTGCATAAACACTGTCCAATTTCTCTTGATACTTAAGGTGAAGTTCGCCTATCAAAAGAAGTTCTTTATTGACTTGCTCTAATTCCTTCCTTCCTTTTTCGCCCGCTGATGCTTGCTGCCTCGCTATCTGTGGGGTTAGAAATTCCCATTCTCACAAGGAAACACAAACAATAGAAGAAATTATTGATAGGAGATGCAAAACTTACATTTACTTCTGCGATAGCATTTAATAACTCCGCCTGAGCTTCCAGAAGTTTACTATCAGACATGGCACATCTGCTTTTCGCGTCATTCAAGTCTTTCAACATATTCTCGTTGGTTTCTTTCATAGACTTCAATTCTTCTTGTATCTCCTTGCACTAAAGACAGAAAAATAAAAATAGAACATAATCTTAAGAAGCATCTATACACATAGATAGTCAAGTTACAAGGGACTTTTCACCTGGTTCTCCCAATACTGTATGGTTTTGTTCAATTTCTTATCCTCTTGCATTCTTTCCCTTTTATAGTATTCTAGCTGATCTCTCAAATCTTCAAGATCTCTTTGTTGAAGCTGCACAGTGTCTCTCTAAAATAAACATGATGTAACTTTCACCAACTTTTTTTATGTAAACAAAAATAAATCAATCCATTATTCCCGACATGAAATTTAATAGTAGGATAAAGAATTTGTTTCAGCAAAAATGTTAATACAGTATAAATGAAGTCATGGAACATGTACTCAACTGCTCAGTATAAATATACAGTGAGGAAGTAAAATCCCCCCCCCGGAACAATCTATCGAGGTTCTTGAATTTCTGTTGTTATTCAGGTGTTTATTTATTTGTAAAATAGCAAATTTCAAATGCTTGTTAGTTTAAAACGGCTTGGTCGATTTGTTCAAACGAAGCGGTGTTGGATGGTTCAAAACCAGGTGCCACGTGACAGCTATTTACATTTGAAAAAAAGTTTATTGTGCTCTCTCCACACTAGGCCACGTGACCACGATCATTTTCCTGCCAAAAAATAGTAGGAGAGGTGTAAACATTTCGAGCACTTGTTAGCATAGTTAAAATAGCTTCTTGAATTTTGGTTACAAATAAGTTATTCCGGTGTTTATTTGTTTGTAGAATAACAAATTTCTCTCCCCACTAGGCCACGTGACCACGATCATTTTCCTGCCAAAAAGTAGTAAGAGAGGTAGGTACCTTTTTACTAGAATTTTACCCGACCTCGACAGCTTGTTCTGTTCAGAAATTAAGGGGGGTAGGACATTTTGGCCCTCACTGTATATTTGATTACAATTGAAGAGTACTGATGTTCCTTCGGTTCATAGTGTTATTTTCATCTTTTTTTAGTATTTTTATTGTGATATAATATGGAGTTATATTGTTAAATCATATATTTGGGTTATTGTGTGTATACATAAATAATTGGGATACCATATGAACTAAATGTACAAGAGTAGTAAATAAATATCAGTGGCGTAATTAAGGGGGGGGGGTCAATGGGGTCTGGATCCACCCCCCAGAGCTGTCTGAAAAACCGAAACAATCTTCTAAACAATTCTAATAATGGAAAAATAAACATGCGTGTAGGAATTATCGCGTGAATTCAATTTGTAATTTGTTAGAACCTCCGAACGAATATCGGAGGTTACTTTTTATCATTTGAAACGTACGATAACGATAGAAAATGTAAATATTTTAAGGTCATATTGTTGGGTCAAAATAAGACTTTTTCTTCATATAAACATGTCTTAAAATGCACCCCCTCCTAGCTACAGCCATTGTAAGAGTACTCAAGATATTTACGTCGAAGGTAGTTTTTCTTATTTCCTCCATCTCCCTAAAAGTTGCCGCTTGATTCCAACAAAAAAAAAATGCAACAATTCGTCGAATTTTCAATTTCCGTTATTTTGTGTTATTTTTTGTTCCTATTTCAATGTTTGTACCTGTTGGTATGTTTTATTTGATTATTTTTCAATAACTACCTATTTCTTTATTTTGTTATTGGTTCGAAATGATACATATATTTATTAAAACCAACGTAAGTTACGTATTGCTTTTCTTTTTCCTAAATATTAGATATTGGACCTAGACCCCCCCCCAGGGAGGAATCTTAATTACGCCACTGTATAATAAATACATCTAGATACTCTATTTTTCATTATACAAAAATGTTATCTGATAGAGGTAATCAATTTATGGAACATACCAAAGCCGAATTGTGTTCTTCCAACGATCTAGTGCTCTTAGCATCTGAAAGCAGGCGACGATTCCTGTACGCGTGAGTTTCTCTTCTGTGTCTCTCGAACAAGAGCTGTTGGTGAACTAACTGCAACTGGTCTTTGAGATGTTGAGAATTTTTCCAGTCAGCCGAATGTACTGCCGATTCGATATATCTGCAAAAAGTGAGGATTGATAGAATATCGATGTAAAAAAGGAATACGCATACCATAGATATATAAAAAGAGGAGAGACAAAATTGTTTACATTTTGTCCCGATCCATTATTGTTTTCAGCAAAAAACGATGATGATGAATGTCTGCAGATTGCAGTAGATCTACCTCATGTGTTTTATAAAGAGGGAAGTATTTATCATACATTAATTATATAATATACATTTTTTATGTATATTATATGATTCTGTATGTTTATTCTTTGATTGAAATATGTGAATTATGCTATTAAAATAATTTAAATTTTACTAATTTCATCGTTACATAAAATTGTAATGTATTATGGAAACAAGTATGGCAACGATTTATTCGCGTGTTTATAAAGTTGAAATATTCGAACTATTTTACGAATTTGGATGGTGTCATTGTAGTATTTCAAATAAATGACTAATGTTTAATATATTATCATGTGAATGATTCATCTGTATAAATCACCGAATGTGACGTTGGGCCGTTAGGTAACATCAGCACAAGAAGGCAGTTGTGATCGGACGGTCGGGCGGAGTGAAAGGTGTCATCGAGTACAAAAGTGTTTTATTGATATAGGTCGCGTGCACGATGACCGACCCTGGAGGCAAAATATTGAAACACAACCTCACTCTTCTGTGAATTATTGAAACACAACCTCACTTTTTTATTTGTTTACAGAGGAATCAAAAGGTGGAAATAGTTTTTCACAATATTTTCGTATACGAATCGTGTCTCTTGCGTTATTCATTAATTCAAGCATGCCTTCGCATTGTGCTGTTGTACAATGCACAAAAAATGCAGCAAGGGACTAGGGAATATGATTTTTCAGGTAAATAGTAATCTCACATAGTTGTCATTATGAAATGTTGTCATTCCTTATTAAAATTCCTTCTGCCTTCTGCCACTTCTGCAATACAAGCTAATACTGCTAATAGATTGAAAATGTCTACAACACACACGATCATCAGCATGTCAGACCAGTCCTCCCGATTGATTGCATGAATCCAATCTTCTTGAATTATTCTAGAAATTTCAGGTATATTTCTATTAGCTCCTATTGCAGAAGGAATTCCGATGAGAAATCAGAGAAATAACCAAATTTCAAAAATGAAAACTATATGTGAGTGACTATAGTAGGTACTTACTTTTAAATCATAATGTACCATCCGGATTCCTTCATCTTCCGCTGCAGTTTTTGTACATTTTACAACAGCACAATGTGATGGCATGAGCGAATTGATGAATAGTGACGAAATACGATTCATAGGCCAAAATAATTATGGGAAAACTATTTCGATCACTTGTAAACAAATAAGAAAAGTGACGTTGTGTTTCAATGTTTTGCCTCCAGCGTCGGTTATCTGACAGTTTTTGCACACAACCCATTCACCCTACACCTCATAAGTGACAGACATTACAGTCATAACCACACAGAATGAATGTGTTGTTATTTTGATAACCTAGAGGCCGAAAAAAGGCTAGACTCTACACTAGACTACAGGTACACAATTATAATTTATATATATATTTATATAATTTTGAGTCAATCTTAACAGATGAGCTTTTTTCCAACTTTAAACATGTTATTGTTAACGAACAACATGGTTTCTTCAAAGGTCGTTCTACAGCTACCAACTTAGGAATTATGCAAAATTTTCTATGTAATAAACTCGAACAAGGGTTTCAGGTCGATGTCATTTACACTGATCTTGCCAAGGCATTTGATTCAGTTAATCATAGTCTACTTATTCATAAGATGAAAGCACTTGGTGTTGATGGAAACTATTTGAAATTGATTACGTCTTATTTAGACAAGCGAAATCAGATTGTTAAAATAGGATGATCCACCTCTAAAACGATTAATGTTACCTCTGGCGTGCCTCAGGGATCCCACATTGGACCAATTCTATTTTTATGCTTTATTAACGATGTTATCAATTGTTTCAAAAATTGTAATGTTTCACTTTATGCAGACGATCTCAAATTCTACAGAGTTGTATCATCTCAAGATGACAGTCATTTGATTCAGAATGACCTAATCAATTTTAGCAATTATTGCCAGCGGAATTTTTTGAAAATCAATATTGATAAGTGTAGTAGCTAGTATCAGCGATTTGGGGATAATATTTGACAAAGAACTCACTTTCAATGATCATATCAACAATATCTGCAATAAGTCTCTCAGAATGGTGGGTTTTATAAAGAGGCAAGCTAGAAATATCTCAGATCAGGATGCAATTGAAACGCTGTATATTTCACTAGTTCGGAGCGTTCTTGAATATAATAGTATCATTTGGTCACCAGAATACAATTGTCACAAGAGCCGTTTAGAGAGAGTACAAGGTCGGTTCACAAATTTTCTTGTTTGGAAACTTGGACTTTCCTTCCATGATCTCGGCCCTCTAACTAGAATTTCATTGTTGAATCTTCAAACTTTAGAAGATAGACGAATTATCGCCATGACAAACTTTTTATTCAAAATTGTAAATGGTATTATAAACTGCCCTGAAATATTGGAAAAATTATCATTTCACGCCAATCCTAGGGCTACGAGAACCTGTCACACTTTCTACGTGAAAACCCACCGTACTAATTATGGTCGTACTGCTTTCTGTTGTAGACTTCAAGAAAACTACAATCTCCACTACTCATCAATAAATATATTCAATGTCTCTAATCAAGTATTCATGAAACAACTCAAATCCCACTTCACTAATACTACCTAAATGTCTGAAGAAGTAATTACTTTGTATCCTCTTTCCCAATATGTACCTATATGTTTATCTCGTTTTATATATATAATATACTTGTACACATATACTTTAGTATTTTAGTTTTTATTTGTTTTTGATGTTTTGTTTTGTTTGTTTGCTCGTTAGTATAGTCATAGTCTTCTATACTGTACCATTTGGAATTTTTATCGAATTCTGTAGTGTACTTAAGTAAATAAATAAATAAAAAAAAAATAATTATAAAATTCATCATTTTTTCATTTGATTAGAGCTAATGATGTGTCCATACGCAAAAAAAGAAGTTGTAGTGTTCGAAGCATTTTTAAATGCCGCAAAATTTTTGGAGATTATAAATAATAAATATTTAAATTACTTTCCTGTAACGTGCCGTCAATTTGTTGAAATTCTATCAATGGTGGGAAGAGAAATAAAGAAATTATATATGACAACAGAAGCCTCACCTTCTGCAAATTCTGTTGAAAATTTCATATTTTGCGATTAGCATAAATTTTGCGGAGTTCGTACAAGCATGAACATACCTTTACGCATAATTTTCTTAGATTCACATATGTCAAAATCCGATGTGCCAGTGTTGATGTGCTGTGTTTGTGGCCATTTTAGGACTTTTTGTTTCAATTGATTTTCAGTGTTTTCTTGTGATGAAAATATATGAAGATATGAACATGCATGAATTGTGAAAAAGTTCACCATACAAACCCCAAGGTTATATGTTTCTTTCAACTTGAGCAGTGGTGTAGTTATCGCAGGTTATTTAACTAAATTAATGCAAGAAACCTTGTTTTTTTTTGTTCAAATTCCACTAAATGATGGATCAAAATCACGTAAGAACTTGAGGTACTCCTAATATTATAGGGATTCCCTTTCGTGCGTACCAAGCGATAAAAAAAATTTAAATTGAAAGATTAGACTCAAACATTTTCTAATAGGTATGATAGCGTGAAGAAAAGTGTGAACATTGACGCACAGTTTACAGCATTGCCATTTATTAAAGCCATATCTTTCTAACTTATTTGAAACTTTGGAAGTATTGTATGATTGTAAACGAATAGTGTTTTATGAATCAAATGTCATGCCTCCCCTCTCTTTATATTTCTATGACACATACTTATCCAGAGTATCGTAGATAGTAGCAGGAAAAATCTTCTCTTCAGGTATATTGAAAGGTGCCGGACTAGCCTCGGGACTTGCTTTGATCTCGCTGTTTTCCAATGACGGAAAAACTCCCAGGAACAAATGTTCGTAGGGCCAAAAATTTTCAGTCTGCGTTGTCGATGAGCTGACCGATTTCTTCGGATTCTCTTCGGATATTGCAAATCCATTTACTTTATTGACGGATTCATCGACTTTTTCTGGAGATACTTCTTCATCACTTTCATTCAAAGGTCTCTCGATGTTATCTTTAGGTTGGATGACGACGCTTTTTTTCATTTCTGGACATGAAACAGCTCGTCTCACCGTTGTACTATTTGGGAAAGGAATACCTTGGAAAATGATTCTGTGTTAATTTTAGTAGTAGTTTTCTCCAATTTTAAAGTGCAAATATACAGGGTGGGTCACGATCGATGGTACATTAGACGTTTACGGAGAACGGGACAAAGGATCATTCTGAGGTTACTCAAGTAGTAACTCTTAATCTATCGATCTAAAATATGTTCAGCAATGCAGCGTTGCCGCTTATACCAGGAAATAGTAGCAACTTTGATATTTCATCGCATTTTTAGATTCTTCCTGAAGAGTTGATTTCATCAGTGCATCACACTTGGGGTCTAACGGGAATGATTTTTTCAACATTAGGACTTTTTCGTGCAGAAATTATTCATTATTGCTTTCATGTCCCTATCTCAACCTTTGATTTACTATCTACTGACACTCAATTGGAACAAATACAGGGTCAGTAGATAGTGAACAAATAATTAGGATAGGGACATGAAAGCCGTTTTGACCGATAATGCATAGTTTCGACACAAAAAAATTCTCAAGGTGAAAAATCTAGATTTTGAACACCGTATATCCCTGTATTCGTTCCCGCTAGACCTCAAGAGCGATGAATTGAAGAAATCAGCTCTTCAGTTAAAATGCAGTGTGTTCCATTCAAAATATTAAAGTTGCTACTAGTTTCTGGTATAAGAGGCAACGCTGCATTGCTGAAAATATCTGTCTAAGGTACCATCGACCGTGACTCACCCTGTATATGAGATGAGTGATATCTTTGCACAGTATATCAAATTGTATCCAATATTCTGATTTGTTGTTTGGTATATTATTATATTATTCCTACGATTGACCATGGATAGCAATTTCAGTTCCCTTATTTTGTAAAAAACATGGCTGTAAAAGTTTTGAACCCTCTGAATACCATTCTGGTCTAATTTGGTAAACAAATCACGTTTCTATTGGTTGAGGTAATGCTTGTATGAATAAAGCAACTTGAATGAACTGAATGACTTTTTGAGTCATGATTCGACGATTCTTCATAGATTCCACGGTGATAAGTTATCATCTATTTCAATGAACAGTTCTTGAAACTTTCAGCAGAGTGGTTCATTTGTAGTATAGATGTTAGGGTCTTCACGTGTTGACAATAAATGTCAGTGTCATACAATGTATGGCGTGATCGCATGATCCTACCTTAGAATGATTAGAACCTCATGTATTATCCCGTGTCTTCGAAATGGGTGATATACCCGAAGCGATGTGTCGTCCTATTTGTCAGCAGAGCGAGAACGGCTAATAAGGCCTGGTGAGCCAAACCAGTACTATCTCGCTCCTGCTGACAAATGTGAGCAAAATCCTAGATCTCTTAGTTATGAGATCAGATAACATGAGATGGCAATCACTTTTGTTCACTTTCAAGTTATGTTCATTAACTAGGTCACTTATTGTGATGAGATCCCTGTCAATCTGCTCTTGAACGTATTTTGAATAGATTTGGGTATCATCATGTGCATATGCTTCAATTTCACAATATTTAATTGAAGTTAAGATATTATTTTTATAGATGATGAAGAGTAGCGGGCCCAAAATTGACATAAAATTATGAGAAGTTGACAATATATATTTATGACAGATACTTTTTGGCTTCAAGTCAAGAGAAGAGTTTTGCATGTGTTTCATCTAAGAGCCAGTCTAGATTGCATACAATATGTAATTTTCCTGAGAATAAAGGATATATGAGGGATTGGGATTACTCCTACAGGTATGTGGTGTAGATCCGACTAGGGTATACAATCTCATTGTATAATATAACAAATATCATCAAATACTTCGATGAATCTTCGATATATATTTTATTCAACCTCAACTCGAAGGTTTCCTATAGCAACATAACATATTCAATAAAAGATAAACTAATACAGAGTCACAGTTTCCTACATATAATATTTGTGCATCATATATCATCGGGATTTTAATGACTTTCATCTGATGCTGGTTGTTGGTTGGCAACACATACACTGAGCAGACAATAACTTACTTACCATTTCCTGGACTGCTACCAGTAGAAGTTTCTATTTTTTCTGGCTTGGGATCGCACTGACTATGATGCCGCAATCGCTGGACGCGCTTAGCAAAGTTGTTAATCGATTTGGAATTCGGCATGTGGAGGCCACCTGCCGTACAGGGTGAACCGTGTTCCTGTTCCTCTCCCAGCTTATCATCGGAGCCTATCACATAAATCTATATGAAAAGGTGGCCGACGGCATTTAGTTGAAAGCAAAGAATATCGATATACAGTGTAACCGTTCTCAGTTTCGCACTAGCGAATATCGAGCTCATTTTTTTGTAGAAACTATAATGAAAGATACTAATTCATGAGATGGCGCCCAACGTGGGAGTCCAAGCTATTTACTCGTTCAGTCTGACGAACCTGATCCAAAACCTGCTTGAAGAAATTTTAGTGAAATTAAAAATAAGAACAAACTCCGGATTATTATCAGATTTGTTTTCAACATCGAGTATTGAATTTATTTCAAGATACACATGGAGCGTACTTCTGTCAGTTTCATGAAGAAAGCAAGTTATTTTTGACAACAGTATAATATTTTGGGAATCCTTCAGTATGTTTAACAGAGAAGTAATTATTTCCATCATTACCTTCAAAATGCAAGAGTATTTCATTTCATCATACATAAGTCTAGTACTAGTAAGTAATTTGATTCAACAGCGCTAACTGTAAATTTGAGTGATATATAAAAATGATGAATTTTGGGAAAGCTATAACTTGTCTGAAAGAAAAACTATTCCAATAAGTCATAATGGATACTGTTAAGCAGGATCATTGAAACATTGAAAACAACTGATACTTCTTATTTTAATTGTGTTGATCTAATTTTATATCTATCAAACTTACAAGAATCACATTCTTGTGATGGTGGATCACTATCCAATGGTTTTGCTAAATCATTTCTGCTAACAATCGATAGGACTTCTTCATCTTCTTGACTAGCTGGAGATTCGTTTCTTTGGCTTGAATTAAACTGTCTCGACACTGTTTCACTACTTATAATACGTAATGGACTAGATGGTTGTGGTAGGTTTTTGTATCTAGAAGATTCAGTGCTGGAAGACACATCAACAATCTGTAAGAAAATTAGATTTTGAATGAAGCTGAAGCAACATTCAGAAGATCATGATACTTTTTGAATTAATATTATGAATATCATATATTTTGAGAGAAAACATTTGTACTTTAGAGAGTTCAGTTACAAATTTCCTAACCTTATATTCCACACTTTTCACAGGTACATCAAAAAGTACTCCATTGCCTTTCTGGCTTGGGCGCTTTATTTAATTGATGAAAAGCGTAATCGAAATATTATATATTATCCTCACACAGTGGTGTTCAAGCAATAAATAATGAGTCAAAGCCAGTTTATCATCGCACATACAGGAAATGGGAACCGCAATTATATTTTCAGATAAATCGATGGCATACTTCCTTCTCTACCCACATTCCACAGTTATCCCCATCATTCCTCATTTACTTCATTAATTCGTATTTTATGCATTGATAGACCATTTTATGCTGAGCGTTGCTGTTGACATATTGGATATCATTATTTGGTTTTGCGGCGAAACAATTCTCTCAGGGTAAATTTTTATGGTTGTTCTAGCCGTGTTGGGAACCGTAGGCCGTAGAAATAACTCAGAATTTCGCAAGCCACTCAGTATCTTTATTAATTAGCCATCTATACAGGCCGATCTTTCGTCTAACTAAAACTGTAAAGTTGACATTGATATATGTATAGTTTATACAATATTGGTGAGGCAGGAATCCATTATTAACTCGGAGGACGTACATTATCACATCTTCCTTATAGTGGCTCAGGGCTCCTTTACAATTAACCTGACCTTTAACTGGTGCTTATTTGCACAATAATTTTATTCAATGTTTTTTTCATAATGTTTTCTTTTCATTCCCACGTGAGTAAATTCTCTATTTCATACATTTTTCATGATTAACTTATATCATATTATAGGACCTTTGGTTTGTAAGGATTAAGGCTGATGATGGACACATGACTGTCCGAAACATGTTTCCCTTAATAATCTTTCGATTATTGAACGTTGTGGAGATGATTTTGTGTTTTCTAAGGGGCCACTTTATGAAAAAATTCAAGACTTAAGATTTATCACCTAACATTTAAGGCTTATCACTTATGACAGTGGCACATGGAAATATCATTGGTTATGTTATGAAACCATTTGAGACTTATGATTTTACATGTGAGATTTGAGAAGATGGCCAACTTTCAACTTAAGGAGTGTTGATAAATGATCGTAAATGGAATAAGGAGTGCGCATCCAAAATTGACATCTGAATTTCCCGCCATTCAAAAGTTATTGAGGGTTGTTATTCCTGAATATTTGTTTTTTTTCTGATAGATAATATGGAAACTAAACTGTTCTTCAAAAATACACTCCATATTTGGCAAAAGATCAAAGGAGTGGGCCAGCCAGTTTCTGTTAGGCAAGGAATAGTGATTACTTTCTAAAATAATGTGGATATATAATGGATGTCTGTTTTTAGGGATATAAATCAATAGAGGTTCTGATACAAAAAATATCTCCAATCATTGGAGCTTTGCGAAGATGTCCTAAACTTGACAAAAAAGTCATAAACATTCAGTACTTCATTCTCATATACTCAGTCGTATTACCTATATGATAAACGTTTGGGGATCTTGTTCAAAAAATTATTTCACTAAAATATCTGCACTTTATAAGAAAGCACTGAAAGTATTGTATCGCCTCTCATTTGATATTCCAACAAATGATCTGTATGCGATAGCAGAAAAATTTTCATTGGATGTATTATATAAAATAGATTCTGTTAAAGTTCCATATAATATAATAAACAATAATCTGAAATCCAATTTTGTTTTGGTAAGAAACTCAGAAATCCATGGTCATCACACGAGACAATTAAACTTATTTCATCTTGATTCTGCTACTTCTATAATTGGCCAAAAAAAATTTACTCACGCTGCTCTAGCTGAATTTAATAAATTACCACATAATATAAAAAATTGCACATATTTCAAAATTTAAAATTGAATTAAAAAAACACATGATTTCATTAGGGAATGGATAAAATTGATACTTTGCCATCTACTGATTAGTCCCTGTGGCTATTTTTATGACTTGATCGATTTAGCATTTTTAGATTTTTTAGATTTTTATTGTTGTTGTTGTCACCTTATATTATTTTATTATTGTTGTTTGTAATCAACTTCCTCATACCAGAATTTTATTTCTGACTGGAAGCTAGTTTTTCAATAAACAATAAGAATATCAGAACATGAATTTTTGACTTCGAACCAGTTTCTAACTTACTAAACTCTGAAAATCTGGTTTTGTATCAGAAACTATATGTCAGTAATGACAGAAGACATGTATCGCCCTAGAATCTCATTTTTTTTATAACTGAATCCACGTAAGACTCTCAAGTCCCAAATGTTTAAATGTTAAATCTTAAATGCTAAAAGTTTTTATAAAATCACCCTAACCCTCTCATTACAGGATATCACTTCTCGTGGGAACCGGAACATAAAAAAATGTACGGTGGAAATACGAACCTGTGCCCTGTCTAATATCAATTTGTTAATTTTCTGATTAGTGCGAGTCTCTGGCTTCGCGCCACCGAAACCGTACCCCGCCTTGTGTTCGGAGGAGTAACTGAAAGCCGACGAGGAAAAGTCTTTACGCATCGGCGAAGACGGTTGCGAATGGGTGGGCGTGGAAGACAAAGACCCGGACGGCCTCGGTTTCGTATTGAAGGTCGTCAAGGCCCTCACTATGTTAGAGTTCAACGGTTGAGATCTGGCGGGAATGGCTCGATAACCCTAGAAAACAAAGCTACTGTCACAAACAAAAAATATGGTATTTATCATTGTCTGCTAAATATGGAGAAAAAATCTAGTGAGCTGTAACTACTGGTCTGCTCTCACCTTTTTCTAGAAAAATTTTGAAATTTGTGGTTATGTAAGTTGTCAGTGTCAAGAGGAGTCGTGCCATCGTGACTTGTATTGTATTTTGCTTGAAAAAAATCTTTCTTTTTCAATCCTCATTGTTCTAATATTCCTTTCATTTATAGATATAGTTTTGTATTGTGCTCCCAGTATAATAGTTTATTCTGATTGATAATTTGTTACAAACACTGTCTCTCAATTGTGCCTACAGGCTCATTACAAGTGAGATAATCAGAGCCCTGATCAAAAGCTAATAATCCATACTACTCATTCTACCTCCCATTTAATTTAGGTGTTGAACGTTACGAAATTGGAGACTATTGTATTGTATGTAGCAACCATTTTGAGAAGGAATGATTTTTTTGAATCCTTGAGTGACTGAGTGACCGTGACCCGTGACTATATATCGTGATACTGAACTCAAACTCATTGAACAACAAACTACGCGGCAGGCCGAGAGTGTCGAGAGTGACGAGAGCACCGCTGAGTGAGCTGCTCAACTCGTTTCAAGGTTATATAGGTTTGACAGGAAAACAATAGAAATGAGTGTTTCCTCGAGTTGACCGTATGGCGACACTACTGTATCGGCCACAGAAACCTTAGGTGATTTCCCTTGTTTGAGAAGACCAGATACTACAGCTCACTAGATTTTTTTCTCCATATTTAGCAGACGATGGTATTGATCATTCTAGAACACGTGATTTTGACATGGTTTCTCGAGGGGCACACAAACTATCTGTTAGGTTACCTTTAATGAGCATTGCCCTGGCCGTCGTCCCTGCCACATCCACAATATAATAATAGTTTCACCAAACAAAATTATGAAATTCTTTCTGGTTCCAACTCGGATTCCAAGGAAAATGATCCCACTAATTCTGGTTTTATATGACAAATCTTGACAAAATACTATGTTTGCCCCTCAGCAACCTGTCAAATGACGTAACTCTGGAATGATTAATAGGTCGCGTGCACGATGACCGACCCTGGAGGTAAAATATTGAAACACAACCTCACTTTTCTGTAAAACATTGGAACACAACCTCACTTTTTTTATTTGTTTACAGAGGAATCAAGGGATTGAAATAGTTTTTCACAATATTTTGGCATACGAATCGTGTTTTTTGCGCTATTCATCAATTATTCAAGTATGCCTTCTCATTGTGCTGTTGTACAATACACAAAAGCTGCAGCGAGAGACGAAATAATATGATTTCTCAGGTAAATGGTAATCTCACATAGTTTTCATTATGAAATTTCTGCCACTTCGGCAATAGAAGATAATACTGCTAATAGATTGAAAATGTCTACAACACATAAGATCATATCGAAAAGGAATATTCTCAGATATATTTATGAACACGAAAAAAAAAGGATATATATACATAAAGAAATACATTGAGAATTCGCATTCTCCATGTGATGCAAATATTAATTCTTTCTCGGTTTATTCAATAGAATACAACTACTTTCCTGGCAATATGTCACGACGAATAATGAATTACATCTATTGAACACACACGATAAGAATTGGAAAACAAAATCCTCTGAACATATTGGAAAGTTATATTCTTGTTATATCATAATACATCATATTATTCTATTCGATTTGGGAGATGATGTCAATTCTCAATTTCAGAGGATTTTGATTTTTCATGCTCTCTTTTTGGATATTCGTCGTGGCAAATAGCCAGGAAAGTAGTTGTTTTCTGTTGACTTTTCAGAATGAATAAACCGAGAAAGAATTAATATTTTCATCACATGGAGAATGCGAATTCTCAATGTATTTCTTTATATATATATATCCATTTTTTTGTGTTCATAAATATATCTGAGAATATTCCTTTTCAATACTTTCACAAATTCAAGGGGTTCAAATTTGTACAATGGAAACTTTCGTGATTAGGTTTTCTCAATTCAGAATTTCTTTCCACGTATGATTAATATCAATTTATCATACATCCAAAAACATACGATCATATTTGGTCACCATGTCAGACTAGTCCTCCCGTTCGATTGCATGAATCCAATCTTCTTGCATTCTTTTAGAAATTTCACCAAAATATATGTGAGTGGCTATAGTAGGTACTCACTTTGAATCATAATGTACCAACCGGATTAATTCGGCTCTCGCTGCATTTTTTGTGCATTGTACAACAGCACAATGTGATAACATGCACGAATTATTGAATAGCCGAAAAACACGATTCCTATGCCAAAATAATTGTGAAAAACTATTTCAATCATTTGTAAACTAATAAGAAAAGTGAGGTTGTGTTTAAATGTTTCACCTCCAGGTTCGGTCACATGACAGTTCTTGCACGCGACCCATTAAAGTGTGACAGTACGAAAATAATACATGCAAATAAAAATAACCCGAAAACTAGGGAGTCAAAGAATCCACCAGAGAGGCTCACCGCTGATATTTGACCAATCCAATTGACGATGTTTTAGCCCCTACAAAATGTTACTCGATAACCCTTGAAAACAAAGTAACTGTCACAAACAAAAATGTGAAAATCAAGTGTGACAGTACGAAAATAATACAGGCAAACGAAAATTATCAAATAACTAGCGAGTAAAAGGATTCATCGGAATGTCACACCCTTGTCATTTGACCAAAACAACCCGCTACGATATGTGGTTCATGTCACTGTCCTTGGCGCCAAAGTCATCATCATCACGCTAAATAAGTAACCGACAAGCGTTTTATTTCATTAGCGTAGCTGAATAATAATATCGTATCGTAGAGTATCTGGACAATTCGGTTTTCTAGATTTCATCAAGTGAAGAACAATATGACTGACAGCACTTTTGCATTGATACCACCATTACTAGCGAGCGCATTATTTCGTTTTTGAATTGACATTGACTTGGTGATCGCGAAATTTATATTGTGCTCTGGGTGGTCATCTTTTAGAAGACTATACAAATTTTACAATTTTTTTAAATTTTTTTGCACTATGTTATAACACTTATCAACAAACCGACCGAATATATCTCTGTTCTCAGGAGTCACAAAGAAGACCGTGAAAGATCGTGAATTGGAAAATCAAAGGACTTCCTATAATTCATTCACAAATTTTACTAACCCTCACAGGAGTAGTTTCTGGTGTTGCCTCTATAGCTGCTTCAGGTGGTGAAGTGCCTTCTTGAGAAGGAAAGTTTGAAGATATCCCCTAAAAACACATTCATAAATCTGACACCACAAAATTACTATGGATATCTTGTTACCTGTGCTTGAAGGATATTGGTAGGCAGACTCTCAGAAATAGGCGGCGTAGGGACAGTGAACATTCTACTAGGCGAAAAAAAGTTTGTGGGTTCAGTATTGGGCATTTGTAAAGATGCTATGTTCTTCAGATTCTGACGGTGATGGGATTCTGGAAAAAGTAATCATTTCAATTTACGATAATCCCGATCGCTCTGAAGAGAAATATGGAGGAAGAAAGAACATTTCTTAATCTCGTTTACAAAAGTAAAGAGCTCAAGTTGGTTTTAAACATCGATTACAGGGAAGTGACTTGACACAAATTCAAAATAGTGGGTAGCATTAACCAATCTTCCATTTCTGAATCATGGCAACAATCTGTTTTCCTTACCCATAGTCGAATTGGACGTTCCTGACCGAGATCTGAATCCAGACGTGTATTGACAAGAATCATGGGGGCATCTATCTGTTAAATCCAAGCTGAATCTCTCACATTCCACGATTACATCGTGGACACCCATTTTCTTCCACCTGAAAGAGATACCTATTGATATCAATACCTGACCAACATAACTTTCAAGAGCGGACCCTGTATGATTCAATTAAATGGACCTTTCCAGTATTGTAAAAATTAACCCCTTTTCGCTATAATGCTATGAAGGGAAGGCAAACACGTTATCCCGACCACATATTTATCGAAAATACCGAACAACAAATGAATTATTTGATATTGAAAATACAATTTCAATACCAATGAATTCAAACGCTACTGAGCTGTGATGTCAGTGTCTACTTGCAATTTGATTGGTTGGAGTTGTGGCGGCTGGTAAGAATGCCGCTGTTGTCAGGTTTCAATAAAATCCTTCAATTGATTCTATGTGTAAGATGGAGCGAGGTGCAAAGAATGTCATGATTCGAAATTACTATGTAGTATGTAATTAATTGCTGATCACATTCAATTTAATCTGAACTTTGAAGTATTCCATTAGTTTCAAAATTAGCTTGGATAACATGTGATGCAGGCATCTAACAGTAAGACGCGTTTTATATAAAGTTTTGTTATGATATTGATATTTTGTTGACTGATTGTTATAATCAACAAATTGAACAGTGTTGCCGTGTTACTATATCTCAAGTACTCATTCCCGGAAAATTTAATTGCTAATCTGGCAACTATGTCTATAAAAGAGAAAGAGATGAAACAACTGGCGCTAACACAATGTTGCCAAGTTGAAAATACCTCATTCCCCGCATAACTTCACAGTTCTCATTTCTCAATATTATTAACAATAAGGTAGCGATTCTTGTACTAAAATCAATAGAAACAGAACCAAGTAAGCAATTTAGTATTGATTGATTCAGAATTTGTTTCTTTCCCTATGGTAGGTAGTAGTTGAGTTCATTTCAGAAAATCAGTAATACAAATGCTGTTAATCGGTATTATTTGCTGAAATGAAAAAATCGAGAAATGAATATCCGACAAATCATAGCTTTCTGTCCAGATTGGCACCCAAGAGAAGGTGAGGGTATTACCAATCCGAATTGCTCGCGCACTGACGTCACAAGTTTCGCGGTCATGTTCTGATCGTTTGAATTCGCTTGTTCAATTTGGCGTTTTCCATAATTTTTTTATGATGAATTGATGAAAAAAAAATCTTGAAAAATTATTTTAAGGTATTCCAGAGTCATATATTTCGAGATCTATTTTTTTTTAGGAATTACTGGAAAGGCCCATTCAGAGAAATAATACGAAATTCTCAGGAATGTTTGCAACAACTTCATTGAAAATAACACCTCACCTTTCTGTTGTAGTTTCGTTATCTTCTGAAGCTGTTACAAGAGAGGGATGCATTCTAACAGTATCCAACATTGGCTGTAATTAAAATGAAAAAATTCAATAGTATGGTGACAAAATTTAAATAAAAAAAATCTCATATAGTTATATATAGTATAATTCGCGCACTGCTTCACACATGGTGTCGTGGTAACGTAGGAAACTGAAAAAAAGTGTCACTTCGCAGTTCGTTATCAATGCGCGAACCTTGTGATATTTGTAGAAAAAAATAGTTTTTTTCAAGTGACAAACTTTATTTGTTTTGTTGCATATTTTGAGTTATTATTTTTGGTTATAAAAATTCTTAGATGGGGGACCGCTTGGGAACACCGCGTGTCGTTGTCTTTTTGTATTTGCTTCTAGATTTTATTTAATATAATGTGTTTCAATTGCAATTCTGAAAATGATGACATTCCGTGCGGAAGTATGTCACTTGCATGACAGAAACAAATGGAGAAAATACATAATTTTGTTAGAAAACTTGTCACTCTGCTTGTCCCTTAAATACCTAAAGTGATAATCAGTTCTGGATACCATAATACTGTTAGTACCTACATACATTATTCAATGGAGAAGTGTGGAAATATATACTTTATAATTTACATGAATGACTCTCTGAAATGTACTATCCAAAAATGTTTTGGATACAAACTATTTACCTTTATGGTGTGAACGAACACTGGCGTATTCTTTTCCCTGTATTGATTCCTCAAATATCCTAGAAAATTACAAGGATACATTCCATACAACCTCAAGAACAAGGCATATAAGGCAACCTGTAAATGGATCAGCTGGTCTTCAACGGGATTACAATTCCAAGATGCTAACCGGCTGAAATAGCATAGAAAAATATCATTTTCTCCATGTTGACATTTTGGAAAATAAACTATGTATTACCTGAAAATTTCAAATATTTCCTTCAAATAGCTACCCATGGCAGAGGGGATCATCGGTAATAACACAATAAGAACAAGAAGAGCACTTATCAATGGTAGAAGTTCTACTTCATTCTAAAAAAAAATAGCATAACTGCAAAAATTATCTCAAAATTCCTAGAATGCAGAGAAGGATAACCAAAAGCTATGGAATTTTCAAGATTAGTAATGTTGTAAAAACTAGGAAGGCGTAGAAGCAAAAAAAATTTTTTTCGTTGTTATGGTTTTCTGTTTAGTTAACACTTCGTCAGTATGGTCGGTCATATCATAAGCCGAGTGTCAAGAAGTACAAATGCCTCTCGTTCATTTCAAGATCTTTTATCATAAATCAATTTTTCCAAATTGAAACATCCAGCACATTGTAGTTTCGATCAGGTCAGCGGAGGTCATAGACGTCAGTTCCTTTAAAATTTGCAAAAAAAAACGCTTACCGTGCGATAATACCTAGGTAAGCAATATCGAAAGGTAACGGGCATTTCCATTGCGGAAAATTGCAAACCTAGCCACGTGTGATGTTGACCCTCCTATAGGTCGTAACTTAGCTACTCGCTTGGCTTTTTGACGAGAGGTTTTGATCATTTCACCATCCAACCACATTCATCCCCGAATAAAGAGTCAAGACAGTTTTCATATAATATTTGACATTTATTGATTAAATGGAAAAATCGTGGATAAATGTGTCACGAAAGGATATTTTCCAAATTATTCTCAAATATTACTACCACTATTATGATTATTTCACTGTTCTAATTTATCGAGTTTGTTATATTTCTCAGCAATTCAACTGTCCTCATTCGTGACAAAACATTTTTCAATAAAATAAACATTTGAGGTGGTCGATCGGAATCCACGTACCAAGAGGAACTTGACTTTCGGTCCGAATAGCGGACGGTTGCTTGTGGCAACGGGGATGTCCCAATTGGGACATCTCCAAGTTTTTATGTTAGACCATTTTTATTATTCATTAAATCTTCAACCTAATGCCTCTTCAAGGAATGTCAAAATTGTAATTCATCATTGATAAATCCATTTGTTTTTATTCTTCAATCTGTAGCCTTTTACTGAATATCAACCCTCTGCAAATCCCAACTAGCAAAGGCAATAAGTCACATTCGTGACATATGGTGGAGGCGCCGTGTTTCGTTCTCGAGGTTGGTTCTTCATAACCAGCCTCAACATTTGTTTTTATCCTTTGTCTAGAGTTTTTTTTTAATGATGTATATATATATTTTGTGAAGGATCAAATTGGGATTCTCGTATGAGGCATTGGCCAGTAAAAGCTCACATTTCGGCATGCCAAAACCGAAATGCTTCTCCATGTAAGGCCTTTTCTGGTAGCGTGTTACAGATCGGCATGCTAAAACCGTCTGTACTCATACGGGAGAAGATTCTGAATTCAGGGGTTGTTTTTCAAAATTCAAATTCAATGTATTCTGAAAGGGGAAAACATTTGCAATCATAATCCTCAATAGAACAATTTTTTTTCGCGATATGTCCGTTTGGCGCTTTTGTAAAAAACGTCCTCCACTCAAAAGATTCTGTATCAATCAATTAATTATTAAAATTTCATGAGTAAATTGTAAGTGAGTGGAATTAAATATTTTGAGAAACAATTACAAAGCATTTCGAATTCTGACTCACCTTGAGTAATTTCAGCAAATCCTTCAGGAGATTGTGTTCTTGAAGTTTGTATAACCAAGTTGGTTGCCGGCGAGCAACATAACCAAAAAGTGTAAGTGCCTGAACTTTAGTTTCAACTTTCGGTAATTTCATGGAATCAGACAATCTGAAATTCATGTAATTTTAAGATAACTCTCGAATCACTCAATGTTACATTACATTACCTATCGAAAAGGTATACATGGTGAGGTTCCTTGATGTTGACCAGTATCTCCATAGCACGGTCCGAACTGGTAGTCAGGTAATATTCATATAAACCATGCAATAACCATGGTTCATTGACTATAAACCAATAATTCAATTTTCAGAAAGGATATTTTTTCTACAAACATATGAAAAAGGTGACTCACAACTCTCACAAGACTAGGTAGAAGCGAGACTCGCCCTATTATCATTATCTTACATAGAACATGGCTCTAGCTATGTTTCTTCTTGTTTATTTTTTAGGACACTGTATATAATTGCATCATTAGATTGAGCGTTAAATTTTGAACAAGTTTGATGGATAGTTGTATATCACAAAAGTAATTAGTTTCGGAATTATAAACACTTGTGAATTATTATTGCCACTATTTTTGCACCAGTTCAGTAAGAAAACCATAACAAATAGTATCTCACTATCCTATCCTACTTTTTTGAAAGCTTTCGATTTTTTTTGTATTATCTATACTAATATTATAGAGGCAAAATTTGATTGTTTCTTTGTTTGTTCATTTGTATTAGGCCCCAAAACCATAGGACCGATTTGAAACATTCTTTTACCATTGAAAGCCGACATTATCCCTGATGAACATAGGCTACTTTTTACCGCGGTAAAATGCTTCATTCCTACGGGAAAACGGGTAATAATAGGACTACGGGTAGTGAGAATTATCTTTCCGTACTTATCTTTTTCACATAACTCCTAAACGGTTGAACCCATGGCATTTTTCCTTTGGAATTTCGAAAAAAACATTGATGATGGCTAAAAATAGTTCGAAACACATTCAAACCACCTTGTATAATACATGGTTGAATTCAGAATAAAAAAAGCTTTCAGAATCTGTGAAAGAATTATCAGGACCGTATTTAAAAAACAAAAGTTGATGATGGTTCTACAAATACGAAACGTCGCATAGAAAAATCGGTATCACCACGTTAAACGTCATCAAAAGTTGCTATGAAAAAGTATTTTCAGTTTTCCTGTATCTCTAATAATAACGGAGAAAAAAAAATAAAATAGAGATTCCAAAAATTCACTTTTTTCGATATAACTGAAAAACTAAAAAAAAATTTGAAAATTTTCGAAGGCTGTTGGTATGAGCCTCCGAATGCGCAACTTTTTCCCCATTTAACCGACTTCGTATCTCCTACCGTTTCCGAGATCCCCATGCTGTGCAACCTTATCTTGGACAGACTGTATAAAAAAATATGTACTGTAGATACGCGGAGCTCATTTCAAACGTACCGTCATGGCCACTATTTGGCGATACGTCGAATAAATGATGACGTCAGTTTTTATGCTGTTTCGTTATTGGTCAGATAATCTTCCCACTCACGTAGCAGCAAGGTTGTCAAGTCACCAATTATAATAAAGTTATCAAAAAGATGTTTGAGTCCTTTCATTGAATAAAATAATTGGAGGAACCCATGATATTATAGTCCATTCTTGACTCTTTTGAGCAACCAGCATGTCCATTTATACTCCATACTTCATAACAAGAATCTTCTGTAGTAGTCCATACTCAAAGTGGAGTGGAATGATCAATAGAGAAAAACCCAAAGTCGTCTCCACAATTTTTAATGTATAATAAGGCAGTCAATCCTGCTTCATTAAGGTTGAAAGTTGATACATGTTTCGGCCATTCAAATGGCCATCTTCAGTCAAAAAATAACAAAGTGTATCTACAATAGAAAACCAAACATGATTTTATACATAAATTCAAATTGAATTGATTAACAAATTTCAGTTAGATAAAAGAGCAACAGTCATTTTTATGAGTATAAAAATGATAATTGATCAGTAATTGATAATAAAAAGTGAAAAACAAAATGTTTATCAAATCAAAAATTCTGAAAAACAAAAAAATATCACTGTTGCTCTTTTATCTAATTGAAATTTGTTAATCAATTCAATTTGAATTTACAACTGTTGTCTTTTCCATTTCAATTTCTTCTTATATATAAAATCATGTTTGGTTTTCTATTGTAGATACACTTTGTTATTTTTTGACTGAAGATGGCCATTTGAATGGCCGAAACATGTATCAACTTTCAACCTTAATGAAGCAGGATTGACTGCCTTACTTTGGGTTTTTCTCTATTGTTCATAACAAGATTTCATGTAAATGTTGGAGACTTGGCAATATTGTGGTGAACGCTGAGAAGGGACAAGACCCCGCCCACAAGTCGTGCGCGCGGTGTTGTCACGTTCACCGCTTCAAATGTCCTTTAGTGTGAATAAATATAATAATTACTATTTACACAAATGTATTATAAGCAATAAGCCACAAATCACAGGGAAACATTTTGAGACAAATGATTTTGTATTGCTAAATAGTAATATTACCAATACATAATTGAGGATTTATCAATGGTTGAATAGCTAATATTTCTGAAGTTTTCAATCGTATTTCAACACATGGCAACTGAGCTATGGTCTGCCCCTACTTACGAAATCGTGACATCAGTTTTTACACGCGGTAAATTTCTATCCCTTTGAAAATTACCGTGGTATTATTGATGATTATTGATTCATTGATTGTCTTTATTTTATTACCCCCAAGAAACAATATTGTTTATAATAGGGATATATAAAACAAAAAATACATGTAACATAATAAATCAAAACAATAATAATTGCACAATTATTGTTTTTCATAAAAAGAATAATTATATAATATGAAATGAAAATATTATAATCTATTCCAAGTAATCAAATCGTGAATGATTAGTAGATATGGAATTAAAGTTTACTGAGCAGATATTTCTTTAAATTGATTTCAAATGTTTCTATTAAACTTACCTCATCCTCATAAACATAAAGAAATCTGCATTGTACCGGGTGACACACTATGAAATCCCCCCCTCCCTGTAACTCTTTTATTCATGAGACTATGAGAAAAATAAAAAACAGACTTACAGGGTTTTTTTTCTTCTGGAAACATAAGCAACATTTTCATCATCTGAGAAAATATACAAGGAGCAGCAAAAAGTGTATGAATTTTGAATATAACACCCTATATATTTCTTCCCCATTGAAAAGCTTTCCAAAAATGCCACACTCAACATTATTATCTTTATTTCTCAATTTATGAGCATTCAAAACTAACAGAGTTTGATTGATTCTAGAATGATATTAGAAAAACAACATGACATCAATATTGTAATCATTGACAAGGCCTACTCTCGAAAATCATTCAAAATAAATGAAACTTTGTTAGTTTTGAAAGCCAATATTTTTAGAAATACAAAAGATAAATATACAGGGTGTAACTATAAATAACACCGAAAAAAATTATGGGGTGATTAAAGGTAGGTATTTGGTATAAAATTGTTTGAAAACCGTTCCCCGGGAAAGAGTTACACCCCCCCCCCTCCGAAGAAAAAAAAATTTCTTCATTTTCCCTGTATATTTAGTTTAATTCACTAAACTTGGTTAAAATTATTTGTCAATAAAACTACTCATTTTGGAATGTTTTCAGCCTTGAAGTATACTTAGAAGGGGTTGATTCATGAACATTTTTCTTTGAAACTAACATGACTGAAAAGCCTAATCTATTTACTACTTTTTGATCTCTACAAGTTTTTTCTAAAACTATAGCACTTAGGAGAAAATAAAAAATAACATTCTTCTTCATCTTCAGAGGGGTGAACTCCGTGAACTTTTCCAGGGAGAGGTTTTTCAAAAAAGTTTATATGGAGTTTTATGGTTTATATCAAACACCCACCTCAATTTCCATCACAGAACTCAGAATAACCCCCTAAATTTTTTCGGTGATATTAAGATACACCCTGAATAGAGTATGGTATTTTTGGAAAGCTCTTCAAGCATTCTTTCCATTGGTGAGGAAATATATAGGGTATTCCATTTAGAATTCATACACTTTTTGCTGCTTCCTGTATATTTTTGCAGATTTGCAGATAGTGAAAATGTTTCTGTTGATTTGAGAAGGAAAAAAGCCAAGGCTATTTTCAAATTTTTTCAACTGTCAAAAATTAGATTTATCGAGGGGGGGGGTGTTATAACATGTCACTGGGTAAAGTGTAACCATTGTCTGCTAAATATGGAGAAAAAATCTAGTGAGCTATGTAGACAATGGGTCTTCTGAGCAGCAGCATTAGTTTTTAAATTTATTGAGCAATCATCCAGAGAACCAGAGAAGCTTTATGTAGGTAAATACCTACTCACTACATGCCATGGATTTGAAGAGACAACCTTAAACCTTTGTCCCAGGACATGTTCAAAATATCAATACACACAGAGGATTCATCAACAATGTCATACTTACTCTAGAGACATGGGATATCTAACTAATACAATCCAGTGACTCTAACTTACTCCACAATGAGATTGTAATATAAGTTGGTTCATTACAGCTAATTTTTTTCAAAATTCCAGCTTTTATTTTCAAGGAAATTCAACTCAATCAAGAGAAGTGTATTAAGCTATTCTGGACTTTTCTTCTATGTATTAAAAAGAAACAGATAGCTGACAAGAATTCAACAAGATTTTACTGAATTATTGACTTGATTTTCTGAACAGTCATTATGGATAAGTGAATATATTTCTCACCTTTTGTAAATTGTTCTCTGATAGTCTGTTTTGCATCTTCCACTGTTTCTTTGTCATTGGATTCAAGGCGTTCAAAAATATCAGTCATACTGGAAATATTATTTAGAGAATCTGGCTTGAAGGAGAAATTTGTAGATTAGCATGAACTAGTTGATTACTGTAGTTGAAAAATATCTTCTGTAAGGACAACAGAACATTGTTTTAGGTGGTTTTTGGTTCTGTTCAGAAGTGATAACCTGCAAAAAAGTAGTCATGCAAAATGTATATTTTCAAGGAGAATTGGTATATTTTTTTGAAAAGGAGACCTAGTGATTATTTCACTCAATAGATTGGTAGATCGCAAAAATATAATATAGTGAAAAAACAAAATTTTTACCTTGAAATAAAAAATTATGAAAAAGTAAACTCTCAGATCCCAGCCATTTCAATTTGATTTTTTACTCAAATCTGTCAACTGTCAGTAGTGTCACTTATAGCACATTTATTATGTATTGTCACTTGTCACTCGCCAGAATGTCAGAATTGTCAGCTAGACAGGCTAGGACCACAGAACTCATATATTATAATATATGAGTTCTGTGGCTAGGACCCAGGAAAGTACATACAAGAGGGTAGTGGAATTTCCAATTTCGAAAAATTCGAAATAGAAATAATATAAAATGACTTCCCAAGAAGAGCCATTTGAACAAGTATGTACATTTTTGTGTTGTTATCGATTATAGAATTGCTTCTACCTATTTTTTTTTCAGTATGAGGAAGATGATGCTGGGGAAACTTCTCTTGCCCTTTGCAGTTCAGGTAGAAAGAGGCTATTTAGTAAAGAACTTCGATGTATGATGTATGGATTTGGAGATGATCAGAATCCATATACAGAAAGTGTGGACATAATTGAAGATTTAGTCATAGAATTCATAACTGAAATGACTCATAAGTATGTATTATGTCCATACCATGTATTTGAATTTCAGTTGATTTTTTATTTGTAGGGCCATGGAAATAGGACGTACTGGTAGAGTTCAAGTGGAGGATATTGTATTCCTTGTTCGTAAAGATCCAAGGAAGTATGCTAGAGTCAAAGATTTGCTCACCATGAATGAAGAATTGAAGAGGGCTAGAAAAGCCTTTGATGAAATTAAGTTTGCAGGTAATGCCAAGACATAGCTGTGCATTGATTTTCCAAGCATGTTGATGTTGCACTAAAGCCCTACATGCATGAAAGGTTAGTAATATTCCCCTTAATATTGACTGCTCTTTGTAGTGAGTTATGAACTCAACTAAACAATCAATTATTTTTATTGAGAACTAGAAAATTGAAATTTATGTAGATATGATTTATTAGAGGTTTAGCATGAGGTTCAGGTATATGTGATCCATGCTTATACACAGAAGTCTTTTAAACTAAGAATTAGGTTGATCAACAATAATTCAAATATTCAAATGTTATAATGTACTTAATCATAAAACTTGTTTCAAGTCTGGAATATTAAGTAGAGCAAAGAGCAGTCATAACAAATTCAAATTGTTGGCCACACATTGGATATTGACTAGGTGATTTTTGTTAAGTGTTCAAGTTGTTGCTCAGGTGGCCAATGTGTTATTCTCTATCAGGAATTATATCACTATTATTATGCATATTTGTGATAATAATGTCTAAGCATTGTCAAAATTGCTCTCAGTTTTGTTATGAGTTATTCATCTTGAGCTCGATCTTGAGGTTATGAGGGAATTCCCATGATGGAGTAGTTAGATTTGTAGCAGGTGATTTGATAAGGGTGATTAGGTAGGTACTGTATCTAAAAGGAACTAATAGTTCATAAAATACACTTCCTAGTAAGGGCAGTAAGAGCCAGAATGGCATGGATGGTTTTTCATTTTATTCACCAAGAACTTGCCTTCTTGAAGCAGACCTTGTTTGCAAAATTAATAATTCCTGAGATACAGTACCTCCTTGCCATTATTGACCTGGTAAAATAGCTTCAGTTTTTTTAATTTTATAGTAATTGCTGAGTAGCTTCAGATTTGTTATGATTAGTTCTGTTTTACATGTTTTGAGAAGTTAGGTATTTTAGTTGTATATTAGTCCAATTGAGTTAAATATTTGAATAAATCACCTTTGTTTTTTTGTTATTGTTATAATTTTAATAACATTTTATTTCATTGATTGTTCTTAAAATTAGCATGAAAGCACATTTCAGATATTGATGTTATACTTAAAAAGATATCATTTGCTTTCAGGTAAAGATGCCTGTACAAGTTGATAGAATTTTGATAATGTATAAGCAATTAAGGCAGACTGGGTGAATTAATTTCAGTTTCTTTTCTATTTTGATTTTAAAATGAACATACTTAAATGTTATTGAAGAATTGTAAAATCAAGTTACAGATAATAAAGGTTCTTGAGGCTCTCAATAATGTTTCCTAGATGGTAATATGGGCCATGGGGCCAATGTGCAACTATCAGTTGTATTTATTTGGATATTACAAGGGACACAATAACTGAATCAATTTCAATTTTCATTTAAAAAAAATACAATTATATTTTAAGTAATCTATCTACAGCATTTTTTGAAGACAGAATCACATCATTTATACCAACACCATAATATGAAGCACCACACAATGACAAAGGTAATTTATTTTTATTGATATAATTGTTTATTTTCTCTATCTTCTCACTGTGACCAACTACATATTGAGGAATACATTTCTCAAGGATGCTTACATTGGATTGTACTGGTTTTTCAGATATATTCAGGGTTTTTTTCAACTGATCTAAAGCAATTTTCAGTAGGAAATCTTTCTCAGGGTTCTTGCCAAACAGTTCTTCAAACCATGCCCCACCCATCATAACAGTTAAAACAGTGTTTTCACCTCTAGGAAAAATACAGCTATCATAAGTTACACCCAGTATTGGGAGTTTTTCTCCAGGTGGAACCAAAAATCCAAAACCTTCCCTGGAGATTAGTTTTTTGTCAAAATGTACATTTACCACAGCCACAGTGGCACTTTTAATTTGTAGCAATAAGTCTGAGAGTACAGGGTGTTGTTTTTGAAGTAAAATTCCCAGTTGTTCAGATGGAATGCAACTTATTACATGAGAACCACTTATGTTTTTACCATTTTGGAGGTGCAAAATTACATTATTAAGTTCAGGGAATATCTCAATATCTGTACATTTGGTAGATGTTTCAATAGATACTTTGTTCTTGATGTTGTCATGCAGTGCTTTTGGCAACATTTCTAAACCATTTTCCAATGAATAGACACTCCATTTTTCTTGCCTAGCCTTCATAGAAAGGCTACCAATTTCTGGTTTCTTGATCTTTTTGAAAAAATTCCAAATGAGTCCTTTGCTGATGCTACCATAATCTTGTTCATACCTGAAGAGGGTTTTCATTAAAAAATTTACACTTATTTCCTTTGAATTCCCAGCACAAATACCACAAATCATTGCACTTATGAGGTAATCTGCAACTTCTTTACCAAATCGCCTATTTACAAAGTCATAAATAGACTCATCCTCTATGACTTTTCTTGGTGTTGTGATATCTTTCATTAACTGTAAAATAAGGGGTTTTGAAAAGGGCATCTGTGTTTTGAATAAACCTTTTATTGAAGATGGCAGTGAGTGTAACTGATCTTTGACAAATATCATTCGGTTCTTTGCTGCAGGGTGGGATGAATTTATGGGTATAACAGCATCACTCAGTCCTAAATCTTCTATTAGAGACAAAGTGTTGGGTGCAGCATCTCCATGGGGTCGGATTGTCCTGGGGCCTTCTTCAAAAATAATGTCCTTTGAATGATTTGATTTAATCCAACCACCCAGACGATGTGAGGATTCTATCAGAGTGATGGGATTACTGGCTAACTTTTTCGTCAAATAGTAGGCAGTTGATAAACCAGAGAGGCCTCCACCCAAAATTACAGTAGTCATTTTATATCAGAACTGAAAGTTATGTTTCTGTTATCATTCATTCATTATTCTTATCACTGATATGCTAATGAAATCCAAAACTTTGAATAGGTCGCGTGCACGAAGACCGACCCTGGAGGCAAAATATTGAAACACAACCTCATTCTTCTGTGAATTATTGAAACACAACCTCATTCTTCTGTGAATTATTGAAACACAACCTCACTTTTTTATTTGGTTACAGAGGAATCAAAAGGTTGAAATAGTTTTTCACAATATTTTGGCATACGAATCGTGTTTCTTGCGTTATTCATTAATTCAAGCATGCCTTCGCATTGTGCTGTTGTACGATGCAAATGCAGCAAGAGACTAAGGAATATGATTTTTCAGGTAAATAGTAATCTCACATAGTTAGCATTATGAAATGTTGTCATTCCTTATTAAAATTCCTTCTGCCTTCTGCCACTTCTGCAATACAAGCTAATGCTGCTAATAGATTGAAAATGTCTACAACACACACGATCGTCAGCATGTCAGACCAGTCCTACCGATTGATTGAATGAATCCAATCTTCTTGCATTATTCTAGAAATTTCAGGTATATTTCTATTAGCTGATCCTATTGCAGAAGGAATTCCGATGAGAAATCAGAGAAATAATCAAATTTCAAAAATGAAAACTATGTGTGACTATAGTAGGTACTTACTTTTGAATCATAATATACCATCCGGATTTCTTCATCTTCCGCTGCAGTTTTTGTGCATTTTACAACAGCACAATGTGATGGCATTAGCGAATTGATGAATAGCGGAAAAATACGATTCATATGCCAAAATAATTGTGGAAAACTATTTCGATCACTTGTAAACATATATGTTTTGCCTCCAGGGTCGGTCATCTGACAGTTCTTGCACGCGACCTAAGTCAAGTCTTCTTTTCTTCTTCTTCTTATTTATTCCTTTTAATAGTAAGATTCAGTTCCCAATGGTCAAATCTGCTGAGCGCCAAAAGCTACTTTTCGCGGGAAACAATCTCACGGAAGTCTTAAAATTTCGAGATTTTTTAAAACTATGGAATCGTTTAACTTCTCATAGAGTGTTGGTGATTTCTTGTCCACTCTTCCAATTTGAAGAGCAACGTGTGATACATTTTTTTAAATCAGCTCAGCAAGGGAAGTTACAATACAGTGAGGACCAAAAGTCCGTCACCACTTCCTTATTTCACATATTACAAAAAAGTGGAAAAAGCTTTCAAAAAGTTAGGATAGAGGAAAGTGGAAACTTTGGGTTCCATTTATTGTCACGGCTTTCTCACTGAACTGATTATTCAAAAAAAGTCTAAATAATATTGCATTATTTTGAAAACTATTAACTTTTGTAATATACAACTATCGATTAAAATTGTTCAGAAGTAAACGTAAAATCTAACAATGATGCAATGATATACAGGGGGTGTTCTATATAAAAAATAAACTTCTAAGTTGCTGCGCCTTTTTGAGACACTGTATAAATGAAACTTGAACCATTAATGAGATCGAATGAAATCCTATATACAGAGTGTCCCGAAATTAGCCTGCCAAACTTCACCAGCGGCTTTTACGACCAGAAATAGAAAGAGAACTTTCAATAAACATGCGTCGAGAAATGTCTCCTAAGGGAGCTACGGCCCCCTGAAAGGGGGCTCCTGAAGATGATATTTCTTGAGTATTTCCGAAACTTTATGTGATAAAAAGATACAATTTGGTACAAAAACTAAACTTTACATGCCCAATGCAGTGAAAATGAAATCATTTCAAAATTTCAATCAGGAGTGTATAATACAGGGTGGGACTACCTAAAATATTGCTCTGAATTTTTTGTATGCATATTTTTCGACAATTTAATCCTGGATTATGAAATTTCTCACCTTTTTACAGATAAAAGGTACTCGTGTTCCGTGACGATCAGATGTGTTATTATCGAGTAAAAGCAATTTAAAAATATTGTTACATCTCAGATATTATGCATAACATTGCAATGAGGCGTAGTGAAAATGTATAGTAAATGCACAAAAATTGAAGTAGTTTTCGCATCATCTTTTTGGTAAAACTGCATTTAGTATGCGATGGTTTTTTTTTTCGAAAATTTTTTTTGTACGTATTTTTGTCTGAAAAACACGAATTTGACAATGATAATGTGAACAAACCACTATTTATCGAGATATTTCGAAAAAAAGTTCGAATTATCGACTCCTTTTTCCCCCTTGTGTTGGATGCATTTACAGGTACTTGCTCTTCTTATTTTGTCATTGGACACTTTATATACTCATGATGTACTTCAATGACACATTTTTATACAGAAAATTCAACAGGAAATATGATTTTAATGGCGAGTTTCACATATTTTGTGAACAAGCATACCAGATGACGGCCATTTAATTAATAGTCAATCCAAATACGAGATGTCAAATGTCAACAGATTGCTTTTGAATGACATTACACACGCCATTATTTCAAATGATATTCTTCCTTCTTTTCACTGAATATGGATAAATCACAAGAAAATCATATTTCTAGTTGACTCAGTAATAGAAAAAAATGTGTTTTACATTTTGATATATATATAAATTGTCCAATGATGAAAAAAGAAGGGTAAATTGTTTTAAATGCAATCCAGGCGGAAAAGAAAGTGAAATTTGTAACTTTATTGTGAAATATCTCAATGAATTATGGTTTGTTCACATTCTCATTATCAAATTCTTTTTCAGACAAAAATACGTAAGCACCAAAAACAAATCTCGAAAAAAAAACCATTGCATGCTAAATGCAGTTTTACCATCTTTTTTCTATTATTCGCGCTTTTATGATATTGTTTGGTGAAAATAAAGTACGTTATTTTTTTATAGCCACTATGATTTGAAAATTGGCAACGTTATGCATAAGATGTGAGTGCATCAATATTTTTAAATCGATTTCACTCGGAAATGATACATCTGATGGATGAGGAACAAGAGCACATTTTTTTCGTGAAACGGTGTGGATTTTCATAATCCGAGATTAAATTGTCAAAAAATATACATACGAAGAAGTTTGAGCAATATTTAATGTAGTCCCAACCTGTATTATACACTCCTGAATGAAACTTCGAAATGATTTTATGTTCACCGCATTGGACATGGTAAGTTTAGTTCTTGTACCTAATTGCATCATTTTATCACGTGGCGTTTCGGAAATATTCAAGAAATATCATCTTCAGGAGTCTCCTCTCAGGGGGCCGTAGCTCCCTTAGGGGACATTTCTCGACTCATATTCATTGAAACTTTTCTTACTATTTTTGGTCTCAGAAGCCGCTGGTGGAGTTTGGCAGGTTAATTTTGGGACACCCTGTATACAACTTATATGCCTTCTACATTTTTTTAATATGGTGTCACGGCGTGGTCACGGCTAATTCATATTTTAGTTAATTCTGTTACACATGGTATCAGGTGAATTTGACGGAAAGTCAGTGAGAAAAAATATATGATTGTAATGGTCAAATTCGATACGAAATAAGGAGAAAAGTTTTCTGGAAGTTGAAATCTTTATTAGCGATAACAATATGTAAAATAGAGAAGTTACAAGGAGGGCGACATAGTTTTTGGTCCTTATTATATATATAGATTGTTTTCCCAATATATTTTACTGTCTATAACTGTTCCAGGATATTAAAACGCATCAATAAATTTTTCAAATGAAGGCATAGGTACCTTTCATGAATATATCATATTGGTGTTTACCCCTTCTGTTTTTTATTGCCTGTCTTAAAAACCCTTGGATATGGTTATTTGAGACAAAAGGATCATACACACACCAGATATACCTCGTAAATTTAAGAATGGGCAATTGTACAGGTTGAATCACCATGAATATGCCACCTTCTAGCTCAGCTAATTTTGAACGGATTTCAAAATTTTAAAAATCGTTTGAAACGATTTTTTTTTGTGCGAAAAATCTCATCAGCTTCTCATGATCTACAAATCACAGATACGGCTATCGATTCTCAAAGTTAGACCAGATTTACCTGGAACGCCCTGTAACATATAAATATTGATTCATTTATTATTTACTGGTGCCTATATATTGGTACCTCTATATTGCAACGTTGATGAGGCGGGCTGTTGGTATTTCATAATGTTTATCACATACCTATTTTCAATAAGTCGATTAGTACCTAATAAGTTTGTAAATTATTAGCACTAATTGCGTGTTAATACCCACCTATGCATGCTTATCCTGGTGCACTATCACCTACATCGGCGTATAGGTATATATAAAGGCAAAATTCGCTGGTGACATTACTATCATTGAAGTATCACCAACTGAAATGAATTCATATCTTGTTTTCATTTATGTTTTATATCTCAGTGTATTGAACGCCGCTAACGGATTTCAAGTTGAATACGAATGGAGCTACATTAATTTCACCTGGCCATCACATGTCCAGTATGCCTCAGCAGTACAGTCAGGCTCATACGTCCCAGAAAACATATTAATATCCGGGATGAAGGTGTACCAAGACAAAATGTACTTTTCCATACCGAAATTGAGGAAAGGCGTACCAGTTTCACTCGCCTACATGCCCAAAAATTCTCAGGAGAAGACAAATAATCTATTGACGCCGTTCCCGAATTGGAAGGCAAACGATGAACGTAAGTGCATTCATTTACAGAGTGTCATGAGCATGGAAATCGATACCAAAGGCATCATGTGGATTCTAGATGGTGTTAGAATTAGTGGCAACACAAATTGCCCTGCAAAACTTGTATTGCTTGATTTGAACAAAGGTGGCAGGTTCGTGCATTCTTACATCTTCCCTAACGAAGTTAGTCTTCGAGTCGGCGGATTCCTAAATGATTTAGTTATCGATGATAGTGACGACCAACATGTTTATGCGTATATAACTGATGCTTCAGCTATAGACCCTGGTTTGATAGTTTATTCAAGAGCGGAAAATCGAGCTTGGAAGTTACGCGACAGTACGATGTTCATGGAAAGAAATGGACCCCTGTATAAAATCGATAACATAACTGTGGTGGTCACAGCTCCCATTGATGGTATAGCTTTGTCTCCTAAACCCAAGGAAGGTCCAGCGACGAACCGAACTCTATTTTATTGTGCTGCTACTGGTTATGACCTGTTCAGTATCTCGACTAGTGCTATCAAAGATGAAACTAAATACAAAAATGGTGGTTGGAGGGAGTCTGTGCAATTTGTTGGAAAGAAACTTGGCTCTACTGACGGTATGATGATGGACAATACTGGACATCTTTACTATTCTTTGACATCGTTGAATGCAGTGGGGCTGTGGGATATCAACAGTCCATTCAATACTTCAACTGTGTTGTATCAGGATAATGAGAAGATGATTTGGCCTGATGCCTTTGGGATGGAAGGAGGAGACTTGTATTTGATTAGTAATCATATCGCTACTTTCATTAACCCGAATGTGACGTTGACATTGTCTTCAGATATCAAATTTATAGTTTGGAAGTACCACACTGGAACACAGAGTTATAAGTTTCGGTGAAAATATGAATAAAGCAAGCATTGTGCCAAATCATGTTCATTATTTTTATACCTGCGTAGATAGATTGCTGAAGGTTTCCATGCTGAGTTTCAACTGTGGAGTAAAAAAAAAATTGTTATCGATAAAAACTTGGGTTCGGTCATCAACCTTTGATCATTGATTTGCAAAAATTCTAGGTATATTTTGAAATATCCCAAAATATGTTTCCAAGAGGCAGGATAAGTGGCTTTTCTCTGACACTCAACAAGCAGGAAAGGTGTACTTTCTCTGCCTAGGCAGAAAAAGTTTGTTGCTATGCAAGAAATTTGAATGAAATTGGTACTCAAAATTGACATCGGGTGAACACAAAATGATGGAGTTTTCGATAAAAAAAATTACACAATATAGTTATTTATGTACCAAGGACAAGAAACTGTTTATTATAGTCGAATCTGCAAATTGATAGCCGAGGCTAACAATCAGGCCAGACAATTGATAATTTTTCGCCTAGGTGCATATTGAATTTTTTCGTCGACCTCAAACATATATCCACATCACGGTTCTATTCACAAGTGAAATCTATCGGATTTCGTAAATAATTAATTTGACAACAGCAAATAACAGTTATTGTCAACTCACTCTCCGCTCGGACCAGTGTTGCCAGTTAGATTTATATTTCAACAGTAAATACCTTGTAAAAAATCCAAAAATATTTTATGCTATACGAATTCCAAGGAAGGATAATGAAATAAACCTATGACGTCAAATCATTTTAACTTTTAGTCAACAGAAAAGTAACCTATTTCCAACAAAATACAAACAGAACAAATATTCTCATAAAAAAATCATATTCCCAATTCCCAATTTAAAAATACTCACAAATATCACAAAACTCACAAAATAGTTCATCCTATCGCTATTCGGATATACTGATTCAGCCTAGGAAAATCTAGTTCATCCTAAAATCGGGTTTGTCCGGTAACATATACATGTCATTAGTACCTATATATATGTACATTTATTACTTATTTTGTGAAATCAATTTGAACAGTACGTGCCGAAATATCATGCAATTTGAAAGTGTATGTGATTTACTAGATGATAAAAATATTGGTAATTATAATAATGAATACCTTAGTGTCGGAATATTTTTCAGTAGGTTATGAAATGTTCCAGTAGATCAGTAAATCAATATGCAAATCAGAAGATCTATTGAAAATTCAGTAGAACTGGCAACCCTGCAGTGGACGAAAAATGTTTGCGGACGAAAAGTTAGTGTCTGCGGACGAAATGTACTTGCTTTCGGAAATAGTCGGTTCTTCGTTCGGAAATTAGAACGTAAAATGTGATTACTTGTAGAGCTCGACGAAAAAATTGGTTCTATAACATTTGTAGATTGCTACTGCTACTACTTTCCTGCCTAGTAAAACAAATAACTATATTCTACAAATACGCGTATTCATTCATTTCGTTAGATTTTTTCGATTTTCTGTATCTAAAGCAAAAAATATTACATTTCATTTTGTTCGAATCAGTTTTACTACAAACACATTTTGTATACCGGGTGTCTACGCACCTATTAGACGAGTCATATAACTTCTAGAATATCAGGTGTATCAAATTGACATTTGGAATAGGTAATAGTATATTACACACCGAGGTGGGAAGTGATTCATTCCTGTCGTGAGATTAGTTAGTTAATTAGTAGTTAGCGTCGAGGTTAGCTATACTTTCGAGACAGGAATTAAACTTCCCACCGAGGTTTGTATACAATTTTATTTGCAACCATCATATTTCGATCAAAATTAATAAATCTCTGTTTCGTTCTGAACATACCTGAATTATTACATGAGTGAGGGCGGGAAGTATAGTATAGTATATACCCAAAGCATTTGAATCTATTGTTAATGATTTTCTGAAATTTAAATTCAAAAATATCATCAGCTCAACACAACATGGTTTCTGTCAAGAAAGATCTATTACTACAAATCTTTTACTCTATGAAACCTACATTATGTCGATGCCTTGGAAAAGGGACTAAGCGTTGATGCAGTTTACACAGATTTCTCCAAGGCATTTGACAAGGTAGATCATAATTTGCTTTATTTTAGTTGTCCAAATACCTTGGAGGCAGTTTGTTGGCATGGCTGAAATCCTATCTAGATAATCGCAGGCAAAGAGTTAAGATTAATTCCTCCTTGTCAGATGAAATTTTAATCACTTCTGGAGTTCCTCAAGGTGCTCATTTAGCACCCTTACTGTTCAATTTATTTGTTAATGATGTATCTCCTTGCTTTAAATTTAGTTCAATATTATTATATGCTGACGATATGAAAATATATCTCAAATTGGAGAGACCCTCCTCCTCAACTCATCTTCAAGAGGACTTGGACAGATTCTCTGTGTGGTGCCACAAGAAAAAACTAGTTCTGAATATTCCAAAATGTAAATATATTCGTTTCACAAAAATCACAGCATAATTAACAATGCTATGAGTACTCATTAAATGATTGATGATGAAAGTCATTGAAAAGGTAGACATTATGAAAGACATTTTTAACACTGGCACTGAAAGAGCCAAACGCATTCTTGCAATAATGTAATGTTTTATTTTTAATGTTCATTGTATTTAAAGTGTAGATATGTATGAATCAATCAATGTTCTGTGATATGTTGTATAGGCTATATATATTCATGTTTTTTTTACACTGGGTTCACCCGTTAATAAATAAATAAATAATGTGACACTTCCCAATGACGTTAGTCGTGGTCGTGGCTCCAGTTTTGATTTTTTTTTAAATATCGTATAATTTTTGGACTCCTGAGACAATTCTGTATCAGAAGGTGACATTTTGAAAAGTTCTTACGCCTATTGCATTTTTTAGAGTTACTTTTAATATTGCATCTAGCTGACCGTGAATATTACCAACCTCGGCAGTTACCAGCAATAATGTTCTCTCGCTTCAAAAAATATTACTTTCGTCACTGTTTAAAATCAAAGTAAATTACTGAAGAGAGTTATTCTATAAAAACTTTTATACCGATATTCTCCAACTCAAAGTTTTGGCAAAAATCATGTATTTTTTTTTCTATAAAATTTATCGGTAGACAATGAGTCCTCAATCTCCTGATTTCTCATTCTTTTATCTTCAGTATTATTATTATCATCATTATTATTATTGAATATTAATAGATGAATATAATGAAAGTTTTTTAAAAAATATGTTCAATGAACAACTTTGTAACTTCGAAACTTGGTTGAGTGGAAGAACAGCGTCAGCTAAACTTCGCCAAGAAAAATAAAGACCATTTATTATTATTATTATATATCGCTACTTGAAGTAGATTCCGACCCACTTCTAGGGCGTCGTGGTGTTCCGATACATTTGCCAACTACCCTGTAGATCATGTGTATACATGCATTCCTGATTTATTTGCTCGATTTTAGTGAGCAGCAAACATCCTGTGTATGCCTATACTTACAATGACGACAGAAGCAGATAGAACAACGACTCTGACAATCATTTTTTTCGCATTTTTTTAATTCCACTTTTATGAGTATTTTTGTTGTGATTTTGATTATACTTTATTTTTATTCAGTTTTACTGTCAGAAGAGGATTGAAGAGAAAATATAGTTTTGGATACAGCTGAAATTTCGCTATTCAGGATGAAGGTAAATAAATCAATTTTGACAACGTTATTATAATGACAAGTCCCAAAAATCGCGCATATTTCAGAATAGACAGAAATTCACAGTTTCAGAAAAAAAATTGTTGAGGAAAACTGAATCGGACGCCAGCAGCTTTTTGGATATCAAAGTGAGAAGAAAAATTTCCAGTAACCCGTTACTTCAGAAGAACCTAAATTTTCTGCAAACGTATAACAACATTTTCCGCCGACCATCTTGCAATCAATTTGGCGACGCAGAAACCTATTTCAGACAGACGCTCAGAAACGAACCCTTCGACTTGATCAGAGACCTGAATTTGAGTCACTTGGTGAGACCCACTAAATCTCTAGAGGGTGTAGGTAAGGTGAGTAACTGAGACAAATCTATATAATACAGGGTGTCCCTAAAAATGTCGTTCAAAAATAATGATTTAATCAATTTGTGATGGGCTTATATCACAAAAAAATTGTATTTCATAATTCGATAGAAACCGTAAACCTTTTCTCGCTGTGAGCTCCCTACGTTTTATAAAAAATTATTGAAATCCCCGATTTTTCGGACCTCTGAAAACGAGGCGATGATGTGACGTCAAATCCCTGTTACTGAAACAAGACTATTCCAGACAGAGATGAATGATACATGATTTCTGACAGAGTGAATTAGCGCGAGATCACAGTTGAATGAATTAATTTATCAGTTGCCTCAGTCTCCGTCGGCTTTTGGTATTTTCATTTAACTATGGCGAGATGAGGTTTCTACGTCATAAGAGGGTCCGTTTTCAGAAGGTACTATTATTTATGTCCAAAAATAAAACATTCCACTTAATTTTTCGATCGAATTATGTCGTCAATCATTATTTATGTATAAAAGGATCATTATAAACATGGTTTGAGTTGAAAGTTCTACTAAGGTGTACACGCCCATTACCTTTACATTCACCCTTTAGTGCCTGACCATTGTCGTTCTAGATGACAACCTAGTCAGGTAGTTAGTAGTACTAGGTCGCCTACTAGGTTTTGATTCAGAGCGACAATGGTCTGACGAAACTTTTGAGTTTTTTCCATTTCTGTCTTCGTTTTAAAATACATTATATCGCTTGGCGCAGTTTCAGTCCAATAGTACACTTATAACCACCAATGAAATAATTCGTGAGTATCCGATCGTCGGCCATTTCCACAGTTCGGGCAGTTGTTAACAATGTGTCATAGAGAGGTGATTCCTGCGAATTGTGATACGTTTATTTTCAATAAAAATCGTTTCATACTCATGGTGATGATCAAAAACAATCACCTTAAACTTCATCATTAGAAGAAAATAATTAGTCACAGCAAATCGCAATTATTTTTGTGAAAATATATCGTTTTTTTTTCATCTGACCCGAAATTCCCCTCAGGAATTTGAAACAATGATTCTTCAGAAAATAAAATGGCTGTACGATTCACCCCTGACCGATAAAGAGTTGCTTAAACTTACGGATACAATTCTACTAGAAGATTTACCCCTAGATGATAGCATTTTGACTGATGTAGATGTGGAAGAAGAAGAAACTCCAACAACAATCCAGACCCCACAGCATATGTTCTACATGCAGGGTTTTCTTGTGTTTAAATGAAAAAAATAGTAGTAAACGTGACGAGTGCGAAAAGTCACTTTATGCATGTGTTAGGTAGACTATTTTTGTACTAGCGTGCGGAAAAACCCAAATTTCTCATTTCCGCACTAGTGCCTATAGGTATATGAATAGATATGAAATTAAAATTCTTCAAGTATTTTTTTCACGTTTGTTCCTATTTTTCTGTATCTTGGAAAGTCATTCCACCTATACAGGGTGTTCCTTAAAGACTTGCTAATATTTAAGGAGGTGATCTTCGACTCATTTTAAGATAAAAACTTCATATGAACGTATGTGTTCAACGTCTTAACTTATGAAATACAGGGCGATAAAGTTAAAAAAAACTGTATTTTGATAATAACTGAGATAATATTGTAGACATCTTCATCAAATTTGGTACATGTCTTCTATGCATCAAGGTGCATTTTCTGATATACACAAATTTTCATTTTCTCTTCCAGTGGCGCCATTTGAGGCATATTATCGTTTATATTTTACTTAAAAGTGAGCAACGAAGGAAAATTCCCAAATATATAATCCTATGAAAGGCCATTCAATTCTGTACAATAAAGATCCTCTTGTTGATACTCGATAGAACGCTCCGTTTTCGATAAAAAACGGAAAAACGAGACAAGACTTCAAATTTTGATGAAAATGCTAAGCTGACAGGACATCAATTACTGGATAACAATATGTAACATTTTGATATTTTTGCATTGTTTCAGTCACATAGCAGACTGAATTTTTTCATCACGAAAAGCTATACGAGGTAGACAAAATAATCTATGCAATTTTTCACACAGGAATCGTTCTATACAACTCATTACCAAGTCAATTGAGGAATATACAGAAAGCAACAAGATTCAAAATTAACTTAAAAAAATATCTGCTTCAGAGACTTTGATAATTCCATTTCCAATTTGAATACCTACTTATAAAAGACTAGGTTGATATTGCATGATTATGTGCATTTTTTTTTACTTGTTATATCTTATTATAATAATTTCATAATTGTATGCATAACACTATGTATATTGTTTATGTATCCCTATTATAAACAACTATGTTTCTTGGGGTAATAAAGACAATCAATCAATCAATACCCTGTATCTCAAAAGTTAGGACGTTTAAGACATACGAAGTTATATTCTTGAAATGTGTCCAAGAAACGCCCCCTTGAATATTAGCATGTCATTAAGGAACACCCTGTATAAGAGAATAGGTCAACTCTTCAATGAACCAATTTAATAGAACATAATCTTTGTTTTATGGGCCAATTGCATGACGCATTTGATTGGATTAAAATAAATATTCAATTTGTTTATATCCTTGGAAACGCATGCCTTTAGCTGATTGAAAAGTAGAAGAGTTGATTCCTCGTTGAGTTAACAGAGAGGACCATGTAACCGACCCTAAGTATCTCAATTATGACCAATGAGTGACCAATTATATCTACTTCCTCATCCACACTTTCTCATTGCTTATGTCAGGCTATCTATGCCAATATAGCTCAACTTCGAACGAATATGATATAGCGCCTAATTTGTGTGGCCTACTAAAAGTACAAGCAATGATAAAAACGAGCGAGAGTTGACATAGAAGAGCGAGAGGTAGGCTGTGTCAAGTCTGTGGTTTGACCTGGCACATACGTTCAGTATGAGGTATGAAGTCTGACCATCAGTCTGACCAGCCAGCTGTTTGGTAATATCGGTCACGTTTCAAACCTGCCCACAAATTCACCACATTAACTTCTAATGGAAGCCGAGTCAGCCATTGACCATTCTGGTATCACCACTGTGGTCGGACGAATTACTTGACTCAACCTGAGTTAACTAGTGATAAAACGAGCTCAATCGAGCGACAACACGCTCAATCGAGCGAGCTTTGGCAACGCCAGTTCAACTGTTCAGTATGTGTACCTATCCTAATATCACCTTGTATAGTGTGTCATTGAAACTTGTCACCTTGTATAGGTATATATAATTTGTACAAAAGCTGGCATTTCTCAGTGATACATAATATGATATACTTGTTGATCCTTGAGCTAGGGTATGGTAATGGTACCGCACACCCCATTTTGTTGCACTTTGAATCATACTATTGATGCAATTGATTGTGATTCTATTTATCCAGAGAAAACCGAGGTCCCATAGAACTCTCCTGTCTCCAAAATCAACCACCGAACACAGACAATCGAAGTACACCCCGAGAAGTTTACCAAGCGAAGAAGGGTCGCTGCATTTCAAAGAGCTTTATTCGAAGCAAATCAACAACGAATCTTCTGATAGCAGCAGCGAAAGTGAAGACAAAGATTACTTCTCCCCTAAAACCGAGCCGTTGATTGATCTCGAAGAGGTCGAAGAAAATTCAGAGGAAGAATCTACTGCGAGAGCAGAAGACCTTGATATTAGCGATAGATTAGATGTTTTACTAAAGGAAGAGAAAAATATAATCATGGCGGAAGAAGAAGATGCTCCGTTAGATGAAATGGAAGATCAAGCAGAGGAAAACGATGCCACTAGGGGCGATGAAGAGTACAATGAATATGCCACAGAGAACGAGGTAGTAAAGTGTTTTGCAGCGAGCACAAAAACATCTCAGAGATGTTAAAAGTACGAGATTTCGAGACATTGAACCTTCACTGCGATGTTCTGTTCACACATGAATAGAACTATTATGAATAGCCAATGTCCGCCGCAGGCGGCAATTATCGAGATGTCCTTGATATGTCACAAAACTACCTTCTCCCTAGTTCTTTTTAAAGCCTTTTCATGGACACAACAAAACCTTTTCAACGCGTCTTGCGCACATTAAATCGCTGTAAAAAAAAACCATTTTCGAGGTACTTTTCTGAAGCCTTTTGTCAAAATGAACTTTTGCATTAGGATTCCATTTCCCTTGAATGACAAAATGCATTAAAAATAGATTGAACATAAAAATATTTATTTCTGACAGTGACATTATGAGCTTATATCGACATAGTTACGATATCTATTATGAGGGTCATAACTCCCTTGGGATGTTATAGATGCTATAATTCCCTCTAAATAAAATTAAATAAGAAATGCATAGCAACAACCAGGCAGTAACATAGCAATAAGGAATCTCCTATTCGCGGTAGTCAAGTTCATCATCTGACGTTCTGATGACATTGAAACTATACGGAAAAACATGTCTAACTTCCAATCGGGAAGGTATCTAATGAATGAAATCAGCCAGAAATAAAATTATCTATGTATTACAGGAATTACTGAGCCTCAATAACCTCAGGCAATTGCTGTCCCTCGGGCCAGAGGCCCTCGGGACGCAAACTTTGCCATCGGTAATTAAGGCCCTCATAATTCCCTTAATACATAAATAACTATTATTTCTGACAGTGACATTATAAGCTTATATCGTCATAGTTACGATATCTATAATGAGGGTCATAACTCCCTTGGGATGTTATAGATGCTATAATCCCCTCTAGCTAAAATTAAATAAGAAATGCATAGCAACAACCACGCAATAACGTAGCAATAAGGAATCTCCTATTCGCGGTAGTCAAGATCATCATCTGACGTTCTGATAACATTGAAACTATACGGAAAAACATGTCTAACTTCCAATCGGGAAGGTATCTAATGAATGAAATCAGTCAGAAATAAAATTATCTATGTATTACAGGAATTACTGAGCCTCAATAACCTCAGGCAATTGCTGTCCCTCGGGCCAGAGGCCCTCGGGACGCAAACTTTGCCATCGGTAATTAAGGCCCTCATAATTCCCTTAATACATAAATAACTATTATTTCTGACAGTGACATTATAAGCTTATATCGTCATAGTTACGATATCTATAATGAGGGTCATAACTCCCTTGGGATGTTATAGATGCTATAATTCCCTCTAGCTAAAATTAAATAAGAAATGCATAGCAACAACCACGCAATAACGTCGCAATAAGGAATCTCCTATTCGCGGTAGTCAAGATCATCATCTGACGTTCTGATAACATTGAAACTATACGGAAAAACATGTCTAACTTCCAATCGGGAAGGTATCTAATGAATGAAATCAGTCAGAAATAAAATTATCTATGTATCACGGGAATTATAGAGCCTTAATAACCTCTGGCAATTGCTGTCCCTCGGGCCAGAGGCCCTCGGGACGCAAACTTTGCCATCGGTAATTAAGGCCCTCATAATTCCCTTAATACATGAATAACTATTTCTTGATATGAAATTACCTTCTTAATCGGTTTCTGAGTAGTGCTTACTACACACAGACATATAATTGGAAAAAGGTTTCTCAATTTTTGAAATGTTCTCCACAATGCATAATTTTGCAACTGCGTAGAATCTGTGTATTGATAAATTCGTACTTTTATATATTGATTACACTGAGGCACCGAACAACACATTGTGCATCTGATGGTCATTATTACAAACTAAATAAGCCTTCTAACACAATAAACTTCACCAAATTCCTATCTGTTCGTTAGCAGCGTGATGTCAGCGTGACACGCTGCAAACGCGAATTCCAATTGCGAACAAGAAGAACAAAATCGAAAACAAATCAGAATTTATCGTATTGTGACGTAAGCATGAGACGTTGTGGTGGGGCAAACAAAGAAAGGGCACAAAAGAACAAAAACAATACTTTCAATATCCTTCTAAGACCTCTTTGGAAAGTGCATATTACGCCTCAAAAAAACATCCTCATGCCTACATTTCTAAAACATCCCAAAACATCCCAGGGATACCTCTCAGTAGGAAAACAAAGAAATGCCACAGAAGAACAAAATCAATACTTCAATATCCTTCAAAGACCTCTTTGGTCAGTGCATATTACGTCTCAAAATAACATCTTCATGCCAACATTTTCAAAACATTCCAAAACATCCCTGGGATGTTTGTGCTCGCTGGGAATACACCATGGTAGTATGATAGTATAGTAGATATCAGGGTTGAAAAAAAACATGTATTTTTTAATTTTACACAAAACACATGTTTTTTTTGTTTTAAACGGTTTCTTTTGTTTTAAACATTGTTTTTTTTTTGTTTCTGAATTTTATGATTTAAACAAATAAAACTTAAAAAAAGACATTGTTTAAATCAAATTTTTTCAAACATAATATTAATTCAGAGATTAATTCAAAATGTTTGATATAATAATCTTTAGTATTAGTCCACTAAATAATAGATTCCTTATTTGAAGTCAGACTCTGTATACTGAACTAAACTTTCGCCATCGCTGTGAGGATGTGCCGGTGAATCCCGAAATAAGAAAACCAATTGCGATAGGTATGTTCGCGTTCAGAATATAAACAGTCCGAAACTATCAGGAGCATGCGCAATTTCACAGAACAGTACACATTTTCCAAGTTCCGTGGAACTGCGCATGCTTCTGATGGTTTCAGACTGTTTATTTTTCGAACGCGAACAAACCTGATGAGGACTGTTGGCCTGGGGGAACCACAGACCATTTATAAATTCGCATTGCCAGTGGGCTATACAGAGTGTCCCACTTACCATGCCCACCATGGGTATCTATTCAATGGTGATGAGAGATACGAAGTCGGTTAAATGACACCAAATGTGGAGTTTTGTTTTGAACAAAAACTGTTTAAAACTTGAGCACATGTTTAAAACATGTTTAAAACAGTTGATTACAACAAAATGTTCAAAACAAAACAACCCTGGTAGATATCATAAATTTGTAGGCCCAAGTTAGCATAGATATACAGGGTGAGTCATGAGGAGGGAATACCTATAATGGCCATCAGAAATTGTCTTCACTTCTTCACTAATATATAGGGTGATTTATGGGATTTGACAAAAACATCTTTTGGTCATAACGTTCCAACTTTTTCATAGAATATTTTTCCACTACTCTCTAATCGATATATTCAGAATCGGAAAAAATCCAGGACCGTTCTTGAGAAAATTTCACTAGTGTAGTTTATATCAATAAGTTCATCCTGTATAAGGTTTATGTAAACTGTGAGAATTCCAAAAGGTCACAAAGAAACATCAAAAATGAAATATTCAAAATTTTCCTCACACTCTCAATGAATCTTTGAAAATACAATAAATTTTAAGGGAAAACATAAAACTTTAATTCTCAATGCTCTAATAGTTCTATGGAAATCAACATATTCTTTCATTTCTAGGCCTGAATGTAGTCATTAATTTTTTTTGTGGAGGGAAATAAATAATCACCCTGTAGATATTTTTCGAATCAATGGGTGGGGCATCTGTATGGAGGTTAATAATTTCATGACTTCAATTCTCAGTTTTATCTATTCGATATGTTAGTATAGTTATGATGATAATTATGTACCCCCTCCCCTTCGCCAAAAAATAAAATGACGAAATCCAGGCCTGGAAATGAAAGAACATATTGATTTACATTGAGCTAAAGCATTGAAAATGCAAGTCTTACTGTTATTCGTGTTATTTTTGCGTTGTGAAGTAATTATTTTTTAAATAAATACATTTGTTTCCACTTGTTGGTTCTGGCTTGAAATTAATCGTGTTTAAAAAAAATTCAGTGAACGTATGAGGAAAATTTTCAATATTTCATTTTTGATGCTGACCTTTGAAATTTCCTTGTCATAGTTTAGGAAGTCATGTACAGGATGAACTTTTTTATATAAACTATAAACTATCGAGATTTTCCAAGAACGGTCCTGCATTTTTCTGATTCTGAATGAGTTACTTGATTAGAGCAAAATATGCCATGAAAAAATCAGAAGATTCAAAGAAGCTGTTGGAAAATTGTGACCAATAGAAGTTTTTGCCAAATCTCATAATTCTCCATATACACCGTGTCCCAGCTAAAATGTACCCCCCTGTAGAAAACCAACCACGCGATCGAATGACTTAAAATATGGTCACCCAGTATATTTGATGATGCTCACTCGAAATATGCTATTGAATAAATCGTAGGTATACAGGGTCTCACCGAAGTGCAAGTCACCTTTCTTATTCGAATAGGGACACCCAGTATATTATTTCATATTCAAGTAGAGTTCATTATTACAAATTCAACAATGCCGTGTTTGATGGGATTTTTTCAAACGACGATTAAAATGGAATGATGTGTGTCCTGTACATAATAACAGACCCGTGAAGGATCATCTTCGCTATCGGTTTGGAGAAAATCTAATAACCACCAATTATTGTCTCGATGGTGATAGCAACTGGTCAGCTCGGTCGCCAGACCTCACCCCACTTGATTTTTATTTGTGAGGCTACTTGAAACAACAGGTTTATGGGTCGCCAATTGTGAATATGGAAGAAATGAAAGAGAAAATCATTAATTCATGCGCAGAAATTGATACATAGAGTCACAATGAACGTTATCAAAAGAGATGGGAGATGTTTGCAGCAAAATGGACGACATATTGAGCAGTTGAGGTTTTAATTATTTGCTTTTCATTCGATTTCGACCGTGTTATATTAAGAAAATCTAATCATACAATTCAATAGTTTTATTTGCAATATCTTCGCAGTGGTTTGGAAAAACCCCATCAAACCCGGCATTGTTGAATTTGTGATAATGAACTCTATTTGAATATGGAATAATATACTGGGTGTCCCTATTCAAATAGGACATTTTTGGTGCACTTCGGTGTGACCCTGTATATCTACGATTTATTTAATAGCATATTTCGAGTGAGCATCATCAGATATACTGGGTGACTAAATTTCAAGTCATTCGATCGCGCGGTTGATTTTTTACAAGGGGGGACATTTTAGCTGGGACACGGTGTATATTCATTACTGAAGAAGTGAAGACATTTTGTGATGGTCATCAGGTATTTCCCTTAGGAGCATCTATTCGTGGTAGAAGTTTGTACGCAGTTCCTCATGACCCTATATACGAGGTACCAGAACAACCTACCATAAATTCTACAGGGTGAGCAAACAAAAAACAAAATAGGCCGATTGAAATCAACTTACCCCTATACGAAAATGCACCGTTGAAGCCAGATTTTCTTTATTCGAAATTCTATTTGAGAAATGAAAAAAATAAATATATCCACTCGCCTATTATAGTTCCGTTGGAGAGTACAACAACAATTATATTTTTATAGTACGAAGGTATGGGAGAGGAAGAAGACGATGAAATGAAGGAAGTGGAAAAGATGATCGAAAGAGCTTCTAAAGAATTACAGCAGGTTGTCGATGAAAATAAAGACCTGATGGAAACCCTCAACGTAAGTGCGATATGATGGGTACCTAATCCCCGGGTCTCTTGATGCAAACTAACGTATTTGTCTTCGTAACAGGATACGGACAGATCCTCGTCTTCTCTCACTATTGTGAAACAGTTCATAGTTCCATCCTTCTCAATTCTGGGGATAAACACTAGATTTCTGACATTTGTTGTTTTTTAGGTTATATTGAGGACATTGGCGTATCATACGTAATTTCCACATGGAATTCCTGATTCAAACTCTTCATAATCCAAAATTATGATCAATAATTTTTGGGCATAAGTTTTTCTGAAAGTTTGATATGTTTTACCAGATGGGACTATTCTTAGGCTGTACCTATATATACCGGGTGACACAGGGTATCGGGCCACCCCTGTAACTTCTGCATTCGTCAACGGATTTTTCTGAAATTCGGTACAGTTATATAAGCAATTATTTCGGATTTGATCACATTACAATCCAATATGGCGGACTTCCGGTATTTCTGGAAATGCCAGCAACTTTGTTTTTTCAAATGAAACACCCTGTGTATCTTTACATATTCAAGTTCAACAGGTCGAAACAAGTGCAATCTTTATTTCAAATGTCATTTTTTCGAAAAAATTTAAATTAAAATTGTTTTTTTATTTTACCTCGTGGATAAATGAGATGTGGTCAAGACTATTTACAATGGGTCACACATAACAAAAGAACATAATTTTTTCTGAAAAATTATGTTTTGTGTCACTTATCCAGGAATCAATTCAGCCACATCACTTTTTGATCAAAAATTATTTTTTTTTCAAATGGAACCCCTATGGGCCACCTACCCGTCTCTTTAAAACATACATTAAGGGACAAGATGACATATCATTTTTGATTTTCGGTGCAGTAACAAATTGTAAACATTCAAAAATCAACAACTAGTTTATCAAGGTAACACTTGTTTTGACCTGTTAAACTTGAATATGGTAAAATATACAGGGTGTTTCATTTGAAAAAACAAAATTGCTGGCATTTCCAGAAAAACCGGAAGTCCGCCATATTGGATTGTAATGTGATCAAATCCAAAATAGTTGCAGAAGTTACAGGGGTGGCCCGATAACCTGTGTCACCCGGTATATATAAATGAATTTTTATTTCAGACTAATCCTCATGGTTGAGAAATGGTGAAAATGGTGAAAACTAAGGTGCTTATATGTCATGTGTACTTAATACTCAAATATTCATATTGGGTATTATTTTTGCTGTTTTTTACGAGCACTTAATATTTTCTGAATGTAGGTTTATTTTTCTAAATGCTAGGGCATATGTCTCTTCTAATCCTCCGTTTCAATCAAAACTGTTTCTACTAAAATGCATTCAAAATCTTAGGGAGTGGATAATTAGGCACAATGAAAAAGTAGATATAATATGTGATTTCGTATTAGTTTTGCCTCGCATAATTTACTGATGTATTTACCGATTTTCCTAATTCGGTCTCTACAATGTGTCTCACTTTCAATAGAAACAACCCTGTATCTTTGATAATTGTTGAGTTTGGATTCTGAAATTTGCAGGAGCGAAAGGTATACTGAAAATGCACACTATTACCCAGTGGAGTCATCTTCAGTGGAATACACTGCTTACCAACAGCCATTGAACCAACCACATTTCCGGAAAATGATATTAGGAGGCAAGGTAGATTGAAAATCAGTTCGGATTCGTAATTCGGGCGTCCCTTTCACTGGTTTTTTATATTTTCCCTGAACATTTTTCAGTTCTGAAAAATAAAATTTTGCCTCACTTTTAATGGAAGTACCCCCGTATATTACGTGATTGACGTGATCTTTAGCCCATCCTGCAAATTTCAGTACCCTACCTTAATAATTACGTAAGATATGGGGGTGCTTCCATGAAAACTGAGACAAAATTTGATTTTTCAGAACTCAACATCTTTTCAGGAAAAAAATGAATAGTTACTGAATTGGACGTCCTGATTTCGAATTCGAAGGAATTTACAATCTATCTTGCCTCCTAATATCATTTGACGGAAATGTGGGTGGTTCCATGGCTGTTGGTGAGAAGTGTATATAACTGAAGATGACACCACTTGGTGATAGTGTGTATTCTTAGTATATCTCCTGCTCCTGTTAATTTCAGAATACTAACTTAACATTTACGAGAGATACAGGGGTGTTTCCATTAGAAGTGAGACAGACTGTATACTTTCCATGTTCCAAGTTCATTTGCATTTGTTGGAAAGCTAACAAATTCAAATTTGCCATCCAACTGATTCATACAGTCCAACGCAGCATATTTCACCTACCATCCTTCCAAAATAGAATTGAATAATGTCGTATTAAGAAGTTCTAATTAAAATTTTGTGAGATTCATTTTAATGTCTATGAATGTGACGTGACAGCAATGTCATGTCAGGGACGCCAATACACCAAACCAAATTCACTAGATCATTCAAAGAGAGAGAGGAGCTATGATCTGTCAGTACCTAATACTATATTAGCCTAGTATCTTAAGTATCGTAGGACAGGTACCAAAATGTTTCGAATTGGCTCTGCTGATGGTAATCCAAATGATTGCGATGAGATTTGTTTTTTTTTTGTTTAAAAGAATAGTAGCTTCTGATGTGAAAGCTATTATTCCAACTCATGAGAGTCCACGCCCAGTGGAGCTGGTAAAAATGAGAATTCTCAAACCCGACTTTGACTAAATTTGTAATTCATCTTGTATTATTTGAGAACTATATAGAACACATTTCACTTTTTCAGTTTGAAATTTATCATAAATTGCGAAAATTACAAGGGGTCTGGGATGATCTGGGTTTCGTCAGTTTACATTTATCCAGAGTGTCAGAACACATAAAATTATGATATCAACAATAATTTTAGTAAGAACCTTATGTTTTGCATGTTCAGGAAGATGACGACGGTGAACAGAATGTAGACGAAAAAGCTGGTGGTCAGAGTAAGTTTACTTTTTTACTATTAATTCATTCATTTATTAATGGAAAATAAATCTTTCAAAAACAAATTTCTGGTATAAACGAAGTAGTTCACACAAGTTTTTTTTTATTCATAATTTTTTTTTCATTCTTTCATATTCATATTTCCTGTTCATATTTCCTATAATAATAATAATAAAAATAATATAAGTTTTTTCAAAAACGTTTACAAAACATACATTGGAACATACAGATAGGTATTTTGAATAAACTGGGAAAAACCTTACGAAGTGAACCTTGTAGTAAAGATAAAAAACAAATGTACATAGGTCAATAAATATTTAACAATATCAAAGTATCACAAGGGATAAATTGTCTCATTAAGAAATGAGACATGTATTTAATTCATATATAGTGTACTGAGCATCTCATTCAATTCACATAATCATTTATTTTCATAGATACTTATTCACAATTATTATTTAGAGTTTCCTAATTATATTATCGAATGTAAATTAAAGAGATGAAACCTTCTTGAGGGTAGTATCATTCGGAATTATATCATATAAATAAGGAATTAAATATTAATGAATCCTTTGTCCAATAGTTTCAATCGTTTTATATTTGAAACAGAATTCCAAAACCCCATTTAATAACACCTCAAATCTCAAGGTGGCGACGGTCCTCCTTCAAAATTCGACCCGATCATCGATATGGCCGTGCTGAGAGAATTGGAGGCAGCCGAAAACGAGGCCAAACAAACCGCGAAGATCATCGAGGACCTCAAAATGCGCGTCACGGAACTGTCTAAGAAGGATAAGATGACGGAGGCGGAAGCGAAAGAGCTGGAGAACAAGAACCAGGAACTGAAAGCCCACATGGCCGTGTTCGAGGAGAAGACCAAGCGCATCCAGCAGCTGATAGGTATCGAATTCATTGATTATATTTGAGTCGTGAAACATAAGTTACCGGCAAAAAAACTGCCAGAAAAAAATGTTGGCAAAATGAGCACCCTGTAACTTGATTAATTATTTTCCGATTTTGGTGAAATTTTGACCAAATTGATTGATTGTCTTTATTACCCCAAGAAACATTTCTGTTTATGATAGGGATACATAAATACATATAAAAAAAAAATAATAAAGGGTTAACTATAATGAATTCCACTCAGTGGAAACGAATTAATATTGTGTCTTATAAGATTAAAGTTATATTTCATTCCTAAGTAATCAAATCATGCCACATATTTTTCTTTCAAATTGTCCTGAGCAAGTATTTTTTGAGATTGATTTTAAACCTTGCATCATGTATATTTTTTAACTCATTCGGTAATGAATTGTATAAAATTATTCCATTGTGAAAAACAGATTGTTTGCCAATGTTTGACTTGAATGTATTCGCAATCAAGTAATTCAATTGTCTAGTCCCATAATTATGGACTGTATTGACTTCATTGAAAGCTAAATTTGATATTTTCAACTTATTCCTGGCAAAATGAATAAAGCAACATATTTTAAGTTTATATAACGAAATCAGGTTCAGAAAATGTCTTGGTTTGTATAAATTTATCGTTGGTTCTAGAAAATGTAGATGAAAAATGCACTTAATTGATTTGTTTTGTAATTTCATTAGAGGTTTCAAACGTGAAATATTTGTACTCCCCCAAATAGAAATTAAATATTGCAAATTTGAATAAATGAGGCAAAAGTAAATACATTTCAAGTATTTTATGGGAATAATATTTCGGATTTTGAATAAAATGCCTATGATCGGATTTATTTTATTTCTCAAATAGTCTATATGTTTAGTCCATAATAATTTTTCGTCGATATAGAGACCTAAAAATTTTGTCACGTCTGTATATTTAATTAATCTATTGTTGAAAGTTATAGCATTATTCGAAATATTAACTGATCTTTTAGAAATATACATATATGAAGATTTGTTATAATTAAGAGTCAACTTATGAATTTGCATCCAAGATGATATGTTTTCCAAATCACTCGTAATATCCCGTTCGATATCATTTAATTCTTTGGATATATAAATCAATGTTGTATCATCCGCAAATAATTTTAGCTTTCCTTTCAATTTCAGAGTTGATATTGAATTAATATAAATTAAAAATAAAATCGGTCCCAGAACTGATCCTTGCGGTACTCCACATGTAATATTCTTTAGTGAGCCAGAAAGATCATTCACTTCAACATACTGCTTTCTATTTGTCAAATAATGTGTGAACCAATCATGAATTCTTCCTCTGACGCCGATTGAATATAATTTATTTAGTAAAATTGTATGATCTACAGTGTCAAATGCCTTACATAGGTCCAAGGACAAGAAGCCACATTTATAATTTTCATCAATCCGTGACTGGATATCCGAAATTACATCCATTACAGCTATCTCTGTATCCTTTGACCTACGGAATCCATATTGACCACTGTACAATAGATCGTTATTTTCAAGGAAGTCAATAAGACGATTATTCATGATTTTTTCTATAATTTTAGAAAGGATGGGGAGGACAGATATTGGCCTGTAATTATTCATATCGTCTCTCTTACCAGTTTTGTATATTGGCAATACTTTAGCAATTTTCATTTTGTCAGGAATAATACCAGTTTCAAAAGATTTGGAAATAATTTTCAACAAGATGGGAGTTAATTCAGATTTGATTACTTTTACAATTTTTACAGTTATGAAATCAAATCCACAAGATTTTCGTACATCCAAGTTATCGATTATATTTTCAATTTCTGAAATATTTGTTGGTGTTAGGAACATAGATAAAACACGTGAACAATCGTTCATCATTGTTCCAGAAATTGGAGGTATTTTCGAAGATAAATTTGGACCAACATTGATAAAGTGATTATTGATTGCATCACTCATCAAATGACTACTTTCAATTTTGATATTATTCAATTTGATATATTTGATATTATCAGTCTGATTTTTGGACTTATTGTATAAGAGTGAATTGATACCATTCCAAACTGATTTCATAAGGTATGTTGCGGTAAACCCTCACACTGCATAAAATTCCGCTGGAATGTCGATGGAAATCCATTAAACTGTTGTAATAAAATGCACACCCTTAAATAATGGTATAATAAGTGTTAATCAATGAAGTCGTATCAGCCTTTTCTGATTCTGAAGATACATGACGACTGACACACAGCGAAATCCCTTTTCCCATCATTGTGTTGTATAATCCACTGTTCCATCGTTCCAGCATAAATTCCATCAGTACAATTGGTGACGTCACTACAATAAAGCGCATCTATTAGTGCGCACTTTCATTGATGGAATGAAAAACACGCACGCCTACACTTTCAAACTGAAATATTACACTGTGTTCGTAAAACCTAGTGCTAGACAATTACGTCAAATCGCGCTGTTCGAAAACATCAGTAGAGATGATCTCTACAACTAAGTTATTGTATGTTACAGTATCAATTGATTCACGTTGTTTGTATCCGAATGATAGTTAGTAGAAGATCCGAACCTAAGTCGACCTTCACCGAGCTGATAATAGAACGAAATATATTTTATCATTAATTTAGTATATTAGAAAACATATTAAAAATGGGTTGCCTAAAAAAATCCTGGGCAGACTATTTTTAATTATTTTTCGAAAAATTATTTTTAATTAAATGTTGCAACATCAGGATAATAAAAAAATTGTGTCCTGACTGAAAGTATGAAACGTATAGAATGTGCAGCCGTTGGGGTGTCTACTATTTACCTGGGCGAACTACTGGGTTGTCAGGTAAACACAGGTATATCGATGCCAGTTACTTTCACTGGATTGGATAATTTAAAAAAATGTATATCATCATAAGCGCTGTTTAATTGCGAACACGTTGATATAGGGTTGTCTGCGAAAATTCCGGTCCGATTAGGGGTTTTTAATTTCAACGCGCGTGGAAGTGTGTGACAGAGAGATCCGAGGTAAGTATACTGTGTGATAATAAAGGACCCAACATCGCAGTCGCTTGTGATGGGACCCTGAATAGTAGAAAGTGTGCGAAGTCAAATCCTGAAAACTATGGTTGGCATTTTGATGATTTCTTAAAACCAACAGGTTTTATCGGAGATCAAACTCCTTTGAAAATCCAGGACATTGTCGAAATGGAAGCAAATGAGGAAGAATCTAATGAATCAGACGAATTCGAGAGTCAAAATGATACTTCTGATGAATCAGATATTGAATAGAAAATATTTATTAGAATTTATTTTTCATTAATATTATTTTTGTATTTATACTGTTTTTTAATAAAATTTCAAATCGTAATACAAGATGTCTAGTCTATCTTTTTTGTTATTTCTTAATTTAAATTTTTGGCGGTCCACTTTGTTTCTATTTCCAGAAAGAGCAAAAAAATTTCAAAGTAAGTATTTGATATTTTTATTGTCTATTATAGATTATAGATATATCATTATGGTTATAACGCAATATACTGATATTATATTGTTTTTATATATTAGTATTATATTAAATATATTTAATTATTATGTAATTAATTAATTATTTTTTTTTGCTACTGAAATATCAGTTGCTCCAAAATAACACGCACTGTTTACTATATGAAGGGTAGTAGAGGTACCTCTACCCTCCATAGTTTACACACCGAGCATGCGCACTTTCTACTATTCAGGGTCCCATCACAAGCGACTGCGATGTTGGGTCCTTTATTATCACACAGTATACTTACCTCGGATCTCTCTGTCACACACTTCCACGCGCGTTGAAATTAAAAACCCCTAATCGGACCGGAATTTTCGCAGACAACCCTATATCAACGTGTTCGCAATTAAACAGCGCTTATGATGATATACATTTTTTTAAATTATCCAATCCAGTGAAAGTAACTGGCATCGATATACCTGTGTTTACCTGACAACCCAGTAGTTCGCCCAGGTAAATAGTAGACACCCCAACGGCTGCACATTCTATACGTTTCATACTTTCAGTCAGGACACAATTTTTTTATTATCCTGATGTTGCAACATTTAATTAGAAATAATTTTTCGAAAAATAATTAAGAATAGTCTGCCCAGGATTTTTTTAGGCAACCCATTTTTAATATGTTTTCTAATATACTAAATTCATGATAAAATATATTTCGTTCTATTATCAGCTCGGTGAAGGTCGACTTAGGTTCGGATCTTAGACTAAGTGTATCAACTTATCTTGGTCGAATTCATCGATATCTGAAGAAATTTTTTGACAAATATTCTTTGTCTCTTTGTGAAGGATGCACATTATGCTGGTGACCCAACATTTTTCTTTGTCTCACGACCAAATCGTCTTCCGATTCTGAATCAGATTCTGATGTCTCATCTGAAGTGTCCAAAAAAGTATGCTACGCCATTTCATGTGAGAAAATATTCGACATTCAAAACCAATTATGCAAGATTCAACGGTTAACGAACGACAAAATCAGTTATTACACTTTCTCTACACTGCACTTCTTCGACTGTACACCACGCGACATTAGACTTCCTACATTACAATGCACTTTTAGCAGGGTTTTCGAGAAGACCTATGATTCATGTTTGTAAAAAAATTGTTCTAAAATTTGTTTGATTCTCCGTCATTCGGTTTCCCCCTCACGAGAAGTCTTCAAGAGACTTGTGCGAGCAAGGAATGATGGGGGCCTTCCTTTAAACGTGTGATCTCAAACACTTTCTTAGGCCATTTGGTTTTTGTTGTGCTAGTTCCGAAAAATAAGCTAATAACACCGTCTCTGAGGAAGAACTGCAAGTCCTTTCATCTTCCACTTCACTTCGCTGTTACTCAAATTACTAATCAACCACTAAGTTCGCAATTTTTCAAAATCAAATCACAGAATCGAACTGTCAGATATTTGTTCACTTCAAAAGAATGAAAATAGTGTATCATGCACGGGAAAAATATTAGGTTTTAGCTAACGGTTTTTTGTCTCCCTCCACTACAAGTCGGGAGACAAATCAACCTGAAGCCGCTTGAAGCTAAAAAATACAACTGTTTTCCCTCGTATAATAAATAAATATCAATATTGAAAAAGTTATATGGCCATCGATTTGGCAATTTTTTTTCTGGCCGGTGTTTTTGTGCCCGTGAGTGTATTTCTCTCCTACTAAGAAATGGGCCATTTCATGGTTTTTTTTTTCCAAAATTACCTACTCCGTTGAATATTTTATAATGATTGCTGCTTTATTCAAGAAAGTCAAATTTCAGTCAAGGACTTTTTCGATTGATCGTGGCTCTATTCAATGAATAATTCAACGATCGGTTTCCTTCAGTGCATCAATTGTGGATCGTTGAAGTAACACTGCCTCTTAACATAACCTAAAAAAGTCTAACGGAAACAAATGTCTCGAAAATGACTGATAACACGCTTTCCAATCTTTGGAATGCTAAATCCTTCTTTGATGCACAAATGTGCCAGAATCACAAATGTGCCAGAATCACAAACCTTAGGAGTATCCTTGCACCAGGTGCTTATGAAGCTTCATTTCCACCATACAATGTTTTCAACTTTCTCACAGTTGCTGCACTCCCTTATAAAATCATCTCTCAATATTTCCCAATATTGTCTCAGATGGAAACGATTCATAATATCTCACAGCGGATGTTTCACACTATATTTATTTCATGATATTAATTATGTCAAGCGCGTCAGTATTGACAATGTGAAAATAACACTCAGTTCAAAAAGAAACTAATAGATTTCCCACCCATTAGGAATAGTTTTCCACTCAGAAATTGAACATTCCACAATATCAAATTGATTGTTTCGGAACAAACTTGTTTCTGATCGTCTGTTAGAAATGTCAAATTCACTCACATTGAGCATAATAAATACATACCTCAGGCCACATTTGAAAATATGCTCATTATAATCGACGAAACTCTATCTGTTATCATACAATGTCTCGATTCTAGTCAAAATATCGATGCAAGGTGATCCAAAAAATGATCAATAATAAACGATTTCTTCAACAGGACAGACCATCATGTTCGGTGATATGCCTCTCGGGAAATCGCCATGGTCGCCACAGGTCAAACACAACGAAGATGTGCTACCGAAAGTTGTCGTTTGCGGGTTCACAGAGAACAACATTCCCAAGATTCTGATTTGCGACGACAAGAAGAAGAGATGTACGCCCAAATCTACTGGAAGAAAACAAGATTCTCCGAGAGTAAGTTGAATTTGTTCGAGTTATCGACCCAATCTACGTGTCAACCTGATTTGTATCATGTAAGAATGGATGATAATAATCTTATTTACGACTTAATAAAAAATAAAAAGGTAATTTTTGCAAGAATCAATATGAAGATGAACCATATTGATGAAATGCTGCCGTTATTGCTAGAATTCGTTAGATTCCAGATGGTCCAGATCCAAAATCATCTGTAGTCTAAGAGGAAGGGAGGTAGGAGAAAGGCTCTCCCACTTAGATTCATCATCACGGCTATAAAAGAGGATGTATGGCGTTTCGGGGATTTCAGTGGGGATAGCTTCTCAGACGATGTTCTTGATACGGAGCCATCATTGAACTGGAGATGGTGTAATAGTGACTGCTATCGACACTCGAGCCACAGTGGATTACAACCGCGTAAGCTGGTAAATCCAGCTGCCGATAATATGATGCTCGTCAAGACATACGGAATGTTGCATCTTGATGATGCGAGGAAGGATCGAAGCGGAAGAGCTTCAGAGTTAAAATCAATCGTGGCGGCGCCTCCATGATCTTGGTTATTTGTTCTCTGACGGTCAATCGACTGCATATCTCGCAGTATCATTGGTTATCTTCTGTTAATTTCTCCGTCTCAAAGTGGTAGTCCAGCAGCGACTGCACGGTCTGGTTCTCAGGGTAGTTGGTGTTGGGGAAGGACAGTTGCAGCTCCCTAAATAGATCGACACGATCGCTCTTCCTACCACAAACCAAACATCGTGAAACAGTCGACATCTCGCTGCTGAAAAAAGTTTGCAACACCGTTGTGAAAGCTTCTGCTTTCTCTTCAGAGAAATTACAAGTTGAAGGTATTCTCTTGATCTTGTAGTTTGTTGTGGAAATTGCAGAATATATCCATACATAATTATGAATACATCAAAAACAAGAAAGTTTGGTGATTCATTGAAGTATTCACAAAAAATACTTTCTTGAAAAACCTGTAGTTGTAGTTACGTCTGCTATCAAAACTGTGTGAGAATGCCAAAAGTTAACAGGACTACTTATGGAAGCATGAAAATGAAGACGAATTTGCATCTTTTTACGTTTTATTTTCGTTGTTCCATCTTATTCTATATGAAACCGTCAATTCAATTTCACAAAGCGTCAATTGTATAATAGTCAAATGTATTTCAGAATATATCAATTGTATTCCAGAATAGTCAATTGAATTTCAGAAATCGTCAGTTGTATTTCAGAATGTAGAGTACTCCGATTACTGTGTACTGTAGAGTATTTCGATTACTGTAGATATTTTCTTTCTGGTCGATTCTATATGTTTTCAATTCCTTCAAGTTGAGAAAACCAACTGGATAATTTTCTGAATATTGATGTATCCTTATATTATTTATATCTATCATTTAACATTTAACAATTCCAGACTGAAATCACGAAGAAATTGAATGAATGTTACTGCATGCAAGAAAAATTGGCAGCAGAAAATGCCGATTTAGAAGGAAAAAGGTACGGAATCAAAATGTCATATATTTTAGAAAATGTTCATTTTCTCAAAACAATTCCGAAAAATAATCTCAATCCACCCTGCATATTCAAATCTGGTCACAAACACGTGATAATTTGAAATCAAACAATTACTCACCGACTTTCAAGAAATTACCAATGACTTCCATTCAAATTGCATCCCAATGATTTTTCCGTTAATTTTAATCACTTAATGGGGTTGTCCACAATAGTCGAATTCACATGAAATACCTATTTTATTCATTTTATTATACTTCATCCCGAAATCTATGCACAGAAACACTTGCAACGGATAGAACAATATAGCCAGGAAAGTAGTTGTTTTTTTCTCTCGTTTTATTCGTTTTTCGTAATCCCATACTGTTATTTTGATTTAACGGTATTCAAATGACAATTGAAAAGTTAATGTTGAGAGCCTTCGTTAGTTAAGATTGTTCACTCAAATACCTTTCAATTTCATATTTTTATAGAATTTTTCGGTCGATTTTTAGGTGCTAAAATCATCAATAAAGCCACGGTACTTTTCAAATTGATAGAAATTAAGTGTCTCAAGATGTTCCCTTATGATTTGTGGATTTTTGCTTATAATTCATGTTTCATTTGTGTGAATAGCAATTATATTAATTCACAGTACATTTGAAGCGGTGAACGTGACAACTTGTGGGCGTGGTCTTGGCCCTTCTCAGCATTCAGCACAATGTTGCCAAGTCTCCAACACTTACATGATATTTTGTTATGGAGTATAAAAAATATTTGGACTTGCTGAAAAATTCAAGAATGAACTATAATATCATGGGTTCCTCCTATTATGTTTTATTCAACAACAGGACTCTTACATCTTTTTGCTTGATTATAATTGGTGATTTGACAACCTTGCTTCGTGAGTGGGAATGAAAGATTATCTGACCAATAACGAAACAGCATAAAATATGACGTCACCATTTATTCGTACGTTTGAAATGAGCTCCGAAATTCAACAACTTCGAACAATGCATACACTCATTATTCTTTTCTTCGAAAATATAATTAGTCAGTGTCCATACGCACACCACTGTTGATCAACTTTCACTACACACTAAATTACAGTGAAATAAGAAATATTATGTCTAGCAGTTTTCCAAATTTCGATTAATTTACAATTTTCCTCGAAACTTGAACACCTCGTATTCATCAAATGTGTTATGAAAACCAGTAGCAATAACAAGGTGACATATATGTCATTTTTCATGTCATCACTTAACATGGCTCGTCAATGAGAAATACTTTCTCAATCAAATTTACAATTCATTCAATAACTATGTACCGCTAACATTGAAATTTCATTTTTAGATATAAGTTACAATCAGACATTGCGAATCAAGACCAAACAGTAGAATATCTTCAAAGGCAACTTGCCACGATGCAAAATGACATGCGCATGGTCTGCCAAGAAAATACTCTTTTGAACCAAAAATTGCAAGTAAGTAGTAATTCATTATTATTTCTACTTATTCAACACATATTATATTTCTAGTATTGTATTTTCAAAACCTAATATTCATAATTTCTTGAGGAAATATTTGAGACGATATTTCATCGTAATAAACAAAATATATAGAGGCAAAGTAGAATATGCTTACATAGGAGCAAACTGTGATAGGGAAGATTGAAAATTATGTTTGCATTATAGATATTTAGTGTTGATTTGTAGATATACGACACACACTGGCACAATTAGGGGAACGGGCAAAATTTCCACTAAGTTTGACATCAATTTTCTTTCGAACCGATCGCTCGATTCCAATTTATTTCTTCACGAATCGTAGCTTCATTCTTCACGAATACATTTGAGAGATAATTACCTTCAAACGATGAGTCTTTCTATCATATACAGGGGTGTAAAGAAAGTACGGATTTTTCGGTATTTTTTTAGACATCCTGTGGACTGAACCACTGATAATTGAAACGATTTTTCAACATCAAATTGGAGCCTAATCTATTCCGAATATTTTCGTTTTTTATTCATAATGATATCTCAATTATTCAAGCAAATACAGAGCTTCAGGCAAGGTGGATATTGGTATCAATTTTACCACCTCGAAACTCAAATTGGATCTGAAAATGTGTCGTTTCTTGACTAACCTAACCTAACCTAACCATGACTAAACCTCTGCCATAGGAGACAGAAGCAGTAAAATCAGATGGTTCATTTTGTTCACCTCGGCGATATAGTATTTTCCTGCCATCTATTGAATTGATGCAGATGCGGCTCTCATATGTTAAAAGAACATTGGTCCACTGGTCATTTTCAATTAATGCTACAGCCCTCGCCACATCAGTAGGAGTCAAATCTCTCATGTTGAATTTTCATTAATCAAATTCATGAATTGTGAAAGAGACATAAACAAAATAGCCAACGTTGATTAACAAAAATAGCATTTCACCAAAAGAACATTGGAGCAACTTTTATCACCCCTGCATATTCATGAGAGTATTCGTATATGTGTCTTTAAACAGTAAACCAATAGGTAAAACTGTGAACAATTTTCATCTTGGAGTAAAAATCCTCACAGAAACAAGTTGAAAAACGACACGTTCTCCCCAGTTCGAGTTTCGAGGTGGTAAAATTAATACCAATATCCACCTCTTCTTTGAAACTCTGTATTTTCTTGGATAATCAGGATATCAAGATGAATAACGAACGAAAATATTCGGGATAGATTGGGCTATAATTTGGTGTTCGGAAATCGTTTCAATTATCAGTGGTTCACTCCACAGGATGTCTTAAAGAATACCGAAAAATCCGTACTTTCTTCACACCCCTGTATATGATATAAAGACGAATAGTTTGGAGGTGGTTATTTCTCAGATGTATTCTTGAAGGATGGAGCTAGAATTCGTGAAAAACAAATTTGAATCGAGTGATCCGTTCGAGAGAAAATTGATGTCAAACTTAGTGTAAATTTTACCCGTTACCCTAATTGTGCCAGTGTGTGTATATATGTTCTTTTTGTGTTTCAAGAACCAAATTTCAACCCCCTGCGGTCCAAACAGAAGTCGTTCCTCATCTCCAGAACCAAAAAAGAAAATGCCTTGCGGAAAATCGAAAGGTATCTGTCCTGCAGATATCGAATACCGCCTACAGGAATATTCCGAGAACACAGAACACTTGGTGAGCAATAAATGATTTGTCAATGAAAATTCAAGGAACAAGAGTATCGTGTTGTAACAAAATAAAAGTGAAGTGAAACTGGAATTCAATGTAACTTCGCCAATTTTTCCGCACCTTGAGAATGTCATTTCATAGGAAAAACAATTGGGAGACATGGAATCCGAGGTGAAAGCAATGCAGAAAGAACTAATCGGAGTTCAGAAGGAGAGGGAACATCTGGAACACCACAGAAAAATGTTATGTCGTCCACCTCCATGTTTGTCACCTCATCCCTGTATGCCTTCACCATGTATGCCACCACCATGTGAACAAAAATCAGTATGTACAATATTGTGTTTGCAGTTTTTCTATATTTCATGTATTCCACCAATTTGTAGCGGAAGCAAAGTGCAACTCCATATAGGCATTTGACAATCCTGCATCATTTTTCACTTTGGTCAGCACGCATTACTTGGTACTTATTCTTGCATTAAAATGTTTGGCCTAACAGGCCTAGTCTAGTAGGTGAATAGTATAAACCCTTGGGATTATCTTTTCGTCCATGCTTTCCAAGATGGTATTAAAATGGTCTTCCATAACTATATTAGACCAATCCGATAAATTTATTATAACCACTTCAAACAAATATGGTCTGACCGATTGCTGAACGCTTTCTTGAAGTGGTTGTTTTGATTCTCTACCGATTTGATGAAATACATTAGAGATATCGCGTTTACAATCTTACTCACGTCGAAGAATTATCAACAATAAGAGTAACCATATTTTTTTCTAGACATCTTCTGACACACAGCTGAGGGAACTCAGGGAACAATACAACAGGTTGCAAGACGATTTCAAAAACAAATTAACCGAAGTCGCCGGTCTGAGGGCCGACAACGAAAAGTTGAAAGACAAAACCAAGCTGGCAGAAGAAACGAAAAAAGCCGCAGAAGATAAAGTCAGAGAATTGGAGAACGAACTGAAGGCACTGAAAGGCAAAGGACCGAAGGTAAACCGTTTGCAAATATTTTAGTGACTTGCATATATTGAACTAAATCCTCATTGCAGGGATCTGGCACCAGAGAACAATTGATCGAGATGGAACAACAGTTGACTGTTGCCAAACAAAGATTCAGGGAAGCTCAAGACGAACTAGAGGAACTCAGATCGCTTGTCGAAGATCAACAAACCCAGCTCGACGACTACAGAAATAAAGTAAGTGAAATGAATTCATCAACTTATTCAGTTGATGAAAGGAACTACTAAGGTTCTGACAAAGAGGAGAGGGGGACTAACCTACTATTCTTTGGTTCTGATTTGAGGCCGGTATTCGGTTCAGAATTATGAGTTACATGATGAATATATGGAGGGCTAAGGTTGCGGAAATAATTATATCTTATGACGATTCAAAGTTAAATAGAATACAGCTTAGGTACAATATCATAAACTGGAACTACCTTTTGCAAAACTACAGTACGCTATTTTACCACGACTGTCTGTTCCACAAGGTAATATTGAAGTCCATTCTTGACGTTATTGAAAACAATCGTAGGGGGATCAGGTGGGATTAATAATGTTAATATTCCAACAGTACCTGGAAGCTCAGCAGACAGTTGAAGAGCAAAGAAGACAAGCCGACCTAATGGAAATGGAAAACCAGCGAATAAGCGAGCAAGTCAACCTAGAAATCCAGAGAGTGAAGAATCAATTCCAAGAAAAGCTGCACGAGCTCATGCCGCTTCCCGATATCCTGAAATCGACCCAAATGAAGCTCCAGGAAGCCCAACAGATGCACATACTCGCCGAAAGGAACAACGAAGCAATCGCTAGAGAACTGCAACTCTACAAAGACAAAATAACCGCGATGAACAACCAGATGAACGAGGTTCGAAGTGACCAACAGCTCGGCGAAGACGCCAAAGCAAGCCTAGCGACAAAAATATCCGACTTGGAAGAGCGCTTGGAAGAAGTGCTACAAGAAAACGTGCAGCTCAAATTCGACTTGGAAAATCTGCAAGAGAAAGCTGATGATTTCGAGAAATCGGCCGCTGAACGCCTACACGAAATCACCCAACTAGACAGTCAGCTTGAGAACCTGCGCGAGGAAACTGCAAGACAAGTTGCACGCACAAAAGACAGATGCGAGATCATAAGGAGGTCCATGCAGAATCAAATTTCCGATATGGAAAGACAGCTGGCGCAAAGCAGGGCTCTCGCCAAGGCAGCACAGAAAGACAGAGACGATATCAGGCAGAAAATGCAATCGCAGATAAGCAACTTGAATGAGAACTTCGAGGATGCACAGATGAGGATCAGGAATCTGCAGGGCCACGTTAATTTCCTGAAGAATTCTTATGGGAATGTTTATCCCGAGCAGTCCGAAGTAACTCCGAGTGCTATGCCGGATCCTTGTAGCTGCAGTGCCAACTACTGAAGATGACTTTCCATAGGTAGGCTGATATACCATTAAGGAAACTTGTCTGTTGATTAGAACTTGTCATTGGGCGTCCGAAAATAAAGACTTGCCATGTTATTTTATAATTTCTGGGGTCCAGCTGGACACAAGCTCCAACGTTCAAGTTTGTTTCATAGCTTATGGTGTCAATTCCATCGCCTTGTAGATTTAAAAGTCAGATATGTCAAATATCGTGCTTGCCCGATATCGAAGGGTTCGATTTTGAATGAAACACTTATAGCGAATTTCATTGGCAGGAACTAGTGGAGTGTTTCTACACTCGATATATGTTTTCTTCTCACTCGCATGTGTTAAACAGAGATAAATATACACTCAGTGTAGAAAACACTCCACCAGTCCCTGCCAATGGAATTCGCTAACAGAATAGCTCTTGAAAGAGATACCTCATGAAAAAGATATGTTTTTCTCTTGTAGTTTTCATTCGGTGTAAAACCCAGGAAGGAGCCTTTAAAAATAAAGTTGAAACGCAGGGTTCAAGAAAACCCCTCTCAGTGACACGTTGGTTGAAATAATGTACGACACCACCCTTCCTTGCAGAAGAATCTCTCCCAAATTTTCAAATGATACCCACATGATACAGTATGATTTGATAATGACATGGGTTATTTTTGAATACTGATCAGTTTATCTCCTTCTTCTTCTTCGAAGCACTGGTGGGCGGGTGAACCCCCTGCACGTGGGCCTCCTTATTCGGGCCCATTGTGCGCCCACATGTTACGACATTCAGCTGGGTATGCCGACTGCCTTGGAGAAGTTCAGCAGCTTCCTCAGCTGAATCTCTTTTACGTCCTCTGGCCTCAAAATTATGTGGCCAAGGACAGCCCTCCTCTGATGCGTCAGTGCTGGACACTCAGTGAGGACATGTGATGACGTTTCGTCATCTTCCAGGCACCATCTGCAAAGGGGGTCATCCTTGATCCCAATAAGCTCTAGGTGCCTATTGAGGTGGTTGTACCCCGTTACGAGCCCCACTACCATTTTAAGGTTTCGCCTGTTTAGGAATAAAACCTCTTTTGCGAGCCTCTTCGAAGGTTCCTTTATGTGGAGCTTCGATTGTCTCATTCCTGGTGTGTCCTGCCATATTTTGAGGAATTGCTTTTGCAGCTGTTCCTCTATAGAGGACATTGCCAGGCTATTTGGTATTCCCAAGATTGGTTCCGGTCCGACCGAGGTCCGTCCTGAACCGATCTTTGCCAGTCTGTTTGCCTCCTCGTTTCCGGGTATTCCCGAATGTCCCGGGACCCACATGAGGCTGACTTTTCTTGATTTTGCCAGGTTTTCCAAGGCTTTTCTGCACTTATATTCAATGTGTTAAATGATTCTGCGGGATTTCATCCCATATGGAAAAAAGGTAACTCATAGGTGAAAATTTTCAATAAATATACAGATAACCCTGCATACGTCCTGTCATACGATATGATTATATGATTCTCATTCCAAATTATTCAATGTGCATGTGTTTTGTTCACATTTGCTATTTACTCTGTATTCATCTGTAAATTTGATTTAGGGAATTTGCACTGAGTATTAGTTGAGAAAAACTAATCAAAGTACAAAGTAGTAGTAAACCAAACGATATTTTGTAACACATCCATTTCTTTATTTTTGTAAAAAAGTAAAAACATGATGGATCTCTATTTACAAATTCATTATGTACAAACAATAATTGACTATCTTTCATGATCAGCAGGTGAGAGATGATTTGAGCCACTGAAACAAAATGAAATAGATTAATTAGGATGATATGAGGTTTATCTGAATATTCGAAATGAAATGAGAAATTGTTTGTCAAAAAGTCTAGATATAAATATGAATAGTAACTTTACATATGAAAAAAAATGAACTTCTGACACTTTTTTGTGGAGCGTCACCAGTTTGGGAATACCTAACCTGACTTTTGTTTCATACTGGATGGTGACTTATACTTACTTCGGCCAAACTCAGTTTAATATTTCCATTTTGTAGTGGGTCCTTGGACTCGAAAACATCTGAAAAAAATAATATCCTATTATTTTAACAGGTCTCGAAAGTGTGTAAAAACTACAATGAAATATCTTGTAGACGTTTAACCTTGATTTATTATTTTATTAAGTAATGGGTAGACATCATTCAACTTCCTCATCCAACATTGCGATTTCAATTTTTTTCAGACCATGAGATAGTTAGGTGCTAAAAAAATACTTACTAAAAGATACAGTTAAATGTAGTATGGCAGAAACAAAATCTCCAAATCGTAGAGTGCCATCCTTCCTCATGTAACGCAAAATGAGAGTAGATAGAACTTCGCTGCTTAGTTGAAACCCTACTTCCAGCAAGGAGTCTCTCAGTCTTTCAGCCTTAAGTATCCCCGTTTTCTCCTTCGTGTGGTTCTTGAACGCCGTCTGCCAAAACTTCAAGCTGCACATTAAGTCTTTAAAATCAGCAAATTTCAGGCGACCAATACCAGATGTCTGAAATGCAAGAAAAACGATTTGAAGTGTTCAAAAGGCGCTTTATAATAATGAAAATGTCTGTGTTATTATCATTGCTCTTAACATTCGGCAAACACTCTACTTCAATACTAACCAAGTTAAGAGATAGCAGAGTATAGAAGTGGTAACATCGCCCAATTGTTATTCTGAGCAGAGATAAGAACTGAGGGTGCGGCAAGGGAGGCCTTCGGCATACATTTCTCAATATTCCAATTCAATATCAAAACTCATTCATTTCTTAATCCTGAAAATCATCCGTGTCTCAAAGTGGTCCCAGTTCTTCAGGGAAAACAAAGGAAAGACAAAAACTGTCGACCACATTTTAAAGCATGTTTTAATGTAATGTGAAACATCATTTCCATTTCAAAAAGTCTCAGCATAATAAATATACCTTAACACTCTGTACATGGTATTTGATAACCGCAAACTTATAGGTTATCTACAATATTTGCGTTCCAACAGGGTAGATAATTGCCAACATCTCAATCACAAAATAAATGCAAGCAAACGATTCTAACCCTTATTAGCGCCAAGTTTTTTCACATACATTATGATTTTTTGGGAAATGCATGCTGCTAGTTTTTTGAATTAAATCGAAATTTACTGATTCAAAATATATTTGTCATTTTGGAAATCAAAGTGACTCATTTGAAATACAATTGATACAAGGTAGTGGTCGTTGAAATAGTTTTTTTTTTTTCATTTGCCGCCCTCTGCTCATTATGTTATTTACAGACATTGAGATGACCGATTGTCTCATAGTTAATCCCCCATGTGTGGAAAGCGGCAAATCAATAAAATATTCCTACGGATGCTACGATCATTTTTAAATCTTTTGAAGCGCACGAAAGGAATTCCTATACTGTTCAAAGTACATCGTGCGTACCTAGGGAGCAATGAGAAAGGAAGTAGTTGTTGGATTTTTTCGAAAGTTCTAGGGAAAACTTCCTTTGGCAAAGAGTTCCAAAGCTTTGCCGTTCTATAGACCCTGTACTTTTCAAAATGAACGTGACGCATTATGAGATAAAAATTATAAAAATTTAAATTCAAATATCAATTTGAAAATTCAGATGATGCTTTTTAGAATTCAACTGGAAAGGGTGTAGTTTAGTATGTTCGAAGAATCAAAAATCTACAAACTTCATAAATGAAAACTGATAAATGATACGAACAAACTAATAGCGTTCTCCACTCGTCGCACTATCTCGAACTTTTTCGGCACTGATTGCGATTTGCATGGTCCACTGAGAATTTCAAAAGCGAACTTTTGTCGAAAAATGATTTCCACTGGCTTTCAAACTTGCTCGATGCAAGAGAGTTGCTCATAGTTCGAGTTTTCAGAACTGTGAAGTAGGAAAATGTTTGGAATTTGAATAATTATAAATGGCTCATTGAAGTTCACTATTAATAAATACAAAAATTTCCGAAATCATAGATACTTCGGATTCAAGCGATGATGAAGAAATGATGATTGAGATACAGAAGTACTTCGTTACGAAACAGCGTTTACGGAAGATTCAAAATGACCTAAAAGTTGAAGAAAGGTATTCTGATGTGCAGGTATTGTGTATTGTTGATTCAGTAATGATGAAAAATACTAATTTCGTGAACGACACTTCTATGTGTGTATAATCTCTGCTATTGTCGAATGTTTCAATTGACAATGAACATTCAAATATAAGACTGTTTCTGGCTGGTTTCTGGCAGTGTTCACAAGGAAACCACAATAAGAGGTAGATGAATCCATTTCATGTGGACCAAAGGAACCAAATGTACTCTTAATAATTCAACTTAATAATTCAACTTTTTGATTGACAAAACAATCATTATGACATTTCTGATGACAAGAAGGTCGCACTAACTCTCCATTTCTTGGAAGAACCAAGCCAGTGCCACTTGTACTTGCTCTATGCCAGTGCGCTCTGTAAATCGGCGAGTGGAAAACGCTATAACTTTCATCAAATATTATACGATGGAACAAACTGCACTCACCTCAAACGTCAAAATAATCTGCCTGCAAACTTCAATCGACGCGCAACTCTTTATATAATCATTGGGCAAACACGCATCAAGCAACTCTTGCAACTCGAACGAATTGACAGTCCGATGTTCGTCGGCCAGCTGCAAGAAAACGGCCTCGTACTGGCTGAAACTCTTGCCATCCAACAGAGGAGGAGCCTTGACCAAAGCCGATTTCACCAGCTGCGGGACAGTATCCAGCAGCTTAAGCTTCAGAGGTTTGCTCGAGTACACTCTGAGCGTGAATCCAGACTCTTGTCCCGGCTCGAAAGTAGTCGGGATTATCAAATAACCGCCCTGTTCCAGCTGACATCTATGGCTGACCTGCCTACTATTCGTGTACTGAGAGTTGAACAGGGATTTGTTCTTTTTGAAAAAGCCCTTTCCTATAGTCTCGCTACTACTTTTTGGTAACGAATAGGAAGTGAAGCCTATAACTTTCGGTTCCATGATGCTATGTTGGTTCAAAGAAACAACCACTTCTTCCATTTCGCTCAGCAACAAATGCAGCTGAGGATTTATGTGGAAGGTGTCGGGGTTGTTCCTACAACCTCCTGCTGTCACTCCTTTTTGCCAATGTCCTTGGTATAACCTCATCTGCCATGTGCTTTTGTTGTGCAAGCTGGGCTCGTCTCTGCTAGTGTCGCTGTCCAAATGCACGACTTCTAAATGGGTGTAGGTTTTGAGGAAGTGGGTGAAGGGCATCCAAAACTCGCCTTCCTGCAGTTTGTTTTGTATCCTTTCCAGTTCAGACGGGTGGATCTCGGACAACTCAGGCGAATCTATGTACATCGATCCTGTGTACTCCGAGGCTTGTCCTAGAGGGTTTCTTATTTTGAGTAGCTGTACGTGTCCTCCGTTGAACGTTTCGATCCTCTCCAAACCGTATATTCGGTAGTTTATTCCCAATTGAATGCCGTTTGCCAGTTTTTCGGTTTGAGATCGCACTTGGTTAGGGGCTTGTACTGCGCACGTGATTATTGAGGTCATGTCTAAGAGTTTGTGTAACAGTCTAGAACAAGAAGTTGCGTCTTGTCTGATGGGGATGCTTTCGGTGATTCCGCCAGTCAGGTCAGCTAGGCCATCCAACATGGATCCGTATTTGAGCGCTTCATAAGATCCATGCAGTCTGGAAAATATGAAACAATCAGTTACCTACTTGATTAAATCATCTATCAAGTCCCCTCAAATCTTGGAAAGTCTTCAAGTGGCTAGATAAAAGACTATTAAATATATTAGTAACTACATGTCTCAACACATTGAGTGTACTATTCCGAATTTGGCTTTATTTCGACAACCTGTATTTTCTGGGAGACTCATTTTTTTTAGATACGAAAAATATCTTGTGTTCCCCAGGGAACAACTTTCGAACTTATTTTATATGAATTCAATCTCAAGTTTGAAATTGCAAGGAAATGGCAGTTAATTTCAATGAATTCTCTTTCATATTCATCCCAAAAAGAATTTTGCATAATTCCTACAAAAAATTTAAAAACAGGTTTACCTGTAGAGACCAGTCTCTATCTTGGTCATCGCATATTCAAATAGTTGAGAAAAAATATGTATCATTATTGGAATATTATACAAACTTAGGTCGTTTATGCCATTCAAATACCTACTTCAAATTGACTTTTTTTCAGTTTGATTCAATCTAAATTATTGCAGTAATTGATATCAATCTGGGATACTGCTGTGAAATCTGTTTTGGCACCACTGAAATCTCTTCAAAACAAAGCTATAACATGTATTATTTATGAACTACCATTTTTGGATTCAACATCTAGATTACAAACCAAGGGTTTTGCTATAAATATTGACCATCTCTCTTCGAAATGAAGGTATGCATTTCATCCATTGGGAAGAAATCCCAAAAACGTCTCGTGATGAAGTTTCAATATTATTACAATATTGAGTGACTTTACATGACAAAAATGTTTTTCTACTGCTGCTATGAAAAGTATCGCATTCATCATAGCTTACTTAGTTTCAAAACCATGTACTGCTCATACTGTGAGAGATATTTTTTCTCACGGCACTTTGCCAAAACCACATACACTTCCATGGCGAATCAACAAAAATCGACCAAAACCTAATTGGCTGGTGTTCAGCTTTGAATAGTTGTCACAACTGTCAGAAGTTTTTTAAATCCTTTAGGGTAGTTCTCATTAGTGCTTTTGATAGAAATCGCAGTTTCCATCAAATATTCCAGAAATTCATAATAAATAATAATATGATGTACATACCGAGATGTGACGATTTTGATAAATACACCGCCAGAGATAGAGATAATGGAAAAAGCTGTGAAAGCTGGATTTGTTTCCGGAAATTTCAAGAAAAAAGTATGAATTGGCATATACGAAAAATTCATGGAATCTAAAAAAATACAGAAATAAAATGTTTATCGGAAAGTGTACTTTTTTGAAATTCTTTGAGGAACATTAATAAACCCCGTAGAAGTTGGAATGACCCCGTATTTATACCTACTTGGCATAGGCTTTTTCCAATAGTCCAGGCCAAAAATGGTCCGAATTTTGCGACTGAAGAAAGGCCAGTTTTCCTTGCACGGTGGGAAGACGATCGTCGACTAATACTTCCGTCCATTCTCCACACCACCACAGTCGAAATCTGAATACTCCACAATATTGTTCTCCTGCGAATGACTGGTCAGCAGGAACTACTCGATAGAACAGTCCTTTATTCAGGTACAGTACTCCTAGACAGGAAACCAGCCATCTGTCACCTGCAACAAAACAACTTTTTCATTCAACATTTTCTCACATCTTTCAAAACAAAAGAGTTCAAATTTAATAGGGGCACCCTGTACATATATTCAGCACAGCGATATGATATATTCTAACGAATATTAACAAGATATCAGATTTTTTTGAATTTGAATAGCTGAACTCCGCGCGAAAATATGAACAGAGGTGACGCCAGAATTGCTACATTTCAGACCTTTGGATGAAAAAAAGGGGCCTCACCCCAAATTTTATTTTGATACCTAGATTTCTATTATTGATGCCATTCGGTAATAGATATGTAGAGCTTTCTCAGTTTTTTTTATGTTGTGGTTCCCACGAAATGGGATATCCTGTAATGTTCAGAGAACATCGTGAGAACCAAGGGAAATGAGGTAGGAATTGGTGTTCTTCTTAAATTTCTGGAGGTTATATGCCTCGGGGAACACCTCCCTTGGCAATGTGTTCCAGAGCCTCGCTGTTCGTTGGAAGAACTAGTCTTTGGAAAGAGATGTTCTGCAAGTCTCCAAAGTGACCACGAAGGGGTGCGAAGCCTCAACTCGACGGGTTAATCTCGCGAGGACTGCCAAGGGAGGAACAAATGTTGATATTTCAGAAGAGCATCGTCCATGAAATTATCTATAAAATATAGAGCCAGATCGCCAACTTTTCTACGGTGTTCCAGAGAAGTGAGTGAGTTTGTGAGCGAGGCATCACCCACGAGACGAATTGCCCATTTTTGGACATAATCCAACAGTTTCAGAGGGTATGTTTGGGTGCTGCACTCCAAATATGGGAACAGTATTCCAGGCCACCCGTTAGCGAAAATCATCATGCACTATCGGCCTCCAAAGATTATTTTTATAATAAATATCACATGAAATGATATTATTATTCTCGGAGATACATATGAACCTTCATTGATAATAATAATGATAATGTGTCTCCATTCCATGAAACAACAATAATTTGGTATCAAATTATACAATATGGTGCTGGCGTCATTATCAGCCTCGCCGCTCTTGCAGAGTAGCTATATCTGAAAAAAGTTGGCAACTGCAAAACTTATTGGTTATCTTTAATTTCAAGAATAAATAAGGTAAGTTGCTGAATTCTGCAATGGCCAAAACCGAAGATGCGATTATCAGATATATATATTTTTAGTCGTATACGAGGTACGTCAAAAATATTAATTTTGTAGGTCTTTTAAGCCAGTTCAACACTTTTTTTTTATCAAGCTCAGCATATTACTATACGTCAGAACTATATTTTTTTTTAGTTCATTGGAAAAAAAATTTGTTTGCAACTCGTGCGCGAAATACTTTTTTTTTAACTCGGCTCGATCACCAAAGTAGCATTTCGCGCACTAGATACAACTACAGTAATAAGCGACAGAAAATTTTTGCGTTATATTTGTGAAATATTTATTTCTGTGTCGCCGTTTTTTCGCTGCTGCACAATCAAGTCTTTCAGCATCAACAATAAGTATTGTTTCTTACTATTCCTATTAAATTGTAGGTTTTGTATTGATGCGAACTCCATGAAATATTGTCTCCCAATAATAAGTAGGATGACTGGTTTGAGTTATTAACAACTGTGGCGAAATTATTTTACAAATCTATTCACACTTGAATTCGTTTATTCCTCTGAAATGTCTGAAAATGCAGTATACCGAAAGTCATGGCAGTTTGAATTCTTGCTATTTCAACTTCACTGCACGTGACGGATATCCTTGTGGTCGCTAAGAGTAGTGTACTATTATAACTCATGGTGTTTGGTAAATATGAGATTTCTAAGAACAGGGAATAAAAAAAGAAGAGAATTGCGTCTTTGCCGCTCATCTTCACGATCGGTACATTTTGTTTTGAATTCAAAAAGTTCTATAAACGTTATAAAAGTAGCAAAAACAAGATTGAAGACGGAAGTAAAAGTATAATTTGCAAAAATGACACGCCAGAAACAAACTGCAAGAAAATCAACTGGTGGAATTCAGAGTGGTAAGCTCGCCAGAAAAATTATGAATACCACCAAGAAACTCAGAAGAGAACATAAGGACAAAGTGAAGCGCTACAGACCAGGCCAATTGGCGCTGAAGGAAATCAGAAGGTACCAAAAGAACACGGAACTGTTGATCCCAAAAATAAGATTCCAAAGATTAGTTCGAAGCATCACTCAAGAAGTCAGAAAGGATCTCAAGTTTCAGGCAGCTTGCCTCCTTGCTCTGCAAGAAGCTGCTGAAGCCTACATGACTGGTGTGTTTGAAGATACCAACTTGTGTGCCATTCATGCCCACAGAGTCACTATTATGCCCAGAGATATCCAACTGGCCCTTCGCATAAGAGGTGTGGGACCCCTGTATTTTTGAGAACTTTCCACATTATGTATGTTATTTGTTCAATGACTGTATGTTATTTGTTCAATGAACATTTTTGCTTAGAATAAGGACCTATACCTACCAAAATAGTGTAGGTATTTGGAAATGTTATTATGTTGTAAAGATTATTTTGTTATATTAGGTTAAACTATTCCTGGTTAGACTTTCAATGAGTTGAATTTATGTTTGAACATTCTGAATAAATTTTTATATTTATAACTATATTGAATCCTCATATCCCTATACCTTTCTTTAGTCATGCATAGGTGTATAGTTACTTTGCTGTGCTAAAGGTGGATATATGTATGCTATGCTGTAACATAAGTCTAGACAATAATGTATGGTAGAAGTCCATTATATAAGTATCTCAATGTGGAGTGGTTAATCCACAGTGACTGTTTTCATCCCTGTGAACTTGACAATAGTTTTGGATTCAATTTTCCTGAACTGAAATATAACTTTAATCTTTATAAGACACAATATTAATTCGTTTCCACTGAGTGGAATTCATTATAGTTAACCCTTTATTATTATTTTTTTTATATGTATTTATGTATCCCTATCATAAACAGAAATGTTTCTTGGGGTAATAAAGACAATCAATCAATCAAAACATTTGATGAACAAATTTTAGAAATGTCTTTATTTCATAAATTACCACCAATTTGGTTATACCTATATATATAGTATCAACATAATAGTTTTCAAAAATTTTTATTTGGTTTCTAGATTAAACAAGCCAACAACAATAACAATGGTCAAGTCTATAGAAAGGCCACTGTTTTGTGTATTTATTTCTTTATTCAGACTTATTCTCTGAATTCAGACTTTTTCTCTGAATTCAGACATTTTTCTCTGAATGCAGACTTCTCTATCACATGTGTATAAATAAGAGTGTTCCAGAAATTCACAGTATATCACAGGCACGTATTCCTATCGGTAAAAGTAGGTGGGTAGTAAATGTACTTTGTCTAATATATGGTAGATATACCAACTGGCCATCGACATTACGAGAGGTACCGTCGTTCTGTGTGGGCCGTGTTACTAACTCCATACGTCACCTTAGGAGCAGGTCTGTAAATTGGAACGCAACAGCGAATCGTGCGGAATAATCTCCGGTGGAGGCTACGAAAATCAGAATGTATAAAACTCCTTTAATAAATAAAAAATCTCTGCTCTGCCGAGGATCGACCCTATATATATATCAACCTTTATTCGGTGTTCTATGTGCATGGTCGAGCGCTCAACCAATACGCTATATATTCCGCCGTTCGTATTCCTCAATATATAAATATATATTTTCATCCCTTGGAGCGCACAAAAAGAAATTCCTAAAATGTTCCAAGAACATCGCGGATGCATTGATAGCAGAGATTTATGAGGAACATTTTCCCGCGTGGAAGTATCTGAAGAAAAGTGGAAGTTCGCCGACTTTTTTACGGTGTTCTAATGAGGTCATATAGGATTAGTGAGTGTGGCATCACTCATCACTAGGCGAATATATGGCCCTTATTCTCCGGATAGAATCTAAGAATATAAGAGCATCAGCGTATGTTTGGGTGCTGACCCCCATATTTTTTTATGTGAGCATCATTCTATATATAACACTATATGAATGAAGAATGAAGTAAGACGCATCGTTTTCCTATACAGGGTGAAACTTCAGAAACGCATTTTGCTTGATAACAACTCTCGTTCCACGTATCAAGAGATACGAGTGTATTCTTTGGTTGCATAGTAATCTGTCTCGTGGTTTTCAATCATTGATGAAGGTTGAAGACCCGGTAACGGTGATAAACTCAATTATTTTTTAAATAAATCAAGTTGTGGGTGTTATAAATCCGAAGAATTTCCGGAAAGATCGATATAAATGGAGTGGGTAAATAATATTTGAAGAAAAAAACGAAATCACACTGTTGTAAAAAAAATTCAAATGATTTTGAAGTTTGCCTGCAGGAATGTTTGTGAATCATTGATTAGAACTCTTTAGGATATATGATATAGCTGGCTTTTACATGATATCTTTGAGTAGTAGGAAATATCAATACTTACATGCAACAATTCTATCAACAATAGTTATTTATTATACAAGGGAAAAAAGTGGTTTTAGCTCCAGGTTGTTGTTGTCTCCCGACGCGTAGAGGAGGGAGACAAAAAACCGTGTTTATGTGGTGGAGTAGTGACTGTAAGTTCTTTCACCCCTCCGGATCTTCAGTAATGTTCAAACAAAATTCAAAATCATTTGTACTGATGTAATTATTATTGATTTCATGGTAAAGGGAAAGGGGGTCATTTCAGCAATACCTTGCAGAAAAACTCGAGGAAAAACGTGTCTGCAATACCTCTTTTATTTAAAGCTGTTTTCTTGTAGGTGAACTGATCGACAATGTCGGTTTGTCAAATTTCCGTTTTCAGTCAATAGATTTGTCAGATCTCAACCGATTTCCAAAAACAATTCTCCAATAATTCATTCTCAACAGAAAGGGCTTCAACATTATTTGTTGGATGTGGGGTAGATAAAATTGAAATTTCGGAGTTGGAAGAAAAATATTTTCCCAAGAAGGAAAATTGACAAATGGAGCAGACGATGCTTATTATAATTATTATTAAAAGAAAACACCCATGTGGTTTCGTCATATACATAATAGCACAAATGGTGGTTTACTGAATGTCTTCCAGGTCATCTTATGTTTCATTTCCTTCCAAGTTCAGAAAGTCCTGTAACTTGGCTGCGCTGTTACTGATGATGTGCAATTACACTGAAACGCATGGGTCATTGATTTGTATTATATGTCATTTCATGAATTTTCCTCGCTAACACTTCTACAATAATTCTTATACACGTGAATGTATAATTATTTTTCGAAATATATTCTTGTCTCTATCAATACCCTCGATACAATGGGCGCATTCGCCTGAATTTCTAACAGATCAAATTAAATACTTTCGCTATTTTCATGTATAACAGCAAATCCGTATAACGTAACATAATTCTTGCACGAAAATTCATAACTATCTATCGTGCAGTAGGTACAACATCAGTTACAAACATTTCGAGTTTTTAGAACGTGACGTGAATGGGAAACAAAAGCATGCACACTATCCTAGATTTTTTTCCTATTGGTGCGAATCGGGTAGGTATACTATACGTACTCTGCTATGCTTGACGAAGCGGAAAGATTGAAAGTATGTTCTATCGAGGTTCTATCTTCTGGTGTATTTTTCTTAATTTTGCTGTGACTGGGTTGATCAAAAGAAGACATTTGAAATACGTTATAATTGACTACCATGTCGTCATCTCTTCAAAAATGACTTTTCTATTTTACATTTTCCTGGATAAAAAACATCTCTACATACTATAGTCGATATGATCCTAGTACGAGATTTCAAACATTATCATTCGTCATTTTGTTTTGGACGAATATGTTTGAATTGCATAGAACTGGAAGAAGTTTCAAATGAGGTATATCAGTAGTCCTCTCACATATTGTATTATTTTTTTTCCAAAATGCAGTCGAGGCGAAATTTTGAAAGATAAATATTTTTATCGGAAATGAAAAAACTCCACAAACGATACGATTCCCACAAAATGCTCAAATACACAACATGTTTCGCTAACACAGTAGGTAGCTTCGTCAGGTGATATACTGGTACAATGAACATGAACTATATAAACCAATCTTATCAACATAAATTTATATGTATATATGATACACAGGCTAGTGAATGTCTCTCTTTCGGAAGTAAATATCAATAAAGAACTCAATATCATAATTAATTTGATAGACAGTATTCTTTCTAAAAAACTTTATAATAAAGCTATATTCAAGAAGCTTATCCTACCTTCAAGAATAATAATAACTGTGGACCTTGTCCTAAGGTATATATCGGTCAGACAGGTCGTACGTTTTAATCATGAACATATAAGATGAATTTTTTTAAAGAGAAAACAAATTCAAAATACGCCAACCATATAATAGAAGAGAACCATAGTTTTGATGAAAATTTCGAAATTCTACACGTAGAACATAAAGGAAAAAAACTCAATCATTTTGAATCAATAGAAATCAACAAACTAAAAAATTTTTAAATTTTACTCAACGATCAATCAGATCTCAATAGTTCACCACTGTTGAATTTGTATTCTTATAGTAGGTAATAATATGTACTTGCTATAAACCCATTCAAGTTAATACGGTACACCGTATTTTAATGTAGATATTGTGCCTAATTTCCGAAAATGAAGATTTATGGAACCTGTCCACAGGTAAATAATCCTTCAAGTTGGGAAAGTAGGATATATAAAAGTTAAGCAAGCCAATATTGGTTTAGTTCATTGTACCAGTATATCACCTGACGAAGCTACATATGTTGTGTGTTTAAGAATTTTGTGGAAATCTTATCATTTTTGGAGTTTTTACATTTGCCATGGATTTCCATCAAGTAACAGCCGAGTCAATTCAAAATTCGAAATCAAGATGTAGCACTTATTGAACTAGCATTGACGCAAAAAAAATCCCAGCCGTTCAAAAGTTCATTAGGACGGGTTATTTTATGAACCCAGTGTATAATATCATGATCTGAACTGTTGTGTGATATCGAAGTTGAAAGCGAGTTTGCCAAAAGGACATGCACGGTAGGTATCATTAGCAAGTTACTATCGTAATTGAACTCTTTTTTTGACACCACGATGGTCAATTTCATGAGAAGAGGAAATGAGATCGACTTAAAACTTTCAATATCGCGCCCATCCTCACGAATGATTTCGGTTCAACGCACCATCTGTATGTTATTCAAACCATTCATTCATTTGAAAAATGAAACGCCAAAAGCGAGAGAAAGTAGTTTCATCAGCAGCTATTATAGGCAAATATGTCTGAATTTGATGTGTACCTATACCATCGTCCACCAATATTAGCATATTGGTGGACGATGCCTATATACCTTTTGGGGCATATAGCCAAATCGAAGTATATATGATTTTTCATATTTTTGCAGATCAAGTCATATATCTACTTATTTAGACAATGACAAATTCTTTTTCGTAATATATTGGACTACCCTACACACAATGAAAATTAAAATGCACGTCCTGTGATCTGTAGGAAATATGCAAAGTGGAAAGTGCAGATTTATTCATAGTTTGCTCGACTTCGACATTCGTTTTATAAATTGTAGCTTCATTCTTCACGAATATACATACATGTGACTGAAACTCTGCAGAGAACAGGCTATAGCCACAGATTAACAACTGTGCTATAGCTACAATTCAATGATGAAAACCGTTTACATTCGTCAAATTGGTTCACCTCACAGTAGGATGTCTCAAAACACCTAAAATTCCTTCCTTCCGATCCCTGTAGATGATAATATTAAAGACGAATCGTTAAAGTTTTTAGGTAAGATGTATCCATCAAGAATCAAGCTACAATTTATAAACAAAAATATCGAAATCGAACGAAGCGTTCAAGAGAAAATTGATGTCATAATAATTATTGTAAATTTTGGCCGCTTCCCCCATTTTGCTAGTTTGTAGTTTATTATTGGAATTCCTGGTGTGTACTATCAATTTGAAAATAATTAGTATCAAACCAGGAAAGTCGACCAATTGATGATTCCAATTGTCTGTTACTATATAGGAACCTACACGACGTGCTGAATGAAAATAAGAGTTTGCTGCTTTCTATATCTGATCTCTTCAATCTTCATTCTTATAACACGGTAGTTGAATATGTATACATACGGATAACGAGGTCACACCTAAATACATAAATAAATCTAACAGGTGTTCAAATAAATGGTCATAATAAATTTCAATGAAAGTGAGCATGAGTATAGATTTACATCGGCTGTTTTATAAAAAAATACCGCGAGCTGTGAAGTTGCATTGGTCCTCTAATTTCGAAAAATAAAATAAAATCAATGATCATTTCACTATATTCTTAGGGATTTTCTCTCCTCGATTGTTTCTACAAATGAAAATATGAGAATGATATATTGGCAAATCAGGCGATTTGGCCCAAAATGTGACAAAAAACGAAAGCGAATCGATCTATATTAGGAACTATTTTCCATTTCTGTGTTGAAATCGGTTGTAGATTCGTTCCCGAAACGTCCAAAGCCAAGTGAAAGCGAGTTTGATATGTTTTCGATATATTATTTTCTGTAGTAGTCCATACTCAAAGTGGAGTGGAATGATCAAGAAAGAAAACTCCTGCTTCAACATTAAAATTGTGGAGGCAACTTTGAGTTTTCTTTCTTGATATATTATTTCTTCATTCAAACTTTTTCAAAAGAAGGTGTCAGTGTCACTGACTATATATCGATTGATTTTTAAAAGCAGTGATTTTTTGGAGAAAATTATATGATTCGCCCCAACTACACAAATATTTGAATACTATTTTTTTATTTATAGATAAAAGGAGAGAGTTCGAAAAAAATCAAGAGACATGAATATATTCCACCTCCTCTATTAACCTACTGACAGTATTTAGAAAATCCATAGTTTGAAAAACCCTACAAAACTGTACAAACGTTTTTTTTGACCCAATCATTTAAAAAACATTTTTCATAAAATAATAATTGTAATAATACACAGTGGCCGCCCAGACTGAGATGAATATGAAGAGAAAGTATATGGGAAATAGGTTTTCTTTAATCTTTTGAAAGACAAAAGTACTTAGGAACACTTCCCTAGGTAATGAATTAAAACGAACACTTATTCCCTAGGTGGAGAATTAGAACGACGTTTTCAAATTATTGATATCGATTCTTATGACCATTTTTTTTTTTTTGTCGAAGTAAACTTGACATGTAAGAGTTTGTTAAACACTGTCTGTAGGTTAATCAAGGAGGTGGTACATTCATTTTACTTAATTTTTTGGGATTTCCTCTCCTCGTTTCAATAAAATAAAAATATGCGTATTATTTCAATATATTTGTAGTGGGACAAATCAGATGATTTGCCCCAAAATGTCACGAATTGCTCCCTGTTGAGAACGGTAGCAGATTCGGATAAGTCAAAATTCGATATTTTCTCAATATATCTATATTTCTTTCCTTCAAACATGTTTCAAACAAATTGTCACTGACAAGTTACTGGATTTTTGTTTCAGACTCCCTGATAGAAAAATTTGTTAAACGCAGTGACATTTTGGGGCAAATCATCTGATTTGTCCCACTACGACAAATATATTGAAATAATACGCATATTTTTATTTAATAGAAACGAGGAGAGAAAATCCCAAAAAATCAAGTAAAATGAAGAATTTTGTTGCCTGGCAATTTGACGAAAAATACTGATGCCTCTGAAAAGTTACGAGTCCGGCGTAGGACGAGTAATTTTTTCTGGCAGTTTTTTGAGTTGAATTACCTAATGGTGACAAAATCCGAATTATAAATGCCAAGTTTACTTCGAAAAAAAAAGCTGGAGTGTAATTCGGTAAGACAATTTAATTCATCAAACATTTTGTTTATAGCTGGTTGTCATGCTTTCAAAATCACGCGACTTGTGGGATTTTTCATACATGAATTGAATTGTCCTTGAAATAAATTACTAATACATTGATGACAATATTGATTGCATATCATAGGGAAATTCAATATGAGAATGCATGATTGATTTATTTAATGTGAATAAGAAACTATAATTCTTACCCATTTTTCCAGGACTAATATCAAACGGAGCTGGTCCATCTTGTACAAATCCTGGTCTTGCACTCAAGTCCTGAAAAAATAAACCAAATAAGAAAACACTACAAAAACAAAGTCATATTGTTCATGATTTGATGAAAACAACGTTTCGTTTAGATGTCGGTTTAGATACTCTTAGGCTCCGAGGATTGATCGCCTTTATCCTCTTCCTTTCGTCCCAGAATTTCTTTGGCTGGCCGAACTGTACAGGGTGAGTCATAACAAATTGGGACATAGGTTTGAAACAAAATAATATGGCGATAGGACAAAATTAATATACCTCAATAAAATATTGCTGTGGAAAAAGATTCTGGCCGGGCTAAATCGAAATCAATAGGCATTCAGGAAAGAATCACTTGTATCAGTACTCGTTTATACGAGTCGATGTATAGATTTCGGGAGGATGTAATTCAATGTTCTGCGTAGCATTAGCCGGGAAAGTAGTTGTTTTTCTCCCGAAATCTACCATTGTTGTTCATTTTATGAACATTGTGTGGATATGACTTTGAGCTTTTTGTATTTATTTAGTGAAATTATTAGCTGAAAGCGAACAAAAAATCATCTTTTTCCATGGCAAAATTGTATCAAGAAATGACTCACCCTGTATATTATCAGCGTTCGCAAATCTGTTGTATATTGTGTAGATATTCCCACTTTTTCAATCACCACCCACACTAATTGGAGTGATGTTTTCAAATGCGTAGGATCAGAGGTGTGGGAATAAGAGGACGTTCACTTCGAACAAATAAATGTGTGTATACAGGGTTGCCCCATAATCGGCACACAATACTTCATTGGCAATTAATAAATTCTCAGAATTTCACCACACCCCTAACAACAACAAATCTTAGTGACTTTCCGGGGACGTCCCTAATTTAGTTCTAGGACATCCCAAGGATATCCTTTGTCGGGACAAAGTACATACTAGGGACGTCCAAGGGATGTCCTTCTGGTACGTCCTTGGGAGGTACCAAGTACGAAGAAAGGATATCTCTAGGACGTCCCAAGGATATTCCAGGGACATTCCTTCGACAAAAGGAAAAAAATGTAGGTCGAGTAGGGATTGAACCCGGGACCTTCAGTTTATCAGGCACGCACCTTACTCCATTGGCTAATATGCAATATGCCTTCTGAAGATTTATGTACTAAACAGATTTAGAAACAGTACAAAACTGATACCTGAATAAATACAACTTTGTTGGGATATCATGTATAATTATTATCATTCTTGAGTGTTTAAAAATGAGGAGCATTATGCATTTACGATTCCTATTTGCCAAAAATGGTCATTTCTTAAGAAGTTCTGAGACTATATCCTTTATTTTCATTACAATCATTTTCCGGAAGAAAAACAAACATTTTCAAAAAAATTCAACTCATTTTTTGATGATATTCAATGACTCTAATGTGAATGGATATCAGATATTCCAGGGACACGAATAGGATAACCTAGGGATCAACCGGGCGGGATGTCCAATGGACAACCACTGCAGGACATCCCCTGGATGCCCCAATCATGTCCTTGTACCGCGGGACAAAAAAGGGACGTTTTCGAGTAAAATCGATTTGAAGATGAAATTACATGACATACCTTAATCATTCATAAATTAAAAAAATATTTGTACACGATTCTGATCCAAGTAATTGAAACAGCATCACAGTAAATCAGAATAAATAATCGCATAAAATAGAGAAGATATTGAGCCGTCAGAATATCAAATTAAGTTTTTTTGTTAATATTTTTTTCCATTTTGTGCATAGTTTTTGACATGATCAGATTTATTTCAGTAGAGAACCGAGTAGTTTACTAAAGTCACACAAGACTACATTTTTTATGGAAAAATTTCACAATTTTCAATTCCTGTAGTGACATTGTGAAAATAATTGATTTCAAAAAAATTAAAGCTAAAAGCCTGTTCAGTACAATCCAGAATATAATTTCAAAGTGATGTTTACATTTTTGAATTCAGCATTGAAGTGGCGTAACTATACTAAATTTCATTATTTTATCCCAACCTGCTGTTTCGGACAAAAATTATAAAAAAAACATCTCCAGGAAAACATCTTCAAGAAGCATTAGGTCTATTAGGAGTAATTCTCTCTCCCAAGTTATCACGAACCTTTTTCTTATATTTGGTGAATACTACTGCCAAAGTATTGCACGCTAATTAATGGACACCCAGTATAATTCGTAAATAATTGCATTGTTTCAACGTAGGTTAACGATCAAAATATATATGCATATATGCAGCAGAATAAGCTTTTTCAATTAAAAAATTCAAGCATCAAGCACCTTGGGAATCATCAGAACAAAAAATCTCGCTGTTTCACTTTGAATATTCCCCGAATATGCATATCATATATCTTTTGGAGGAAATGGAATATCCATATGGCATATGCAAATATTCCAACGCAATATCCATGCACAGAGGATATTCATGGAATATGATTGTGCCGTCTGGGTTATTGCAATTCTGAATATTTCGAATTATTTATACCGATAGACTTATACATTCAAACAAAACACCAAAACCTACTTATCTGGAATAATTAAAAAATAATTATTATCATTACCACATCATTAGCTAAAACTTACTAAAATCCCTTAGTACTTTCACTATTCGGTCAATTATTATTCTAAGAGGTCAGTAACACTGAAATTAGTCAATTGTATAAGGCATTTCATAATAGGTTTTCAATTACAGAAGGTGGTATTTCGAATTGACTACTGCAATTCGATTTCATTAGGTATGTTCGTGTGGTTGATGAATTGATAATTCTCTAATGAATATGTTCTCTGCGACTAGACTAGAGGATAATAAAATAATACATAAAATATTGCCTTGCAAAAAGCTGTAAATCAGAAACTCATAAAATATTCGACGCTTGTGACAGGGAAATCAATAAATATTATTCAAAAAAATTGCAAAGTTAACTCATGCAACAGGCTGTAATTTATTTGAGCAATTGCAAATAGATGAGTTTCTATAAGTTTCATCAAGAAACCTCACTTTCTGCAATTTAAATTAATTAATGATCTGAAGATGATAAATTCTCTGGTACGCAGGAACAGAAACCACGTATATAGTTCACTACTCTCATATGTATATACTTCATAATAGCTTCAATGCAATTATGTTATGCGTATGTTTTGTCAGAAAATATTCACCACGAACGAATGGTAATATCCGGTGAAATGTGCTGCAATGAATAACAATTTCCAATCTACGATTGTAGAAGGTCTTCGAAGGTCTATTAGATAAGGAAAATGGTGTGGTGATATAATTCAATACCAAGTTTGTTGCATTAATATTATTCATAATTGTGTAACACCCGATAGATTTCCTGTACCTTACCATTTACTATGTATCGTGGGTATAAGTCTTTTCTCCTGTTAATTTTCAAACCCAATGAGATAAAAATGAAAAAATAAAAAAAATCCTACCTACCTACCTATAAATCAAACCACATTCAAAGTATTTGAATTTTAATGAATATTTTTGGTTATACAATATAGAAAAGTGATTATTTGCTGCAGCCATTTTGGCCCGAGACAGTGGGAAATATGACATATAGATTGAATAACCCCCTGCAAGCACTGCACTACAACAAAGACGATGCCTTAATTTTTGACAAATCTATTGAAAGAGCCAATGAATTAAACCGCTAGTCAAATACGACATATCAATATTTATTCGTCACAATCAAACTCGATCAACATTTCCATGTAAAATAGCTATAACAACATTGAAATGGTTTTTTTTCGAATAAATGCACATCAATTAAGCCAGTATATAAGTATATCTAATTACATAGGTAGTTAGTCATCAGATTGAAACAGCTGTGGGTAATTTATTGCGAGCTAATTTAAATCTCTTGCAATCATTCATATGAGTCTCTTCCACATTCTTATATAGCTTTCAGCTACTAATGCAAGTCAACGTGGTGCGTTGCCATGCTTAAGCCTACCTGTTTTTCAAGGATACGTAGGTGCATTGGTATATAGATAGGTACATACATACTTCGGGTGTACATACATTTTTGAAAACAAAAAAATCTACTCAACCTCCTGTGAGTACTCATTATGATAGAATGAAGGTAAGAACATGAATTTTCCATTTCCAACAACAAATACAAAAATGTGAATATTTCTCATCTACTAAAGATTTAATATCTGCGTTATTAACATATATAGACACGCCTTAGGCAAGATTCAACATATCTTAACGCAAAAGCAAACGACACAAACATCAACATATATACATTCAACATAAATTCCTCAATGGTCATTTGAATTTATACCGATCATCGAAAAAATGGTGATATATACTTGCTGCATTGAATTTCGATGTGGAAGCTAGTTGTTAGCGGAATATTAATGATCTTATGTAAACGTGTAGGGTGTGGTGCGTTGAAAAAATGTCGCCCACCGTATAATACTGATATAGGTGTGAAGGATAGGTCATTATTGGTTGATACTGAAGAGCACATTTGAAGATAAAGATATCTTATACGATTGTAACTTACTACTCATACATTGATATTTCTAGAAAAGCATCGAACAGAGTGTCCGGAAAGGTAATGTCGTGAATGATAGAGCCAAAATAATGTCAATGCTTCATATAAAAAAATATCTATCGCACTTCGTTACGGAGTTATTGAACATAAAAGTTTGACTGAAAAATAATATATTTCATGTATAACTTTTAAACGATTGCCATGGTATCAATGATATTCGGACAACTAAATCAACTGATACTAATTTATGCTCCTGTCACGATAAATTTAGTGGTGGCGAGAGGTAATATTCGAATAGGCACTAATACTTTAGCGGTAACTGAAAGGACGAGACTATATTATAACATGAAACATTATGGGTAAAGTGATGTATATAAAAGAATTACAATGGATATAAAGACCAAATAACAATTTAGATTATAATTACCATATTGACGAGTTCTTGTCAAGTCAAGAGTAGCCCTAGACCAGACCGACTTCGGAACCCTTACATCCAATATTTATATACATAATTTGTTTAGACTTGCACGTTTCTCATGAGAGTTCCTTGGTCAGTTTTCATAGTTCAATGTCAACGGATGATTTGATCAACGTTATGTTCATAAAACCCTCATGGTTCGAAATCACTAATATACCGTATGTTCCACTCGTGACATGACCCCCTATTCGAGAAAACTGGACCCCAGTTTTGAAATTACTACCTCAGAACCTAAATTATCGAGGAGAACATTTAATATTCATTTATATGTACAAAAAGTTTCAGAAAAAATGTATCCGCGAACATTCAAAGTTTAGTGTATAAAATGCACACTCACACCTCAACTTAGTCCGACACTGGCTATTCAACTGAAGCATTTTAATCAGACTCTTCTCGGTGGGACTTCTGGCGGCATGGGGGTACGGAATGACGATTCCGGCATCATCCAATCGTCATGGGAATTTCGGTAAGATCCTTTTGGGCTCGAAGGTATCCTTGTCCTAGGCATTGGGATGAAATCTTCTGGGCTTTAAGATTTCCTAGACTGTGTTTCAAGGTAGTTGGCAGCTAAACGAAGGGAACTGCTGGCTTATTGGGGTAGGTAGCGAATGACGGCTGATGGTCATGGAATCCTTCAATCGTCGTGGTAATTTACACCACCAAATTTATCGTGACACTTCTTTCGATATGTAAACGACTATTTAGTGATGTTATGTTTCATACAGGATGGGACGAATTTTTTTCGTTCGACAACAGATCGAGTTGACAATTTTGACATTTTGCTTCCGCCGTTTGATTTCTTCCTCTTTTTTCTTCAAAAATAGTACACCTTATTTCAATCGATCTTGTATCGCTCTTGAGAAAATCGCATTTGAGGAACATACATCCCAACCGTTTCAAAGGTAATATAAAAACTCTATTTATTCAATAACATCATGGTAGTTGCAGTCATTGTGATAATACTCATAATTGACATCAAATCATTTTGACAGTATTTGATACTGTGTTCAGTAATGATGAGTAATTCGTATGCCTATGTATATTGAGTTGCAGAAACTTTCAAGGTCAATAACACCGTAACGACGTGCGATATTTTATATTTTTATATGAAGTAGAAACATTATTTTGGCTGACTCTATCAGCCCTCTATCATTTACGACATTACCTTTCCGGATACCCTGTATATGAAAAAATGAAAAAAACAGTTTTGAAATGCATGGCAACATATTGGTCTACAAGCTGATTGATGACTTATTTAGAAGAATCTTCTGGAAGTTGGAGATATGTCCGAATGGAAAAAAAGTTCCTCAACGAATTCTTATAATACATGGGCTACAACTTCTATATTTCAAATGGAACACCTTGTATTTGACGACTTCCGTTATTAGCGGAAGTCCTAGAAGTTCGAAAATATTTTAGTTAGCTATTATCTACTTCGACTTCTATTTGTTCTTACCTTAGGCCTCTTCCAAGTGAACTGAAACGGTGGAGTTTGGTGATAGAAAACGGAAGCTTGCGTTGCTGAAAAATCTGGATCCTCCCACAGTTCCCCACGTTTCTGACATGCTTTTTTTATCCGTTCGTATTCACTCATGCCCTGTAAAAAGAATAACACCTATTATTTTCCACAATTATTAGTCTCATCAAAGAAGGGCGGTGATTTCACCGGCTCAGAAACCAGTAGATACCCGACTGCTAGACAGCTGCACTTTCACGCATTGTATAAGTCTTCTCCGAGAAAAAACAAAAGTTTAGGAACATTTTCGTCAAAAGTACTTGTCCGATTTGGACGTTTTCTGTTTTGAATGACAGGTTATTTCCGTCTGAACGGTGCACGGAGAACTTCTTGAATGGCTTGGTTCATATTTGTGAGAGGCAGGTACCAAACAGTCACCATAAACAATTGTAAATCTGATAATGTCCTGGTTACGTCCGGCGTTCCTCAGGGATCCCATCTGGGACCCCTACTGTTCAACATTTACATTAATGATATAAACGAGTTTCCATTCTTCCAGATTTCTCATGTACTCAGTTACTTGCCCTTATGACGTGATACTCAACCTATCCAAATGTTACCACATCACTTTCAGTAGAAATTCAATTCTTATACCAACCTCGTTTTAAATTTCAAATAAAAAGCTAGAAACCGTCAAGCAAATGAAAGATCTTGGTATAGTACCTACTCGACTCAAAATCATAATTTGACCAACACATATTTAGTGTCTTCAAGAAAGCCAATTATCATAATCAGATCCTGCTGCGAACCAAGTCATCCCAGAACCCTTAGAATATTATATACAGGGTGAGTAGTTAAAACTAAGAGAGCACGACTACCAGCATAGGGAAATACATGCTTTAATCTTAACTGGAACGCGGCCTGTGTTCTAGCGGGGAAGCGGGGTAGCGGGAGCGCGAGCTTATCGAAACCGCAACAAATAACACTTTAATGACAATAACAAGATGGTGACGACATCATCATCATCATGATGAATTTTTAAATAAATAAATTAAAAAAAGCTGTCACCGCTTGGGGGGAATTGAACCAGGGACCTTTGCATTATGAGACAGCGTATATACACACTGTGGTATTCCGACCTCCGTGATATTTCAATTATTTTAATGCTATTCAAACGGGTTATCCATCGCTGGCGCGCGCTTATCTTTGCAACGGATCCATCGAGGTAGAGTGAAGCGAGAGATGCATTCCAGAGATAAGAAACTTCGAGTTGAAAATAATATCCATCGCTGACGCTCGCTTATCTTTGCAACGGATCTATCGAGGTAGAGTAAGGCTCGAGCGCTCGGCGCTGCAACGTTGTCGGACGTATGTGTTTGGATGTTAATATTGTTACATTATTGTGTGTGGCAACGCTGTCTCGATTCATGACGTTCGAAGTTCCAGCAAAGCGAGAGCATGCGAGAGATCCCTTAGAATGATAAGCGCACGCTCGTATACCCATTCCTCAAACTGTGACTTTAATGACAATAACAAGATTGAATTTTCATATACAGGGTGTTTGAGTTAATGAAGATTGAAAAAAAAATATATACAGGGCGGCCCATGAGGGTGAAAGAATACGAAAACGAAGATAAATAATCTATTTATTTAAGTAATCCTTTTCTACAAAAATGACATGCCTCTTGAGAAGATGGCGGTCCATCCCAGTGTGTAGTCCAATCGGGACGATTATAATGAACGAAGCATGGCAGTTTGATTTGTAGATTAAAGTTGCTGCGATATTCTTGAGGAAGTTTGTGCCACACTCTTAATAGCCCATAAGGATCTGCATATTCAATGAGACATTCTACTGGAATGTACTGCAATTATTCTTGTTCAGTGAATTTCGTCAAAGTCAAAGCAGGAGATTTTATAAACTCCAATAGCACAGCTATTTCAGACTTCATGATTTTTCGAGCAGAGCTAAAATATTTCAGATGCTACTAGTTTCGCGTCAAGTTGTAGACTGATGAAATAAATAAAAAACGAGTCACATATTTCACAGGTTTTTATTCAAATCAGCCATCAATTCATTTTTACAGTAATATAGATATTCTCTGAGAGCGTTACTAGACATGCTATTGCAAACATCGCAAAACCCTAATATAAGCTCTTGTGCACTCAAAACAGTCAGTTTATTTTTTATCCATTCAGCTATTACATTCATAATATTCTGATAAAACATAAAAAAGTCCAAGTCATTGATTAAATTAACTCGATGTGAAACAATGCACATTTCAGCACTCAAAATGTCTGCAACATCCTCTTCCACCAATTCGAATGTAATGTGGTATTTGGTTAGTGACAACATTTTGACACCATCGCAAACGAATTTGGTTATAGCGATATAGTCTCCGCAGGTGGTAACGGCAGGATCATATTCATCAATGAAACAGGGCAGGGGTGCTTCAAAAAAGTCTTGTTGTACCTTATACAGCGAATCGATGAAGGTGGCCCATTCATATGTGGAGAACGAAATTTTCGCTGGATGGAAGGGTTTCTTCAGGATGATGCTCGGACTAAACTGTCTAGCTGGACTAAGTCCGCACTGAATCATGTAGGTGGACAACTGGAACGATGAAGTCAGCAGGAGGTACGATTCGGCTTTCGCTGCTTGCTCAATCATGTCCAAATACGTATCAACGTCACCATAATAACCCATCATTGATGATGATGATGATCTAGAACTACCGTCTTCGAAAAGCACTTCACTAGATGAATAACCAGAGTCTTCACTCATTGTTCTCGAACTGATGTGTTGAAAGTTTCAGTCCTCATTATTTATACCATAACTGTTGACTGATCATAACATCCGGCAGATTGGAATAACAGGTTATTTGTTAGTGATCGATGAAAGGCCCTCTCATAGCCATTGAATGTGTGCTTCTTTTCCATATGTTTGCATTATAATTTATTGTTGGAATCAATCCAACTATTGTGTGTATCATCGAATCCCAACCATTTGACAAACACCTTTTTGCCTTTTTTTCTTAAAACTTTTTCCACTAGATAGATGTCAGGATTTATAGTTTTTTGCAATTCTTCAGGATAAAAAGCACCTTTGATCGGAGTACCATGCAAATCTTCCAAGATGTATGTAGTAGGTTTCGTAATACGAACTTTTACGATTTTAAATAGTTCAGTAGTCCAATTTGGCGTATAATTCTTTTCGAAAACATGTTTGGCTTTGCTGATTCTCACAATGTCACCAACATTGAATTTTCTAATTCCAGCAATTTTGATGTGATTGTACGTGGATTTTAAAATATCTTGTTCGTTGGCTTTGGTGACATCACTGGGCTTGCATCTTATTGTCGTATGTTTCGTGTTATTATAATTTTTCGTGATTTCAGGCAGGACATCTATCCAACGGTATGAGCCATTCAAACTAAAGAATTTGTACAGTTTTTCCTTCAATGTCCGTATAACACGTTCAGCAATGGCTGCCTTCATTATGGTGTACGTATGATAATGGTTGATGGAGAACTTTTTCATCAGACTTTGAAACTTTTCGTTGTAGAATTCGGTACCTTGATCGGTTTGCAAATTCTTGGGAATTCTGTTGTTGGCATGCAATAGAATATCAGCAAATGCACGAGCGATTTCAGCACCAGTTTTTGATTTTAGTGGTCTAGTCCATAGGTACTTGGAAAAACAATCAATCACGACCATTATCAGCTTGTGATCCTTATTTACAGAGGCATAAGGTCGCATTTCGGCTAGATCCATTTGCCATAAGTCATCCAAACCTTTGATGATAATGCGACGCCTTGGAAATTTTTTCCTAGCAGGTCTATGTAATTCATTGACGAGTTGGATTTTTTCTTTAGAATGTGACATATTGACTTCGTTGGATTAGGAGTTTATATGATGGGTTTCACACAGGGGGCTTCCTTTTTGGTGGCGGTGGTGTTGTCGTAGATTTTGGAGTGATGGCAATCTTGGCCAGATCTTTTTTCATTTGATCAATGGCATCAGCAAGCTGGCGTTCTTTATCACGGCTGTGTTGTTGCTCAGCCTTCAAATCGTGCAAACTCTTCACAGTGTTGTCAATCTTATCGACAAGTTCTAGAATATTTTTCACATTCAAGTCGATGTCGCTTTTGAGTTTTGGTAGAGAGTTGTTGCGAAGCTGCTCCACATGTATGTTGATCTTGTGCACTATGCCAGACAACTGAACAAAGTTTGTATTGTACGTTGCCAGTTTGAGATCATGAGAATCCACTCTCTTTCGTACATCGATAATTTCGTTGCTGAAGCCAGCAAGGTAATTTCGGATTTTTTCACCATAATTATCGAAAGCAATCTTGAAATCTAACTTTATTTGCGATATAACTTCATCCACATATTGTTTGTTTGCAACATCAGCGGCATCTGTTGGCAGTTTTACGTTACACATCTTCAAATGACCAACATCAATATCACCGGTTGGAGTATGTGAAAATCCAGATCTGACTGTCACCATCTGAGCCGAGCGTGGAAACGAGCCACGTCCGAATTTGTCGAGACTCATTATGCTAATGACTAAAGTATTGTACGTTATCGATAATGGTCGGCACTTTGCATCGCCAATTATTAGCCCCTTCACTCATAGACATGCCATGAAAGTGTCACAGAAGTGTCAAGGAAGTGTAACGGAAGTTCACGGAAGTGTCAAGGAAGTGTCACGGAACTGTCACGGAACTGTCATGGAAGTGTCAAGGAAGTGTCATGGAACTGTCATGGAAGTTGTCATGGAAGTGTTACGGAAGTATCACAGAAATGTCACACATGTTTTATTATGCCTGCCTCTTCTAATTCATTCAAGATGGCAACAATCTCGTTATCGTTTGATGTATTTCCGGCTTGCTGTGATGCAATGAGCAACTTCAATCTATCTACCAATTCGTTTGGATCATCCCAATACATGTATTCGATAGGTGCTGTGTTGTATGTCAACTTCAAACCACGACCACTGGAATTGGATCTGAACATTGGACGAATAATTTCTACGTATTTGAGTCTAGAGGAGGACTTCATACGTCCTGCAGAATTCAGATGAGCTTTGGTGAGCAAGAGTATTTGCTTGTATGGGTTCGTATCATCTTTGGCAAAGGATG